CAAAACCATTGCTTTATTACAATTGCTCTATTTTATTATAATCTGTAACTGATACTATTTATAAATTAAAATAAAACAAAGTTATATGTACCAAGAAAAAAATATAGCATTATTTAACACGGATATTTATAGCGCCATATATGAATATGTCTTATAGAAAAACAGCTATTCATTGTCTATGATTTTGTCTGACTTATATGGTATCTTAGTCATATTGTTATTAAAGCATTCTAGCGCAGCGTCTCCGATACTGACTGGCTTTAGGCATAGATGAAAGGTACGACATATTTTTTTTATCTATGGTATAGTTTAGATGAAATGTTTAAGGTAGATAACATACCTACTGTTCACATGTGTATAGCATATCCAAACCTACTGACTTTTAGATCACAACTAGGTATATTAAATAGATGTTAGTTGAATATCTTTGTTTTGTTTGATATCATAGATATTACACGTATCTTTGTAAATTCTTCGAAAGGAATCAATGAAGAGCTCTAGTAATAATGTAACAAATATCTCTGCAAAAACAAAAACAACTTCAGTAATAACAAAATAAATTAACCAATAATCGACAAGAGTTTCGTAGTCTTTCATAGACAAAACAAAATAAAATAAGCATTTTGCTGTAAAAAAAAAAATATTTCAATCGTCACAAAATTAATATGGGACCATTAGGGGAGAAACTGCCTATTGCGAGAAGAATCATCAGAATTGGTTTCAAATTATGAAGGAAATCGCGTAAATTACACACAGAAATTTTGCACTACTGCTGCTACTTTCTAAACCACCGTGTTAGATTAACCGTGTTAATTAATAAAAAAAAGATTTCTTTCACAGATAAATTCACTTTTGTTTACATTGTTACTATATACATATGGTCGAATTGAAAATCTCGTTCTTTGAATAGGTACAAATGGATAAACCATAATAATTATGGAGACCAGAGATTAAAAATATCGTTTATAGAATACATTATAACACGCATATAAATGCAACTTCAAAATAATCTTATATATAAAATTCTCGTGTCACGGTGTTTGTTACCAAACTCCTCCGAAACGGCTTTACCGATTTTTATGAAATTTTGTGTGCATATTGGGTACGTCTGAGAATCGGCCAACATCTATTTTTCATACCCGTCAATGATAAGGGTGACCCTCCCCAAAATATTTTTTTTATTTTTTTGACAAATTTTTCCATTTTTATTTTATTATGATTTAGCATTGAAAAATACATACAACTTTAAATTTTCATCGTTTTACGAATAACCCCTGTATTTTAATCGCGATTTTTATATTTCGCAATAAGTGGTAAAACAACGTTTACGGGGTCAGCTAGTTATATTATACTATTCTTATATATTATTCTTCTTATTATCCAGGCGCTTGCAATACCAAGGGTGTTATGATCGCGTTTTGCCGTATGGTCCCGGCATAGAATAGGCCACACGAAGGAGTGGCCTAGTCTATGCCATACGACATCCACGACAAAGGAAGCTTTCTCGTGGCTGTCGACTAAGGGAAGGCGAGGAATGGTTAGCAGCGTCCTTCTTAAAATATCTTCGAAGGTTAACTGCGGTTGCCAATCCGCATGCTAAACGTAGCAACAATTGGCAAAATCCCCAAGCTTATGTTCAGCAGTGGACAGTTAAAGGCTGATATGATGATTTTTATAAACATTCCCTTTTATATACTTTTTATCGTATATCAGACAAGCAAAACCGCGGATTACAACTAGTTAAATATAAATGTAGTTCGACTTTACTTCTTTATAACAACATTAGTCTCGAATGGTCTCGATGTACGGTAAATTTATGGAAGAATGTTTTATTAATGGTGTACATAAATCCATTTGCGCAGATAGTGTGGGATATTCCATTAAAATTATCAAAAACAACGTGATCTCGCGAAGATAAAATCGTACACTTAGTCCATGTTGTGATTATAGGAGCTTTAAATTCAGTGCATGATGTGCTTCAATCACAGACCTACGGCACAGCATTTAAATAGTTTCCGTGTTTATAATCATAAAGAGAACACTTTTAATATAACTAAGTACTTACATATAATGGTCGATACGTAAGCAGTGCATAATTTACATAAACTTACTTCATCAGACTGTTAGTAGGTATAATCTTTGTTGTAAAAAATATATGCTCGCGAATATAATTGCTAATAGGGTAGTCAGAACTGTACAGACTGTTATGGTATTTCTTTTAATGGATGATAACGGAATGGTAACCCTGCCTGCTTTATCGGTATACACTGGCGGGACACCAGCAAGAGATGATAGAGGACAATGAAACACGCAGGAATTCATAAAGAATAAATAAAGATGTTTTCCAGGATGAACCGCATAAAAGTCGACCTGATAGGGTATATTGCTAGCAATGGGGCTGTTAGATCCCAATATTACCAATCTTGTTTCACCCGCCGTTATGGTGTTTGTACTAGATACGTGACACTCGATATGGCAACATTTCACTGAGCATATTAGAATACAAGGTAGTAAGTAATTTACTATTACGCTTGGTAACCCTTTAGTGAAATTTAATTGGCTCCCATCATTTAGTAAAATGGTATTCCTTAGGAAAAAAAGTAAGATGAAAAGAAAGAAAGAAAGTAAGAGAGAAAAAGAGAAAGAAAATTATGAGTAATTTTTTTTAAAACGCAATGGGCAAACGTACATGCTGTTCACATAAATAATAAATGGAATGGTAACCATGTCTGCGCTATCGGTATTCGCTTTTTGGTCACCATTACGAGATGAGAGATGAGAATGAAAGCAGGTCAGCCGGCCTATAGTAACGAATTCGACAAGAATTAACCACGATGGTTTCCGGGGAGAACCACGTGGAATTCGACCTAATAGAGTGTATTAATAGCCATGGCGTTGTTAGACACTATTACTAGCAATTCCTTTTGCTACTGAAATGGGTACTAGCAGCCCCATTTTTAGCAATATACCCAGTCAAGTTTGAGCATATGAGAAGAGGTCAGCCTAACTAACTTTACTGTATTGGGAAGGAAGGGATTGTTAGTAATGCAGACTACCATTCAAATTGCTAGCAAATTACCTTGTCAGGTCGACCTCCACGTGGTCCCCCTGGAAACTACCGTGCTGAATTCCAGGTGTATTTATCACGACGGCCTAACTGACCTGCCTTTTCATTCTCACCTGTCATCCCTCACTGGTGCCCGCCAAAGTATACCGATAGCGAAAGCGGGGTTACCATTTCATTATCATCCATAAAAAAAACTTGTATTGGGAGAAAGGTATTATTAGTAAAGGGTAACATTAATTCCCGGGGGGAAAATGGATTATTGTTAATGGGGATCAGCAACCCCATTGCTAGCAATAAACCCTATCAGGTCGACTTCCTCGAAGTTCCCCTTGGAAACCATCGAGATTAATTTATTGTTGAATTCGTCAGTATAGGCCAATTTTCCTGTTTCATTGTTAGTTTTCTATCCATCCATTACCATTCCATTATCATCCATTAAAAAAAACATTAATCCCTATTGCTAGCAGCTGCCAGGTCGAACTCCACGCGGTCCCGTTTTGTTTCCATCTTGCTTAATTCTTATAATGAAGTCGCTATGATGAACCAACGGACCCATCTTCATCCTCATTGTTTCATCCAATATTAATGCTCCGCGATTGTATACCTTTAGCATCATCATCATTAACATCATATCAGTCTTTAACTATCCACTGCTGAACATAAGTACCCCTTGGGGTATTTTGCCATTATTTATCACGATTGGCAAGCGGATTGGCAACTGCAGTTAGGCTTTAGAGATGTTTTAAAAGCCGCTGCTGCCCATCCCTCACCCTCCCTTAGTCGCCTCTTACGACACCCACGGAAAAGGAAGGGGTGGCCTATTCTATGCCGGGTCTACACAGCGAATATATACCGTTAGCATAGATGGATGCATTTTGATATTCTATCCATTTAAAAAGCACCTTATTTTATTAATAAAACTGTGTGCGTAGAGGTAAACTAGACTTGATCCTACCATTACAAAGTTACAGTATTAAAGACAATTATTATAATAACATAAATTGTTATTGCATAAAATATAGTGGACTATAAACATTATGTAATTGCATCCTTATAATGCTCAATACATAGATTCTATTTATCTTATTATATATTGTAGATTGGAATGTCAATCATTTCAGTTGCGTCAACTAGATGGTACATCGTCATACACATAAATTAAGAAATTTTAATAGTACCTGCCGGTCATAGACGTGGTCATACCAACGTGACATGTTTCACTATGGATACTATTTATTCTAATCCTTTTTTATTACACTTAGTGTACCTACGAGTATGTATAATAGTTTTAATGCATCTTTTTTTTCGAAGTAGTTCGTGTTTATACCGTGAAGCAGTTGTGTTTGCATGGCTGTGTTTCGGTTTGAAGGGTGGGATATGGCAGTGAATTTACAGAGTACAAAGGAATAATATTTGAGTCCTAAGGAATGGCAACGCATGGGGGGTAACAACGCCTGTGAGGGCGTAACAGTATACTCTGTTATGTCCATGGTACTGCTCATGTCTATAGGCGACGGTTACCATTTTCCATCAGTTGGGCTGTCAACTTGTTTGCCGTTCTAAGTTGTGTAAAAAAATTTGTTACATTGTAAATATTGCGTTTACAATGTAACTAACTTTTTTTTAACTTTACATTCTTAATAATATGATAATTGTGAAAGTGTGTTTATTTGTTTATTACCCCTTATCACTTTAAAGGTTTAACCATTCAATCAATGCAATATATATATATATATATATATATATATATATATATATATATATATATATTGCATTGATTGAATATATATATATATATATATATATATATATATATATATATATTCAATCAATGCAATATATATATATATATATATATATATATATATATATATATATATATATATACGAATTGAGAACCTAATTCTAATAATATTTTTTTATTTAATTGCAGGAATACTTCCAGAAGCGTTAAGAACGAAATGCGTCCGCTGTACAGAGCGGCAAAAGAGGACTGCCGTTAAAGTCATCAAGAGACTGAAATATGAGTATCCAGAGGAGTGGGCCAAACTGTCCTCTAGGTGGGACCCCACCGGTGACTTCACGAGGTACTTCGAAGAGTTCCTCTCTAAGGAGCATTTCAACTTCATACCTAATTCTGGTAAGGAGATATTTTATATATATATATTTTAAATAATGTACTATAAATAATAATGTAATAGTAAACAAAATTTATGTTAAAAAAATAGTACTTGTTCGTTCCATTTACTTTATTCAATAAAAAAAAGATATTATATGTAGGTAACTTACAAGTGCAATAAAGAATATTAAACTTTAATGCACAGTGAAACTATGCACATGCACAACAACTTAACACCGGACGGTGTTCTCTACCAGTCAACCATAAACCGAGAAATAAGTAGACGGTGCATTATTAAATTGAGGAAATATAAAAAATAATATTTAACTTATTCATATATATCGCAGAAGAATCACCAAAACATCCTTTGCCAAACACTACACTGCGCAATTTTGTAATATCGCAACAGTAATTAAGTTTTAATAATTTCCGAAACTGACAATTTCAACAGCGTGTGAACTAGGTAGATAAAAATCGTGATTATTCTCCAACCAATGGGATGATTTAATACGTGGTAATAAATTGTTTATTTTTTAATATAACTTAGATACCTACCTATGCAAGGCGTTGACGTTTTTGCTTCGTTTTGTTTTTATGATCATTCAAAACAAGCATGGGAAAAGTATGTTGAATAAGTAATAAATTATTTCAACGACAGTTTTTATATACGCATCTACAACTGACATCTCGTTAGTAGACTACAGAGAATGTTGTTTTTATGATATCCTACCAAAAATGAGTCATGTTTTAACGTAACGACAATTCGTCTATGCCATGTAACGTACCTGATCACGTAATAAAGCCATGATGTTTGTGATAACAGTTTTTATTCTAAAATTTTTAACGTAATTAAGGTTTATATTTGAAAGTCGCACGCACGTAAATTGTGCTTCTTTTTCATATTATTTTCTGTACAAAAATAAAGCGGTTTGTTGGCAAAATGAAGCGTTCATATTAAATTAAATTATTTCTTGTACATAATATTCACCTCACACACGCTATTTATTATTTAAGTAAATATATAATATTTATTTTAATAAATTAACAATTGGATTGAACATGATTTTTGGAATTTTTGGATCAAATTGATTAATTTTTAAAATTTATTGAAAATAGACATTCTGACAGTTTAAATTTCTCTGATCTATGATAGCATGATAAAAAATACCAGCATTTATAAATTAAATGTTATGCTTCCTTCTCTGATTGTGCCTGTTTCATTATAAAGGAATAAAATTATAATAATTAATTCCTATATACCAAGTTTATTTCAATAGGGACAATACGTTTGTATGTACACATAACCGCGATTTTTTTTTATTGGTTAAAATGGAATGGTAACCCCGCTAGCGCTAACGGGATACGCTGGCGGAGCACCAGTAAAGGGTGATTGATGAGATTGAAAACAGGCCAGTTAGCCCATCATGATGAATTCATCAGGAATTAACCATGATAGTTTCCAGGGGAACCGCGAGGAGGTCGACCTGGTTGGGTATATTGCTAGCAATGGGATTCTCAGTCTCCATTACTAACAATCCCTTTCCCCCCCAATAACCGCGTTAGGTAACTGCCTATTTATGTTAATCATTATTAAAGTATCTATAGTAAATGTTATTCTCTTTTTTCACTTTTAAGAATAAAAATATAATGATGATAATTTGTATGCATTCCGTATTGAGCTGTTTGTTATGTTTCCGTGGTTCAAAACATATGCCGTTATGTAGCATTATCAGTGACCCAGCCAAGACGTGAGTGCTTTAGAATTTTAGATGACAGTTATAGGTCGACTTAAAATTACATATCGTCATGCCAGGTCATTTGAAGTAGGCAAAGAAAGAACAAAGGATTTTATCTCTACTCATAGTTATTACTTTATATTCATAACCTATCCCTTACATGCGAGTGTATGCCGGTTCCAGAGACTTGATTCCACTGGTGCGGTCACAGATCTATAGTCTAGTTGCATCTGATTATAATAGGTTAATCTAGATCTTTCTTACTACTTGTATCTGTTTTATTAATCGATATTCTTTCGTTCTACTAGACCAACTTAGTATGCTCTTCTTTTTTTACCTCTTTTTTTAACAAACTCGACCTGTCGCTATTGTATTACGTTTATAGATGTGGTTGGACAATCCGGTTCTGAAATTAATTACTACTCGTGTAATTTCAGTTATTTTCTCTTGTTAACGAAATAACTATTTGATAATGTGACCACTTTTTTCATTGCCAATTTGTCGGTCATAGGTATATTTAACGGAATGGGAATGCCCACTTCAGAATTGTCTGGTGCCTACCGAGCGATGTTTCACAAAAAACATGTCTTAAAGGAGACGTACGTGTTTTATATTTCACACACTTTTGTGTACTTTATATTTAAGGGTCAGACATTATCAGTAGATGAAGATTAGATTTTGATATAGAGTTAAGAGTACTCAGTATAAAACAGCGAAGGGAAAGGGGTTTTTAGTAAAAGGGTTTAACAAATCTACTACTAGCAATGTACTCTATCAAATCAACCATCCCGCAGTTCATGTGTAATTTGTCACGATAATGAGCTAGCTGACTTACCTGTTTTAATCCTCATCCATCATCTTTCACTGGTATCTCGCCAGCGTATATCGATAGCATAGGTGGAGTAACTATTCCATTAGAAACCATAAAAAATCACTTAGGTACTGGTGATTTTCAAGAGAAGGAAAATTCCAAATAAAACACTACTCGTGCAGTACTATTAAGTCACGAACTAAGAGACATATTTAAAAAGTATATTACTAGTTTTTTACATTCGTACTTACGTGCTTACGTCAAAAAGCCACATGCTCGTTGCCTATTCAATTTCTTGACCTTGGTTGGAACGACTCTTAATGACACTTTTGACTCTTAATTATACAGGTAGGCTTTTTTAATTTGCCTTTCTAATGGTTGACTACATTTTAAATTTAGTTCCTAGTAATTAATCATATTATGTCACGTCTTAGTTTTCGTTACTAAATTGACGAGTACAATCTATCTTTATATATTGCTAGAGGTAATTACATATATAATTGGACAATGACGCGAAAGGAAAAAAAGATGCTTGAGGCATTTGAAATGTGGACATGGAGGAGAATGGAAAGGATAAGCTGGACAGAAAACTAACGAGTGAGAAAGTACTGAAAAGAATGAACGAGAAAAGAACATTAATTAAAATAATAATAGAGATAATTAATAAAAATAATATAGAAGAGGCAAAATGCTGGGCCACCTTATACGACATGACGATTTTTTTAAGAGCATAGTAGAGGGAAAAATAGAGGGCAAAAGAGGAGGAGGAAGTCCGAGGAATAACTACATGGGACAGATAAAAGAAACACTAGGTGTCATGTCGTATAGGGAGGTCAAAGATATGGCCTGGGATAGAACTGTCTGAAAGAAGATGCATGAATTAGTTGCACCGACGAAAGGAAACGCTTAAATGAAAAAAAGAAGAGAGGTAATTAGTCTTCCTTTGTATAGGAATTCAAAAATTATGTTGTAGTAATCTGTAATTGCCGTGTTGTGTCGACATAGAATGGTCCATTCTTTCCTTTTCCGTGGGTGTCGTAAGAGGCGACTAAGGCAACCTAATGGACAGCAGCGTCTCTCTTAAAATATCACTAAACCCTAACTGTGGTAGTCAACCTGCCAGCCAAGCGTGACAACCACTAGCAAAATATGGGGGTAGGGATTGTTAATAATGGAGACTAAGAGCCCCATTGCTAGCAATATACCCAACCAGGTCGACCTCCACGTGGTCCCTCCTGAAAACCATCATGCTGAATTTCAAGTGTATTTATTACGATGGGCTAACTGACCTGTCTTTTCATCCTTACTTATCATCACTCACTGGACTCCCGCCAGTATATAGCGCAGGCGGGAGTCTATCACCTATTAAAAAAACCACTAGCAAAACTCCTTTATGGGACAGTTAAAGGCTAATTTGTAATTAATTGATTACTTAACCTAGTTGTTTATAATATCTTTTTTTTTTATTGATTTATATATATTATTTAAGAATGTCGTATTCGTAATTTATAGCTTTTTTTTTTATTCTTAAGGGCCTTTATTTAAATATTAAATTATAAAACCTACTACTATCATAAATACAAAATTTTATGAGAATATTTACATAGGATGTTTGTTACTCTTTAGCGCAAAAACTTTTGAACGGATTTGAGTGATCATTCTAACTTAGCACATAGGATATTTTACGTTCTGATTTATATGGACAAAGCAGCATACAATTAAATAGATATAAACCTATTATTACAACTGGTCAGGCGGCTTGGTACATCATTATAATGTAACCTCAAAATAAAACCAAATAGTTTTATTTCGAGTTTTATTTTCACTATTATTACACTTATTGATACATTATACTTTTATTCCATTATCATACGAAACATAGTTTGATGAGAAAAAGTTATTTTCATTTAAAAACTAAACAAAATTTCTGTGGGATCAATCTGTTGGATTACAACTCACAGAATGATGAAGTAACAAATAAAAAAAAATATAACCGTACTGAGAACCTCCTTCTTTATGAAGTTGGTTGAAAATAGGGCATCAGACTTCCAGTGGCGTAACAATAGGGTGGTAGGGCTGGCAAAATGCCACGGGCCTCCGACTCGCGAGCTCAAAATTTTTTTTTACCTTGTACCTGAGTATTTTATTTTACTTGAAAATAAATGATAGGGCCCCGTCCAAAGAATTTGCCACAGGCCCCAAATAGTATAGTTACGCCACTACAGACTTCCATAAAGAGTTGGTGAAAAAACATCATGAAACAACAAACACGAAGTAATCAACTTTCTAAATTGTTCAGGTAATGAAATCCCAGCGTCGTCGTCATTACCGACGTCTCCCCCGAGGGTTCCACCACCAGTGTCTGTCCAGCCCCCGCTCAGCAGCACACCACCATCACCACCGAGAACTACGCCGTCGCCACCGACCACAACATTCGCTCCGCCACGACCGCTTATACTGAATAGGTAAATAAATCAAATCAGTAAAAAAATTGCCGGAAACTTTATACCACGGGCACTATTATCAAAATTATTGTTTTTCTAAAAATACGACGTGCTGAAAAAGGGCCAAATCATAAATACCCGTAACCGGCGAGCGTGTGTGAAAAGATTGATGAAAGTGGAGGAAGCGAAAGAGGTTTGTTTTAGTCGAAGCATTTGGCGTTTGTTTCTGCCTGTCCTAATGGGTGGCAGGTATGACAGATATGTATGTATGTAAGTTTCTACCACCAAACAGCTGTTTTTTTTATACAATTTAGAATGGCAAACAAGCTAACGGCCCACCTGATAGAAAGTGGTAACCGTCGCCTATAGACATGAGCAGTACCATGGACATAACAGAGTATACAGTTTCGCCCATGATACCCCTCATGCGTTGCCATTCCTGAGGACTCAGGTGTTATTCCTCTGTATCCAGTAAATTCACGCCATATCCCATCCTTTAAACCGAAACACAGTCATGCAAACACAACTGCTTCACGGTTGGAACACGAATGGAACAGAGGTACCCAAGTAATCAACTTTTGTACAGTCTCCCTCTGGTCTTAAAATAAAAGAAAGAATTTATTCAGAGAGTCACGCGACTGACAGTCATATAAAATAAAAGTTAACCAATAGAATAAAAAAAAAACTACTATAATAATAAAAGTGTAATTAGTACAATAATATGAATAAATATAAATGAAAAATGAAAAAAATATTGCCTAGCTGTGTTTTGATTTATTGACCATAAGGAAATAGCAATACGAAAAAATACGTATGAATGGTATTATAGCTATTTACAATGTAAGGTACATTGTAAATTTATTATGGTATCCATGATATTTTTCATGTCTATTGGCTCAATAATTTAAAAAAGAATGGAGAGTGATAACCGTTGACTCTCCATCTAGTAAGCTGGCAGTGTCTGCAATTTGCAGATTGCAAAATGCTGGCAGTGCATCAACTAAGTCTTGCTACCATATTTCCATAATATAATCCATTATGCGTTAGTCATTCGATATTGCATTATAATTTGTTTTACTTCTTTATTACTGTAATTTATTTATAATAATGATAAGATCTCTTATATGACTATATTACCTATGACAATTAAATTAAGACAATTAATCTAATATGCAATAAAGAAATAAAAAAGGAAAAATGTTAAAATAATTTCCACATTCCATGGAAATTATGTAGATATTTATTATCGACCAAAGTAATAATAATTAATAATATTTAACATATTTATTTAAATAGTACACTTATCATTTGTTGAATTAGACGAGATTTTTTTATATTATTAAATAAATGGAACCAGTCACAAAACACATCAAGGTTTTTTTTAAAAAGAAAATGCAATTGAATAATAATTCCTGATTTAGTATTGAACTGTATTTTAGTTATAAATTTGATGTTTATCATTAGATTTTATTAAGTTTACAATCGATAGGGATCTACTCTTATGTTAGTTTATATTAATTTAGTAATATTTACTCCATTTATTTACGACAAACCTTTATGATAAATAGAGTCCGTGTTATTTATTATGTAGACATTTAGGAAAAAATAAGATTACGAAAATTGTCCAAATATAAAAATAGGCAAAATTTTATTTAGATAAAGAATGACATCTATCGTAAGTGTAACTACACAGTAACAGAAAGGTAACCATAGATATTGTAGTATATCAACATAAGTTGGTATGCTACAATATCTAACTCTCTCTCTCTTTGTCCATTTCATTACTAAAGGTGTCCTTGAAAAGTGTTTGTGTAACAAGTACTGTGTCTCTTATGATGTTACTCTATTTCACACGGTCTTCAACCTCTCACAGGGCAGCTGCAATTGACAGTCCTGTAACGGCGGTTACTTGATCCCACCAGCGACTAGGTGATCGTCTGCGTTTTTTCCTTCTATATTGCCTACAATCATTAGCTTGTCCAGATTGTCGAAGTGTCGACAAGCAATATGACCGAAGTATCCAAGAATCCTCCGATAGCAGACTGTCGAGAGCCTATCTTTTATACAAAGTTGCGCCAGGATAGATAAGTTCATGCGCTTTGCGGTCCAGGGAATGCGCAGCATCCTTCGCCAGCACCACATCTCAAGAGCACTTACAATATCTAAACACAGACTGTTAAATTATCCAAAGTCTTAGTTACCTCTTAAAACACCCACGGGAAAGGGGTGGCTCATTCTATGCCGGGACTACACGGCAATTGTAGCCTACCCGACCATAATTTAAGATTTAGAGTCATTCGTTTGTCTATATTTCTATTAAATTCTATTAATACAGTACAAGTTCAACAATCGATTTGTGTGCAATCAATTAATGTAATCGATGTTTCGCGGTACAACACGGTTCACCAAGTTCGCAACCTGTTCTTAAGCAGTCAGTCGCAGCATTAATTGCAACCACTTATATTGTGGTTAGTAACTAGATTACTTGTACGAGTACTATACTGATTACAAAGGTAATTAGGAAACTGCATTGATGTGTCCATTCTTACTAATATTATAAATGTGAAAGTGAGTTTGTTTGTCACCTTCAAATCACTATGAATTTTAGTATACACGTACTACATGGGATAGAGAAGGATATAGACTACTTTTTATTGTGGTCAGTAAACATATCTCAGTTACGTGGACGAAGTTACGCGGGAAAGCAAGTAATTTATAAAAAAAACGCAGGGTAAATCTTATCGATTACAAAAAGTCTCATTAAAATCAGTTCTGAATGGGTCAGGTCACAAATATTATTAAAATTAAAAATCTCCTTGTTCTCTTTGAAGTCAGTTGAGAACTCATTTTAAAGACAATGTCACACGACAGCACAACACATTTTTTGAAGTTATTGGAGTCTATTCTGAGGCGCAATTTCTTTAAACGTATATCTTAACCTAATATTTTATTTTAATAATTATTATATAATAATTTTGACTTAAATCTATTAAACATTCAATTATTAATTTATATGTACATTCACTTATAGATATTAGGTTATAACAAAAATTTACACACGCGAACTTAAAGGGGTTTCTCCCAGTCAACTTTCAGAATCCGAAATGAGAAAGTATCTATAGGGTTTGCATATAATGAAAAACATATGGTGCAAAAATAATACGATAAATAATAAATTATATTATTAATAGATACATTGTTTTTATTTTAATGGATGATAATGAAATGGTAACCCTACCTGCGCTAACGGTATACAATAGCGGTACACCAGTGTGAGGGATGATAAGTGAGAATGAAATGGCACATCAGTTAGCTCATAGTGATGAATGTTTTCAGGGGGACCAAAAGGAGATCGACTTGCAAGGGTATATTATTGGTATTTAAGGGTATAGCAATGGAACTGGTAGTCCCATAGCTATATTGCTAGTTACAGAATATAGATAAATAAATTTATAAATATATATTTATCTCATATCGATTCTTAGGATAATGATTTCGTTGTGAAATCAATGATGCCTCAGAATCTTTTTCAACAACGGTTCACAATAATATAATAATTTTGTAACTACACAATGCTGGTGCATAGGAGACATTTTAGAAAAACAAATATAAGCAGTCTTAAGGAGAGCAATAGAAGCCAAAATAAATATTTTTTGATTTTTTGTCTTTGTCTATGCTTATTCCAGTATTATTCAAAAACTACTGTACCAAACTGAATGCGTTTTTCACAATTGTGTGAATTTCACAATTAATTTTTATTTCACAACTTAAAATCTATTGTATGTTTAATCTTGATACGGCATATAAACGTGGTTACTTACTTCAAAAGCAAATTTGCGGGCAAAAGCTAGTTTAAATGTAATAATTTTGGTGCCCTGCTGAACTACCTTCCCAATAGGCCTTGTGTTTGGGACAATCCTGAGCCACCTACATCCATTGACTCCGTATATGTACATGTGATAGTTGCTTCATCTTTATAGAGATCGTCCTACACTGTTTTTGCGTGTATGTTTACAAAAATAATTAACAAAATCGGTTCAGAATTGATTACGACATCACGTAACATATAAATTGGCACAAAAATGCGAACGAATCGACCTTCTTCCTTTGGAGGTAATTAAAAAAATATTACAGATACTAATAGATGATATTCGCAACTGGTCTTAATTGAATTCATGTACTCTCCAGAGGGAGACTGTACAAAAGTCGATTGCTTGGGTACCTCTGTCCCATTCGTGTTTCAACCCTGAAGCAGTTGTGTTTGCAAGGCTGTGTTTCGGTTTGAAGGGTCGGATATGGTGTGAATTTACTGGGTACAGAGGAATAACACCTGAGTCCTCAGGAATGGCAAAGCATGGGGGTCATCATAGGCGAAACTGTATACTCTGTTATGTCCATGGTACTGCTCATGTCTATAGGCGACGGTTATCACTTTCCATCAGGTGAGCCGTCAGCTTATTTGCCATTCTAAGATGCATAAAAAAAGCTGTATTTCATGGCTTCGTCCACGTAAATCAATATATAAAGTATCCTATATGCTAAATTAGAATATAATCTCGTGTACTAAATTTCATTCAAATTCGCTCAGTATTTTTTGCTTGAGAATCTAAAAACATCAATCCATATATACATAAAAAGATAGGTAGTACACATTAAATAATTTGTGTTTACAGGAAAAAATATTTTAATATTTATAATAGCCTCTTTATTGCGCACAATAGAGATGTATACAAGGAGTATTTATACAGAATGTGCATATACAAAAGACACTTCTTTATATCTGTCTAGAATTAATATACATAACCTAAGTGCTTATAATAAGTTTCAATACCCGCTCTATTTGTTAATAATAGAAACTAAGGGCTCTATTGCTAGCAATATACCCAACCAGGTCGACCTCCACGTGGTTCCCCCTGGAAACTGTCATGCTGAATTCCAAGTGTATTTATCACGATGGGCTAACTGACCTGTCTCTTCATCCTCACCTATCATCACCCACTGGGGCCTCGCCAGTGTATGCCGATAGCACAAACGGAATACACTTTATGTACTTATACTAATTATTTTCATGATAATTGTGCCATTGTTCTTGTTACGAATGCGCTGAAAAAATATTTCCCATGGGAAAGTAAAAAATGCATTTAAGTAACATTCCTCGTTAGAAATATAGATACCTACCTGCCAAGACCTAATAGATAGGTACTTCGATAATTGTATCAATGAAAAGCATTGTTTCTTGTAATAATACGCATTCTCAATAATGAAATCTTAATAATTCATCGTGCACTAAGTCATTGCAGGTGTGGTTAGGAAAAAAGGTAAAATGTTAACAATACAATTTAAATAAGTATCCTAGTAAACTGGTTTGTTTTTGTTTATAACACTTTATTGTACTGTTAAATCTTAAATTTTAGGATATAGAGTTGTGGTGGCGGATTTTTCTAGTTGTTGCGTCCATATCAATTTATAATTATAATTATTATTTTTACTAAAATAACAATTACTGTTATAAATTATTTTAATTAAAAAATACTTGTAAATAAAATTTTCTTATTTATTTTAAATACTTTTTTTTTTATATACATATAATATAATACGAGATGTATACCTAATCTCTTTCTAATATTATAAATATGAAAGTGAGCTTATTTGTTACTTTATAGCGAATTAACCGACAACCAATCGCTATGAAATTTGTTATATATGTGGAAGGAATAAATATACTAAATTATAATATAAAGAATAAAATATAAATGTAATATACTTTTTATCTCGGTCAAACACACATAGAAATAAATAAGGTATGTACACATGATGACAATGTGTGCGTGTGTAGTTACAACTAGCACTGGAAAACAGGGGGGAGGGATTGTTAGTAATGTGGACTACCAGTCCCATTGCTAGAAATATGTCCTGTCAGGTCCATCTCCATATGGTCCACCCTGGAAACCATCGTGCTGAATCCAATGTGTATTCATCACGATGGGCTAACTGACCTGCCATTTCATTCTCACCTGTCATTCCTCACTGGTGCCCTACCAGCGTATATCGTTAGCGCAAGCAGAATTGCCAATCCAAGATCATTCATTAAAAAAAAAAGCACTGGAAAACAGAGTTTGGTTATTACCGCGTATTTGAGAAGAGGTGGGGACAGATCACAACGCACGGGAGAGGGTGTTCATACTATACTTTAGTACTATTATTTATAATGTATTACTAGTACAGTATTATGTTATCTGTGGTTTTGCTAAACCACTAACAGTGTACTAATAACGAAACTGTGAAATAATAATGTTAACTTTGATATAGGTATGGAACCTCATAACCTACTACTACATTAGCATTTACAATTGCCTTGATATTATACGATAGTCATTACATCAACTTTAAATAAAATTGATAACATCTTATTAGTCCATCAAGATAACGTTTCGTTTACGTCATAATTTCCAATTCGTATTTTCAATCGACTTCCGGAAGATGGAATTTCTTAAATCTCCTTACTGTATTTTTCGTATACAGTATATTTATTAACGAAATTCATTCCTTAAAATGAGCGTTAGTATGCATTAAGAAACTTAATATTACCAAAAAATAAAAATTTTAATTCTCGAAACAAAAGACAAGTACAAAAGTCGTTTGCTTGGGTACCTCTGTCCCATTTGTGTTTCAACCATGAAGCAGTTGTGTTTGCATGGCTGTGTTTTGGTTTGAAGGGTGGGATATGGCGTGAATTTACAGGGTACAGAGGAATAACACCTGAGTCCTCAGGAATGGCAACGCATGGCAGGTATCATGGGCGAATCAGTATACTCTATTATGTCAAGGCATAGTATTATATTATCTGTGTCCTGTTTATGTCTGTTTATGTCTATAGGCGACGGTTACCACTTTCCATCAGGTGGGCCATCAGCTTGTTTGCCATTCTAATTCGTACAAAAAAAAATATTTGTATCGGCGGTACTAGATAATAATAGTAGGTAATAATTATACCGTGTAAGGTCGTGCATTTTTTTTATTTTCGTTTTTTTTAAAATTATTTTCTTAGAACCAAGATTTTTATTTCTGACTTAATTAATAAATACTAATACTAGTTTTAAGGAATGTATTTCGTTATCTGTATACAGAAGTTATTATTTTTATGTAACATAGTAATAATTATTATAATGTAATTTATAATATTACTACAATTTAGACGTATTGTAGTTAGTGTTCTAGGTGTCCAGAGGCTACAATGACCGCTTACCATTAAACGGACTATGTTTGCCACCTTTATGGTACAAAAAAGTTATGAGTACACAGTGTCGTCTGCTTCCAAACGAAATAGACTATTGGATACCTTTTAGATAACTTATAAATTATTATGTTTTTAATTTTACTTATGCTATACGTAGAAAACATCCAAATCAATGTAAATAGGTATGAATAAATATATTTATATTATACGTAAATTGAACTATATATACCATCGATAGATGCAGCAGTATATTAAACAGTTGCACCGATTCTCTTCTCTCTTTACAAACCTATTTTAACCTTTAGTGTTTTCTCACTGTCTTTCAAATAGAGAATTTAGCGCAACAGAAAAAAACAAAACACTTTAATAGCTAAAATAGATTTATAAGAGATTTCTCATCGCTAACTCTTTACTTTGCAGATTTGGAGACGACGGTGAGCTGATGGTGGTGAGCCCGTCCTCAGCAGCCGGTACCACCCGGCCCACCACACCGCCGCCATACATGAGACCCATTTCACCAATTACCATGCGGCCTATGAATCAACCTAGGTATCTCTTTTTAAAATAATACTATTCATTTAATTTACTAAACAAACGACAACGGGTGAGTCTAAAAATAGAGTTCTTTTAAGAAATTCCTTATATATAGGTACGGTTCTTATACAATTGTATCACTTATCTTACTTTATTCTTTATATTGTATAATGCAAATAATGGATATTCATTCATTAATTATTAATACAGATATCTGTATCAAAATTTAACACAAATCTTTTCCGATTTTTAAATGTATTTATTTTTATGCAACTTAGAATGACAATCAAGTTGACGGCCCACCTGATAGAAGGTGGTAACCGTCGCCTATAAACATGAGGTACTAAATCTCATTCGAATCCGTTTAACATCGTTGAATAACAATCCCATAAGCATTCACTCTTCACTCGTGTATGGTTTTAAATATGACTGAATAAATAAAAGCTGCGCTTTAATATTATAGTACCAATATACCATCCTATAACCTCGAATCAAAGGCTATCAGAATTAAACATGTAAATTAAACATTAAATGCCTGTGCTTATTTCATTACAAGAAAATTTATGTACCCACTTACATTTCGTACAATGCAACAGGTCAAAGTTCAATTATGCATGTAATCAAATATGTAATTTATTTACTACATACTTAGGTGCCGATTTAAAAGACTAGATATAAGTAAATTAATAATAATTGTCTAATATTGAGAATTATGATCATAATATTTTATTTGCTGCACATTTGTAAATGTTTAAACACATTAAAGTACCTATTTACTACCCAGTAATAATTAAATTATAATGTTTGAATATATACAAGAACCTAAATATCATAAATTACTAGGTAATAAAATATTTAATTTCAATTTATTCATATATACCTATTTATTAATAGTGTAAATAATAAGGTCATATTTGATTATGATCTTTTAGTTTTGTAATAAATAAATCTTTATACACAAGGCTAATACATATTTTTATCTACATTTTAATAATAAAAAATGTGTATGCATATAGGACAAAAAGCAGTCTGTAAATCTAGGATGGTTTATCATGTGCCAAACTGCATTCAAACTGAAAATTCAAATTAAGCATAATAATAGAGTATTAAATGTCCAGACGTGTTTACAATTTTTCATATATATTTATTTGTATTGTAATCGCCACGTGAACTTTCTCACATCTTTTTGAGTTGCATTAGTATATTACTATTATTTATACAAACAGTGCGGTTGTATGTAATCGACATGCAAGGGGGGGGGGGAGGGGAAGGGATTGTTAAAAATGAGGTCGAATGACCCCATTGCTAACAATATACCCTATCAGGTCGGCCTCCACACGGTTCCCCCTGGAAACCATCGTGGTTAATTCTTATGGAATTTGTCACGATGGGCCAACTGACCTGGTTTTATTCTCAACTGTCATGCTTCACTGATGGCCCGCCAGTGTATACCGATAGCGCAGGCGGGGTTACCATTTCATTATCATCCATAAAAAAACCGATTTGCAACGTAATAAGATAAATAGAAACATCAATGCATATTTTCTATTTTTGTGATATGAAGATCTTGAATCACATTTCCTACTTAGTAAATTCATTTTGTTCTATTTAATCCTTCAAATTGAAACAACCAGAGGGAGACTTTATACAAAAGTCGTTTGCTTCGGTACCTCTGTCCCATTCGTGTTTCAACCGTAAAGCAGTTGTGTTTATATGGCTGTGTTTCGGTTTGAAGGGTGGGATATGGCGTGAATTTACAGGGCACAGAGGAATAACATCCGAGTCCTCAGGAATGACAACGCATGGGGGGGTATCATGAGCGAAACAGTATACTCTGTTATGTCCCTGGTACTGTTCATGTGTATAGGCGACGGTTACCACTTTCCATCAGGTGGGCCATTACCTTGTTTGCCATTCTAAGTTGTATAATAAAAAACACTAAAACATAAATTTACTAGCGTTTAGAAATAACTGATAGAATAATTCTTTGTTTTCAGACCAACAATTGTATCGTGGACAGTAGCGTCGTCCGACGCAATGCCCACGCGTTTCCCATTACGTCCATCGAAAGACATGAGCCCGCCATACAGCACCACCATCACGCTCATCGACCAGATCGGCTACAAGATCATCAGGACCACCGAACTCGTGAAAGATATATTGAAAAACACAGTGCGTGCTGTTGTCGGTCGGTAGAGTGATAGAGATTAAGGCATTCATGTTGTTTCCACTTTTTCCGTGTTCGCTGTGACAATGCTTTTTTTTTTAATTGTCCTTAATAATTTTTTTGAAATAATATATTTTCCAAAACATGATAGGTTTTCACGTAAATAAGTATGGGACTATCGACGATGTTTGTATACGAAATCATGTCTGTGAGTCACGTATTAAGGGGCTACTAAAAATCAGTGTCGTAGCTTCAGATATGAAACTTCGACATATACTGAGTTGGGTCCTTTTCACAAACACTGCTACATTCACCTTATGTTTTTTTTTTTCTTTTATTGTAATTTATAATAATTTATATAATAAAATTAAAAATTTTATTTCGTATCCTGACAAATCAAATGCGATAAAATAATGGAAACTAGAATATTATAGAAATATAAATATGGTGCCTTCTTACTTTAGCCTTGCTCAACATAATAGGATATTTAATTATGTCATAATTTATAGTGCTGTTGCAGCAGCATAAAATGAGATTTGTTGACGGTATACCACCGAACTGTTTGGGTATAACGTTTAGGTAACGTAAACGTTTAAGTTTTTTATTCTATTTTTGAATTTTGATTTTGTTTATTAAACGTAACTAAATTCAGTTATATGAATGCCTATATTAAATAGGAGCAATGTGAGTATTAATTTATTGGATCGTTAATTAATTTGCCACACAAATTTTCTGCTTTAATGAGCATAACAATTATAAATTGGTATATTATTGGTAAACAGCGCCATCTTTACGGGTGACTTGTAACACAGGTTCTTCAAAACCTACCGCAAGCACCAGTTTCTCACAAAATTGGTCTTCACATCAAATTGTACCTCAAGTTGTCACTTTATACTATCTTTTGTGAAGAGAAAATAAACCATTCATTCATTCATCTAGTTCCATATAAAGCAGACCTTGTATTATAATAGCTGGTCTACAAGTACAAATCAAATAAAGTCCTAAAAATACTTTTACATGAAGCGTAGTACTAAATTGGTACATGATCTTTTGAAGAAGCGGATCCCCAACCTTGGGAAGATGAGATTTCGGTTTATTTTTAATTTTTTTCAAAGTCAACCTATATAAATTTTTATTATAATTTGAAAAAAATTATTGACGTTTAAATGTAGTAAATAAAAAAAAAAAGATTAAAAAGGAACCAGGTCGACTACCAAGTAGAGACTGCTACCGATATGTATATAGGAATAAGTTTCATATCTTGAAACCTGTTGAACAAAACAATGCATCAGCTAACAAATTGGACTATAATAGGTGATAGGTATTATATGTTCTAATATCTATTTTTAGTGATCATGTTCAGATTATATAGATGGTGTCAAAATTTAATCAGCCGATAAATGACTAAAGTACACTGATATTTTTTAAATCAAAATGAACGCGCTTTTTATCAATTTTTTTTTAATGTTTAAAAACCGATCAAATTTAAAAAAATGGAATTGCGAACTATTTTTTAAATATGCATACATATATACTTTTGCTTACAAATTAATACACATCTATTAATTAAAATGATAGCCATTTTCAATTATTTGAAAACGGAAACATTTTATGTCTATTTTCAGATATAAATCAAAGTAATAACATAAGCATCATTACGAATCATTGTGCACAGTGTATTTCGTTTTTCAATATGTATGTTTGTAAGAAATTTATATCGATTTTACTTTTCAATTTAATCTTACAGTAATTTCTCCTATTTACTAAATAATAAATGTACATTATGGTAACACTATTCACACACACGGATAAAAAAAAGTTAACTTGTTTTTGGCAAAGAATTTATGTGAAGACACTTTATAATGTGTCCATAGTTGTAAATGCGATGTTCTTGTCTATAGACGATGTTTGTTGACCACTTCCATCCGTCCCGCTCCGTGGAATTTCTAAGGTGGACCGTCAATTATTTTGCCACATCTAGTTCATTAAAGAATTGAGTCTTGGAAATGTTGGATATGTTTTTTCGTGACTTTATACATGACTTTATAAAGACTTATTAGGTATTCTAAAATACTTAATATTGTTTTAATTACTCATAACCTACCGTCTAAATATTTATTAGTTATTACCTAATTAAATGGTGTTTAATATAATGTTTACCTGCCTATCTTTAATTTTGTATAAGATAATGTAAACTTTTATTTTTTTAATTTAAATTATGAGTCACATGAAATCATCATTAGAATTATTTTTCTTATTTTTAAGTTTTATTTATATTATACTACGTGAAATAAATCGAGTAACCATATCTATACTTATTGTCATACAGAATGCTTCTTGTATTGAACTCGTGCTTTAACAGTTTTAAGAAAACAATTTATAGCATAAGGTTTATTAGTAGTCATAATAAAGATAAAGTAAAAATAGAAAATAAAGTTTTATAAATATATCTAATCTATATGGTTTTATTTAAAAATTACCATTTTTCAATCCATGCATTAAAGATAGCACTTTTTGTGTTGTTTGTTTTTAGCAGTGTTTCCTTTTATAAGTACCGTAGAAAGAGGACCGCAAGTACTATCAATTATTTTTATCAGTGAAAATTTATCACAAAGGGTAAAGCAAAGGTATTAAGCCATACAGCCCGATTGTCTACTAAATAAAAATTCGTATTTCGAATTTATAGGTTCCAACTATTTTTTTATTAATATGTAAACGTAAATAGAAGCATTTGATTAGGATGCTATTGGAATTCTTATTGTCAGAGCTTCCTAAGAAGTATTTAAAGCTATGATTACATTGCCTTAATTTACTTTTTTAAAACGCCTGAAATAAAATGTTAGCAATTTTTTTCTTGTCGTTACTTTATAATAGTTAATAAAATTATAAATTTTATAAATATTTATTTTTGATCTATAGCAGGGTACCCATTACTTAATAGATATTGATTGTAAACGTAGTAGAACGCACTCAAGTAATACCATAAAATATAGTATATTATTTATTACAAACTGGACCAAGTTGGACAAACTGACCTCACTCTATCTTCATCTATTTATTGGTACCCCGCCAGCGTATAACTTCATAGCATAGGCGGCATTACCATTCTATTTTATTTATTTATTTTATCAACTGAGTGGGCTTTATAGTCTCCCAATATACATCTCTAAACACAAATACTTTGTGGTCATTAGACGAAACTTCAGCAAGTTATTATTAGTTTCATCTAAAATATATTAACGACACTTTGCTAAGCACAAAATTAATTAATTAATGCATTTTTTATTTATTCTTTAGTATAAGATATGTACACAAGGCGAACTTAATGCTTTTAAACATTCTCTTTCCCAGTCAACCTTAGAGATGTGGTAAAATGCTCAAATTTAGTACTAGTATTAATTGATATATAACAATTTGTATGTATACATTATTAATTATATTAATAGATATTACCAGTATTTACTTTATACAAAAGTCGTTTGCTTGGGTACCTCTGTCCCATTCGTGTTTCAACCGTGAAGCAGTTGTGTTTGCATGGCTGTGTTTCGGTTTGAAGGGTGGGATATTGCATGAATTTACAGTCCTCAGAAATGGCAACTCAGAAAAGCAAGTTTATTCTGTTAAGTCCATGATACTGCTCATGTCTATAGGCAACGGTTACCACTTTCCATCAGGTGGGCCGTCAGCTTGTTTGCCATTCTAAGTTGCATAAAAAAATATACACGATAAACCTACACAATTGTAGTTTATGTTGTTTCTGTGTTAAATAACATATAGGAGTGTATCTATACCCGTAATCTTATAAACATATTATATGTACCTTCTTCAGCACGTAGTTAAATTTATTATGACACCAAATTCATGATTACAGTCTAGTATCTACAAGGTGTCAAGGCCCATTTAATGATTATTACGCGAAAGTGAAAGTAGTTATATTACTTACTCTACTTCGGTGATATTATCATTATTCTACTTGATCGAAAATAACATTCACTTTTACAAAAGTTATTAAAGGATGTGTATGTGTGTATTTAGTGTAAGTTTTCTTATTAGTATAAGTGTAGCGACATAATATTAACTATTGACGTAATTTTCATTTTACTTCTCTACCAAACCACTTTTTAAATGACGATATAGTAATCAGAAATATTTTCTATTTTTCCCTTAACAATTGTCAATTACATAATCTACAGAATTTAATTTAGAAAAACCTATTATTGGCCATACTACTCTGTTATAAAATGTTTGTTAATTTTATTTGTAAAGTGCTGTTGGTTTTTTTTAAATAAATAAAAAATAAGTAATTCCTACGTTGTTAGTGGGAAAAGAATTTTTAGCAATGAGGAGATTAGACTCCATTGCTAATAATATACCCTGTTAAGTCGACCTGTACACGGTCCCCCCTGGAAGTCATCGTGATTATATTTGGGTGAATTTGTCACGATGCGCCACTCTGTCTACTGCAGGACACAGGGTTCTCCCAAGACATGCCATTGAGCGCGATCTTCGGCTTTCAGAACATTTCTAATTGAAGTTTTCTATTTTACAATAACTAGTCCACTACAACCACGGCTTTCAAATTCGTTGAACTGATAATTTTGTTCTTCTGGTAATTTACTATTTCGAATATAATTACTCTTATCATCGTGTCAGCCGTTAACTGTCCAATAATGAATATAGATTTCCTCAATAATAGTGGTGTTTTGCTAACAGTTGCTGTGCTTGGCCGCCGGGTTGGCAATGGCCTTTGGTGATGTTTAAAGAGGGACTACCCGTCCCTCAATCATTAAGTTCCCTTAGTCTTTGGTTTTTTTATGATCCTATACACATGAGCAGTACCAGGGACATAACAGAGTATCGCTGTTTCGCCCATGATACCCCCCATGCGTTGCCATTCCTGAGGACTCAGGTGTTATTCCTCTGTACCCAGTAAATTCACGCCATATCCCACTCTTCAAACTGAAACACAGCCATATAAACACAACTGCTTTACGGTTGAAACACGAATGGGACAGAGGTACCCAAGCAATCGACTTTTATACAAAGTCTCCCTCTGGTAAAGGTTACAAAAATTGGTAAGGAATCCTAAAAGTTAATCGCTAAATGTGTTATTAAGCGAAAATCTCGAAAGCTGTAATCAATTAGGTGATTTTTTTTTAAATAAAAAAAATTGATCTTTGAAAAAAAATTCGCAACGTTATCTGATGAAGCCTAAAATTCCATCTTTCTATTTCTCACAGGTATAAACTGTATTTACTTGACAGAACGCAGTCTATCGGGTCAGCCAATAATAAATACCAATGAACATGTATCACGTCATCATATGGTGGCAAACTCAGTAGAGCTTTGTATCATGGTTTACACAGAAATGGTTTGTAGATTTATTCATGTTTTTAAATTTAATAATACTGTTCGTTTTCCTAAGAAAATAAAACAGCCGACGTTATACTTGCTACTAACTATAATACCAATTTAATATGTATTTTAAAATAAAAAATAAAATACTAAGAATTTATACTTATACTCTTATTATTGTTAGTTGGAAATTTCAATGACGTAAAAGCACGTAAAAGGAAAATGCAAATAACTTGGTCTCCAGCAAAATACCCACCATAATACATACCATAAATAATATACCTAGACACTACTAAGTACCTACTCAAATTTTGACATAAAAAATTACAAACGAGAAAAAAAATGTTTTACTATCTAGACATCTATTTCTATATTAGTTATGTCTTTAATGTAATAATAATTTGCATTAAACATTTAATGATAATTATGGCAATGTTCATATTTAAATTACAGTTACAACTTACAATCTAGTAGATAATTAGTTTGTCATTTATTGTAAGAAATATTTCTGTAAGTTATGGCCTATGTTCAACAATGAATGATGAATAACCAGTGATGATGATAGCAAAATAATAATTTCAACATGTAGGTATGTATAAATAAAATTTTATACACATAAATATATTATTCTCTCTAATGTTATCAAGTCACCTTTTAAATATCAGCAATGAACTATTAATACAATAAAACAAGATAAAGTTTCAACAACATTTAATATAGTTGATATATTTCACAAATTACGTTCTCCAAGTGTAAACAAAGCATACATTCACACAATATTATGAGATTTGTTCCCTTATTGTCTGATATTATACTTATTATACATCAAAAGCATATTGGCATTTAAACATCATATGTAAATAGACATTGCTTAAATCTAACAATCACATCCATTTTGTAAATATTCGATATTATAATCACAATAAAATGCCTAACAAACAAGTGTACATGGAAAGTTGTAAGGACAATTATATTGTCTTCAAATACATCTATATAATATCATACAATTTACTCTTCATTTGTGGCCACAATCAATAAATAGATAATAAGTTACTGTACAATCAGTTCAGTAACATTGTTCTTAGTGACTAGTGCCACTAAACTGCCGCTGGGTGGTCTCTCTTCTCCTTTTATCCATTTATCGAACAGCTGAGCAACAAAGGGAAGTGGTGTCCATGAACTAAAATCAGCCTTTGGCATCCATTTTCTATTCATTTCTGTGTCTAATGTAACCGGCAATATAGCCACGGCCAAAGAATTTTCTGGAAGGCCAGAGTCTTTAGCACCAAGTGATTTTGTAAGCTGGTGGACAGCTCCTTTGGCAAGGCCATAGCCAATCATACCAGGTGTCGCTTCAAGGGCAGCTTTTGCGCCAGTTAAGGCGAGAAGACCTCCTGGAGTGAGATATTTAGCGGCCAGTGTTGCCGCAATTGTCGATGACCATACCGACTGGCGCCACATTAAATCCGCTTGTTTGCTCAGTTCCTTAGCAGCGTTACCGCCGGCCCAGCCGCCGGCCACGCAAATCACAGCGTTCACTTTCTGACCTTGAAGCGCTGCCTCAAGTTCACTCACGACATGTTGCTCTTGCTGAATCCACGAACTTTCTTTAGGCACGGTAATGTTGACATCGGCACTCTCATTGGGATTCATATCAATATTGGCCACCCACCAGTTGGAAGACTTAAAGTGGTTGACGCAGGCTGCGCCAAGGGCTCCTCGGCCGCCGTAAACAACAATTCTGCCACTGGCCATAGCGCGTCTAAACACTGTCGCGGTGTAAAACTAACTGAATGAGAAGTTGATTGAACTGTATTGTAGGTGCAACAGCGAACGGGGGTAATAGAATGGTGAACTCGTTATCTTGTGCAGCGTGAAGGTTACTTCGACTAGGTAAGTAGGTGCCACTTTTTGTCTCGAGCTTCGTCAGGCGATTTATATTAGTAATAACAGTTTAAGGTTTATCAGTATTGTGTTTGAGATAACCTACAAAGTATTGATTTTTCCGAAGTTGAAAGAAATTTCAAATCTCAAAAAGAAAAATTGTCACTTACTGTCACTGTCAGTGTCCTTTTTTTTTTTTTTTTTAGTACGTTTGTTCCGTTTGGAACAGGCTAAGGTCGGAGACCATGCTGCCTAGTCTTCAAAAAGATAAATTGTCTGGAATGTGTCAGTGTCCTGTTAATATGTCAGTTGTCAAGTGGTGGCAATGTAAGTTATAGATTAAGGATAAAGTAAAAAAAGAGGTATTAGTCTAAAAGCCTCCGTTTTCAATCAGATAAATATCTATTGTATAAATGATTGATTTAAATCTCTTGTCAGTTGACTAGGCCCTTTATTGTAATGGATCTGTGATCTTTATAAAAGTAGAGCCAACTCAGATCATAAATTAAAGATGGTACCTATTTTCTAGATAATTTATTAGATAATATAGTATAAATATTTAGTTCAGTGTTACACACTGAATATGTCCGTCTGAAATCATAACGACAACAACGACAAATGTCTCTGACTGCTTCACTAGCGATTATATATAGTCGCAGGTTTGATTCTCGCATAATACACACGTTTTTACTCATGATTATCTCTGTTTGTATTGGCTTGCGTGTTTTATACGTAAGTGTAATATATACTTAAGCATTATGGAAAACAATATATTTTTCTTCATCTCATATGAATATATTTATATATTTAATAAAATAAAATAAATACGTTCATACCAAATTTCATAGTGATTGATTAGGGCCGTTAGGGCGCTAAAATGTAACAAACAATCCTACTTTTACATTTATAATATTCGTAAAGATTGCTCTTGTGATGTAACATAATATAACGCAGGCGGGGGGAAAGGGATTGTTAGTAATAGAGACTGAGAATCCCATTGCTAGACCAACCAGGTCGACCTCCTCGCGGTTCTCTCTGGAAACTATCATGGTTAATTCCTGATGAATTCATCATGATGGGCTAACCGGCCTGTTTTCATTCTCATCGATCACCCTTCACTGGTGCCCCGCCAGCGTATCCCGTTAGCGCAGGCGGGGTTACTATTCCATTTTCTACCAATAAAAAAAGTATATGCAGGGTTACCTACATTTTAATCCATTAAGAGTCGTGTTTCTTTAATATTATAACGCTAAATATTGGGAAAAGGAGAGTAAATATCCAATAGCATTTACTTACTTTTATTGTAATTAAAATTTTTTTTTTTTTTTAACAGTAGTACAATATATTGATTATTCTGTATTATTACATACTAATATAAGTACGGATAGGTATTAGAGCTTTTCCTTACCCACTAGTGAGTTCTACAATTAAGATAAATACTTATTAAAGTTCTAAATTAGGTGTATCAAAAACTACTTAAATTTAATTTAATTAGCCTTTTACAATAGCACATTATAACATGATACGAAAAATGAAAAGAATATTTTGAATATTAACATATTACTGATACAAATATAATTATATAAAAATTAATGCTGTTTGCATTCGAATCTCTTTGCCTGTTCCTTATAAGGTCTATGTATCTATAGGTTGGAGTAAAAATGTAGAAATAGATTGACGTTAGATTAATTATTTCATATAACATATGTACAAAGGTGTAAAATAAAATATTAATAAAATAAATATAATACAAACATAAAATAATAATAAAACTAAACAATAATATCATCAATATTCGCAGAGTAAAGTACACTAATTATAATATTGAGAGCGATGCCGATGGATTTAAAACCTAATGAGACGTTGTTCAGAATCTCAGCACCGCGGTGGTCCGGCTCACGGTTTATATTGTATATACAGCCTAGGACAACGGCTACTATAGCTGATATTACCTGGTACAGAAAACAAAAATAAAAATAAAACGAAATGAAAATAAAAAAATAAATAAAAAAACAAAGAATGTATACTTTTTCTTTTTTTTTTCTCTTATTATGGCACGGCACAAAGTGTATCCGCCAAAATCAAAGTTTGGGAAAGAACATTTTAGTAAAGGGAGTTTTAGACGACGGAATTTAGAATAAGGATCACAAAAGTTGAATAATGGATAATATAAGGAAAAGGACAGATACTGAAATAGTAATGACAATATATTTACCCTTAAAAATACATATGTATATGTAAAGTACATAAACTGAGAATATTCACAACTTTATATACTTAAAAACTCAAAATTGACAATCAGAGATTAAGAAGTGGCACTGAAAATTCAGCCAAATTATGCATTCGATTTTATTACTTAATGACGCAGGTATGTACGAAATATTTCTAAAATTTCCTACAGATTTTATAAAAGTATTGTCTAGACATCCGGTTTGCTAATTTAAATAATAGTGTACATTATTATTCATCTATAGATACCTATTAATGATAATTTTTTTTATCTTTAACACAAAATAAAAATTAAATCATTTATTAACAGGTAAGTATGATATTTGACTTAGATATACCTACAATAACTAAGGACTTATTTTCATTTCGGTATAGTTAATTAATCTATAGTAAATAAAGCAATAATTACTGTATAAAAAGTTAATTATATTTTTTTTAATTTAAAAAAAAATAAAAATAGAACAATCAATAATAGATACGCATAAGGCCGTGAGCAATTTGCAAAGTCATCTTTTTTATTTTTTTAAATCAACGTACATAACAATTTTTTGTAAGAGAGACGGTAGAGACCCAAAAACTATAATGACGGTCGATATAAATAAAGTTAAGTAGGCATATCTAGGTATATTGTATTTATATTTTATTTACATGTGACAATAAATCCAAATGATGAGTTCTTATATAAATTATTACGAGTGTCTATGACTAACCTATAATGTAAGGGCTAACCGTTTATAAAACAAAACAAAAAATAGTGTGCTAGACTCACTAAAGAACCTTACTGTATTAAACTATTAAGCTCTTTATAGAGCTATACTTTAAATATTCACATAGTAAAACTAAGTAATAAGTATCAATTTATTAATATCTATTATATAATCCTTAATAACATTATAAGCACAGTACAATCTAATTATTTATCAGTGGTCCAATGAACAAGTATATAGAGCAATGCGCCCTGAATTATCATGTATTTATTTGAGGCTCCGGTACTTTTATTTTTAACCGACTTAAAAAGAAAGAGTTTCTGAATTCGGTTGTATTTTTTACGTTTATTAGCTCATAACTCCGTCAGTTGTAAACCAATTTGGAAAATACTTTTATTCTAATTTGATATACTTACAGATTGGTCTAAAATTCAGAAATTTTATTGATAGTTCAGTTTTTAAAACAAAACAACTAGTTTTGCCATAATTGAAGTCGGTTTTTACTGTGGAACACAATTTAATTATACTTTTTACCTTTGAGATATTTCAAAAGCGAATTATTATTATTATATATTAGAGTTCAAATTGTAAATAACTGATTATAAGCCTGAATATAACTTCCTATAACTAGCTAGATGTTTGTAGAAACAACAGGTTCAAATATTGTTGAAGCCGATCTATTTCTATAAAAGTATATCTTACCTAAGTATCTAAGTTAATTATATAATTATTGGTATTAATTATATACCTAGTTATAATTACCTAATAATATTGCTGTCTAATTATCACTACATTGTTAAAATTATGGCACATATTAAGATGATATAAATAGGTATTCAGTATTATCTCCGAATACAGTTGAAGCAAACAGTTCCCAAATTCTGAATTTCAAAATTATAAAACTAAAAGTATACAAACAGCTAACTTAGTAGCACGAAAAAATTACAGAATAGGAATTTATCAGTGCCTTGTGTGAGTAGCACAAAAATATATGTTACGATATATGATCGCATTCGCATTTACTCGATAAATTTGTAACGAAAACTGCGCCTCTAGTGGATGGTTTTGGATACTTAGTTTTCCATATAAAATGTAACTTGTTATTACTATGCTAGCGATTATACGGTTTTATTTTGAGATTTTCCTTTCTTGCACTAATATATTGTACGGGGGGAGGAGATCATTAATATATGAGATCTAGTTATAGACTTTCGACGATAAAATGCACGCCCCCAAAATCCAAATAATTAATAATATTTGAGTAAATTATTTATAAGGTTTTGACCAAAGAATATATTACTCCTCGGGTTATGCTGAGACGTATCGTTTTCTATTTCTACTGTTATTGCTTAGAGCTAAAAAAGTCATACAAATTCGACGTCCTGTTCCCAAGAAAATCTTGTTCGGAGAGCGCGGGGTCAAGACCGAACGTCATTTTGATAACGTCACAAAAAACCACGCCCGTCATAAGACCGACTGACACGTGATAAAGCCAGTCGGAAATCTTCTTCTTTCTTTGGTTGCCTTCTTCGTCCATTAATGTAATTATTATAGCCAGGACTCCCGCGCTCGCCTGTACCAAGCAAATATCTCTATTATATATTTATTAAGACAAACCAAAGAACTTAGTAAATTACTACATTACTCAGGTTTCAAAATTGAAGTTCGTAGTTGACAATTTGTATTAAGGTTTTTTTTTCAGCCCAAAAAAGGCGGAGGGAGCCTGGTGAACAATAACACAGATTGGTTTATTCTTATCTAGCTTAAGCATCAGTTCTGTCCAATAAAAAATTGTATTTAGACACACTAAGGATTCTTAATGGATTCTAAATATATCTTATAATTATAGATTTTATACTAACAAACATGTTCTAAACGAAACTAAATATCTCAATTATAATTGAGATATTTAGTTTCGTTTTTTTTTTTGTTTATTTTAAACTATTTTTTTACGCAATTTAGAATGGCAAACAAAAAAAAAAAAAGAAAATACTATTATAAAACCTTTTTTCAGTATACAAGCAGACGGCCCATTTAATGAAAAGTGGTAACCATCGTCTACAAAAATGAACAATACCGTCGACATAACAGAGTTTTGTGTCGCTCATGAAACCCTTCAAATGTTGCCATACCTAAAGACAAAGGTGTTAGTGTTATTTTATTGTTGTATGTCAAATTATGTTTCCTTTAAATTATAAAACATTAACATTAATTATCTATCTCTATGAACCTGGATTATTTCAGTATTATTAATAACATTTACAACAATAATAAAGTACTTAGCTGCAGCTAAAAATAGTTATCTAAGCAAATATCAAAATGTATCGATTATAATTTAAAAATGCTTTAAGTTTGTACCATAAGTATAAACACCTAAGTAGCATTGTTGGATTTATTATTATTTTCCAGGGTAGGGTTGCCCCCTTTAAAAAAGTGTTTTCAGACATGTTTTTGCGAATCTTCGTTTGGATCTTGAGGTGGACCTCGGATTATTCTAGGGTAGGTATGACGCACCCGGCCTTCTTTCCTCTTAAATACATCTATGCTAGGTATATAATTGTTCCTGGACAATTTTTTGATAAGACAGTCAAGTACTTCGATCAAAATACTTTTAGTGTAGTTCTTTACCTATTTAATTGACAAAAAAAAAAAAAAAGATTTTATTAATTTGAATCTAATAATTACTTATTATTAGAATTAAACTCCTGTAGAATTTCCTTTTTTAAGATATTCATTATTGATGAATTTCAAACGTTCTAACACTAGAGGACTATTCGAATATTCTATACCGAACGCCGAAATGACAATATTAATAACGGATATAACAAATATAAATATAACAATGACGTCGTTGAGGATTAGCGCCGAAGGTTGGTCCTCGTGGTTGTTCAGATCCAAACCGCCAATAATGACGAAAAGCAATCCAACGAGAAGCTAGAACAATTATTCAACGAACGGAATCAGTGTCTTAAGTATAATAAAAAAAAAAACCTTCGTCGCTCTTCGACTCATCTAGCAAAAAAATCTGCAGAAATTCGAATTCAATGTATATTAGTACAACTTTGGCTAATAATTTTTAGATAAGTAGAAATTAAAATAAATATAAATTTTGAAGACAAATTTTACATTGAAATAGGTGTTGTGTTTATTATAGAATAATTAATATCGATTCTAATGCAGTTGTTCAATGTATAGAGACAAAGTAACGTATTTTAATGAAAGCGAAATTTAATGAAAGTGCAAAAAGTACGGGATTTGTTCATATTAAACAAATAACTCTGTTCGTTTATTGAAATAATATTGTTTTAATAATATTAAAAAAAAGTCATTTCAGGTGCAATTGGCGGTTATTATACATTATGGTATTTGAATTAGTTTATTATTATATTAATATTAATAATACAATTAATTATTTCCTTTACTATTACGTGTCTGGCCATAAAAAAAAAAAACATTTTCCTATCATACATAAGTCTATTACTATTTGTTACTGTAAAATCTAACCATTGTTGTTTATTGTACTATGTCTAATTGGAATGTATCCTGTAAGGACATTGAAAAAAGGAAATAAATAATAAATAAAAATATTACTGCTGTTCGTAAAATTCGTTATTTAAAAGCATTTATCAATCTTGAAATACTTGTTTTGCACTTTCATTATTAGATTTACTTTGTCTATAACAAGTCGTTAAATAGTTATCTATAATAATTTAATCATAATCGAGCTCAAGGTATCTAGCTAATGATGAGTCGAAAGCTGACACGAGCACGTTCAGCACTGTGACAATGAACGCTGTGGCTGTGGTGGCTTTGTTGATGTTCAGGGCTGATGACTTGTGCCGGGGCTCGTGGAAACGGCAGTCGTGTAGTAGGTTTAGCGAGAGGAGCACTAACCCCATCGCGACCTGATATCCTTAAGTTTAGTATACGAGTACAGAAATCATCTTCGACTGGAATTAGGCCATGTTTTTAAAAGTAAAAAAAATAGTGTCAATGTTGCCTACTTCGTCAAGTTATCTTTTGTTCTATGGCCTCGATTAATTAATTATCCGAAAAAAATTTAATAAAAATATGATTCCTAAAAATTTTATTTCGACTAACTTGCTTATTTCAATATTGATCAAGTGAAATAATAGGCAAATAAGCGAAAGTAACAAAAGATTTTCCAAGCATCTTTTGTGTGAAACGTAAATTATACTATGTGACAGTTACAGTTCACAGACGACGGCGTTAAAAATTATAGAAATCTGTATTCTCGTCTCTTTTTATGGCTAACTCATGGTTTATTTATTAATTTGCGGGTCAAAAGCGGTAAATTCCGAAATCCATCTACAATTACCGGCATTATACATCATATATATATTATAATTAAGATAATCATCATATCAGTCTTCATCAAACACAAGCCCATCCCCTGCAAAACACAAGCCTCCCCCTTGGGGGGTTTTGCCAGTAGTTCCCATGCTTAGCAGACGGATTAGCAACCGCAGTTAGGCTTTACAGATGTTTTAAAAGGGACGCTGCTGCCCATCCATCGCCCTCCTTTAGTCGTCTCTTACGACACCCACAAAAAAGGAAGGGGTGACCTATTCTATACCGGGATCACACGTCCATACTCTTACTTATAATTCATACTAATTATGCCAATATTAAGGTCCGAGGAAGAAAGGATTGTTAGTAATGAGAACTAACAACTCCATTGCCATCAACAAACTTTGTCAGGTCGACTTCTCGTAGTGTCCCTGCATACCGTGATCAATTCATTGTGAATTCGTCACGTTGGGCTAATTGACCTGACATCATTCTAACCTATCATCCGTCATTAGTGAATGGTAACCCCACCAGCGCTACCAATATAAGTTGGTGGATATATATATTGAGCCCTTTTTATTAAAGAAAATAAATTTAATAATATTATATTATATGACTGCTAACCTGTAGAGCGATTGATATTGAAATGAGTACAACCAGAAGCGTGTAGAACTCATGTTTGGGTCCGACTTGCAGTACATACTTCAGCTGGGACGCGTTTGAAGTCAGCAGAGCGATGTCCAGCATGCCCTGCGCCACGGTCTTCTTCGTCGCATACCGGTTCGCGTCGAGCCCCTTAACCTGGAATTGTCATTTAAAAATTTCATACAAATCCGAAAATAAAACTGGTACTACTACGTCTCAGAATTCTTCGAAATTAATTATGTAAATATGACTAAGCATTCCATGTAACTCTTGTAACTAATATTTAAAATAGATTCATTTATTCAAATGGACCTCTGATGTCTGTGTATAAATAAAAACAAACAAATAATTTTTAAATACACTATCGAGACTTAACGCGAAGAAAAATGTTTGTATGTGAATAGTACCTGCCTATACATACCTGCTTCTTTATTGTCGACGTTTTGACGTAGATTGCACCACGTCGTGGACACGACAGGAATATAGAAAAATAAAGATTCAAAATATTTTTCATCGCAGACTCAAGAATTTTTTTATCGCGTTAAGCCCCTATAGTGTAATTAATTAAATATGTGTAAAAAAAAACGCGAAAGTTTAAATTACAAAAATTTTTTATCTTTATCTTTATGTATGTCTAACAAAATTTGAAAGGTAAATTTATTACCATTTGGTATGCATTTCTTATCTAATTCGTGAACTGTATGTGCTTGTAACTTGCTGAAAACATTGTGTTACTTTAAAAAGGCTCAATGCATTTAAGAGGGGCGGGGAGGGAAGAGGTGTTAGGCACCCCTTTACCCCTGAAATATGATCTTAAGTATACCAATACCCATATACACTTATCAGCCCAGAATATAATGAAAAAAATGATAATAAAAATTTCATTGTTTTTGTTGTTTTTGTGTACATTTCTTTCACTTATATTATGCATTTGTGCAAACTTTATTGGCTGATAAATTATTATTTAATTGTGTAATTGTCATATGGGTTGTTTAGCTTTCTGTTTGCCTTAAATAAATAAACAAATCAATAAATTATAAAATTCAAGATAAGACGTAATATTTATAATCTAGCAATGTATTTATAATATCAATTGGTTCATGTTAGACAATTATCAATTACGAATACTTAATTGTTGTAAATAAAACTAAGAGAAAATAATTAAAGAAAAAGACAAAAAAAAACGACTTTCGTGTTTGTAGCAAAATCTGTTGTTTTGATCTCAAAACTAAATTATTGAACCGATTTTGATAAAATTTCTATAGAACCTATCTGGAAATATATCCTTTCTATATTCTCCAGATAAAAAGATATTCCAAGTCGATTGACGGAGTTATGAGGTAACAAACATAAAAAATAAATCAGTACAATCGAATTGGGAACCTCATTCTTTTTGAAGTCACTTGAAAATATAAAATTGTATTCCAATATTTATTGTCAGTTTTTTTTTTTCATTTATGCATTTAATATTAGAAAAACATTTTCTTTAATAATATTTATATGCGCAGTTTATTTTAACCACCATTTAAACATTTAATAAGTTTATCAAAACCAAGATAAAATCTTTCTACCTGTGCCACATTACTAAAAAATAATTACTAAAAAAAAAAAACAATTACACCATCGCTGACGACCTCCGTGGGCGCATTTTGTCCAATGTAAACAATATCATCAATATTCACTGTTTGATTGTCACTACCACTGTTTTCAATTTTCTGCTTCCCTTCGGCCATTGTGATTGAAACACTAATTCTATGCTTGTTTACTCACGTGTCGATGTCTACTAACTACAAACAGTCAAAACTAAGTAAGAAATCGAGTGTTTCACGGCACTTCCTTTATACAAGGCCGATATAATAAGGTGATTAGACAATAATCAGTACTTCCAGATAGCTTTAAGAGAGAATTGAAAAATTAATAATGAGAACAACATAGATACAGAAATGAATATGCGTCTTAATAATAGTTTAATAATTATTAAATTGAGCTAATTTATTTCATAAGGGAAAGTTATTGTAAATCGTATACTATCTTATCTAAAGTGATATAGACACATTTACGTATTAATAGATAATGATATATATATATATATATATATATATATATATATATATATATATATAATACTTATTAACTATACCCGTGACTTTGTTTACATGAGTTGCGACCGCGCTTGCTATTTTAACACGCAGTTTTTATATTTTCCTGTTTACTATAAAAAAATATTCTATAATAATTATGATGTAAACACCTACTACACCAAATTTCATCAAAATTAGTTTGTGTTTTAATGGATAATAATGGAATAGTAAATCCTGCCTGCGCTATTAGTATACGATGGCTGTGCATCATCCCAATCAGCCCATCGTAAACGAATTCATAAATAATTATCCAAAGTGGTTTTCAGGAGAATCGCGTGGAGGTCGACTTGATAGGCGTATATTTTTTTATACAACTTAGAATGGCAAACAAGCTGACGGCCAACCTGATGAAAAGTGGTAACCGTCGCCTATAGACATGAGCAGCTATTGTTATTGCTAGCAATATGGCTACTAGTCCCCATTCTAATAGGGATTATTAAAATGGGAACAAAAAATGGGAATTTTGATGAAGTGGATTATGAGTTAGGATTCTCACATTATAATTTTATGAAGAGACTAATAAAAGTCATTATTAGTGTATTAACCTTCAGAAACAAAGAATTCATACAAATATTTAATGTCATTCTTATCATTAGATTTTAGCGTACAAATAAAAACAATAAAATTTTATTTTACACACACATCATTACAATATCGTTCAATTTTAACACAGTGTTTGCATGGCTGTGTTTCGGTTTGAAGGGTGGGATATGGCGTCAATTTACCGGGTACAGAGGAATAACACCTGAGTCCTCAGGAATGGCAACGCATGGAGGGTATCATGGGCGAAACAGTATACTTTGTTATGTCCATGGTACTGCTCATATCTATAGGCGACGGTTACCACTTTCCATCAGGTGGGCCGTCAGCTTGTTTGCCATTCTAAGTTGTATAAAAAAAAACTGTACGTACGACTTCAATCATTAAGCATCATCATTAACATAGTCGTTAGACATTAGACATCAGTGAATTATTTTATCTAATAATCATAGTTATAGAAATAAGATAACAACGACCTTTAATCGATGTATTGTATACTATATCTATGTATTTACTGTAGATAAAGTCACATATAGAGATACCTGTTCAATAGACATTTGTTATTCGGATTGGAAATTTTGATAACTAGTTTGACGAGAATTGTAAGCATTGAAACGAAAATCGATAGTTTTAACACAGTAATTTTCTTTCTATACTGCATGGACCTAAGCTCCAACCAAGAAATAGACGAAACGAGCTTTAAAGACAATGTTCCTTTTTACTTAATCTAAAATTCTTTTAGTTGTTATTCATTTCAACAACAGACAAGGATTGGTACTTCTATTTTCTATCCTTCTGATGACGTCTTCATTGCTAACCCTTAAGACTATTTTACTTATTTTGAATACTTCATATTTATGAAGTTATTGAACCAATCACAGAAATAATAAAAAAATAGCCTCCGTATCCCGAGTTGAATAAACCTTATATTTTAATAATCCTGCTATTGTATTCATAGTTCGAAGGCGTTTAAAAGGCGGCAATTGTCAAATGCCTACACTTGGATCAAAGGGAAACTTCCAATTGTGCTTATAGACATATTACATCATAAAAATAACCTAAAATACACCAATATTAAACATTGTTATCAAAATGAGGCAACTACTTTTTAATGTTTTTTTTTTTTTAATTTTTAGGAACGGCTTACTTGATGAGAGAGATATTTTCGCATAGTCACCCAGGACGTAAGTTATAACACAAACAATAAATAAATTAAATTCATACCCAATCATAATACAATTTAAATATTAATCACATAACACCCGTGTACGATGTATTCCGCGTCGTAATTTGGGCTCAATAGCTTAAGACGCTGATGGTCCGTAGCCACCAAAAGATCCTCTCCTTTGCATTACATATAGGGACTACCTCAAATAGATTTCTGGCAGTCAAAGAATACAAAATCGTACAGGATTTTTCCTTGAAATTGTCTATGGATACTTCCTAAATGCTTTAACACTTCAACAATTGATATAGAAGTGCTAAAATGGTTGAAATTTAGATCGATATTATAATAATAACCGGATTCATGTATCATGGACTTTGTAATTTAGTAGTTTTTTTTGAATAGTATATGAAATAATTAAGTACCCATAACAATAACGTTTCCAATATTCGTAAAATTTGCAACCTCGACAGAAGGCCGTAAGTAGGTAAGTACGAATAGATATTGAATAGATACGTTTCAATCACGCAATAGATGTATATTAAGTAGGTGCATTTATTGCAAAAATTGTATTAAACCGTCTGATAAATTATAGTATTATTACTCACTATATAGTTATATCTATTGTTTGACAGAAATTTGAGTAAGTAATACTTAGTTCTTATTTTAAAGTAGGTATATTTTTTACATACGTTGCAAAAATGAAAATGTCGACATCTTTGGTACAAAGTGGTAAGAGGTAGCCGTCATATTTTTTTTTTGTGGGTGAAAATGGTATGGTAACCCCGCCTGCGCTAACGGGATACGCTGGCGGAGCACCAGTGAAGGGTGATAGATGAGAATGAAAACAGGCCGGTTAGCCCAATATACCCAATATTGCTAGCAATAGGATTCTCAATCTCCATAACTAACAATCCCTTTCCCCTCACCGTCATATATTGACCCCAATAAATAAGACCGTATACAAAATGTACAGTACATTTTGAATTTTGTACATTATGATCATATCATACTTTCTGGGGATTATTAGTAGTGGCGCCTAACATTTCATTTGATAGATAGCATGCTAGCATATAGAAGATGTTGGTGTCAAAGGAGTTACCAAAACTTTACTATACTAATTGTAAACTTTTGGCAATTCCTAGACCTAACTAGATAGAGTTTTGACTAGAGTAGTAGAGTGTGTTAACAGTAAAGACACGAAGGAGGTCCTGGGTTTGATTTTCAGCTACATTCCAAAGTTTTCTAGTTAGCACAAGATATTTTACTTTCATTAAATTAAAAAATATAGTACATACGAAAGCCATAGTGGTTATTTTAGTACGAATTAAAAATAATATAACACCGCTGGCCACTTACCCCATTCCGGAGTCCTGCTGGCAAAATCGAAGCCATTGTGATAATAATAAACAAAAATTTCTCTTCAGCTCACAACTCTCATGGGTAATTGTAACTGTTGGGAAAAGATTTTATCAGTCATTTTACTTTTTAGCACAAAGGTCGTGGGAATCAGCGTAAACAATGATTGTCAATGACTTCATTTTACTCGAATACTATAAAATCGATGTCGTTACTGAGGCAACGGGATTAAACAACATCTATACAAATTATCGGTATATACATATACCGGTGTATACCGATAGCGCGAGTGGGGTAATCATTCCATTATCACCCATTAAAAAAAAATTCAAACCCATAACTTGTGGGGTGAAGAGTAAAGTAAGTATATCAGACTTAGGATCTATAAGTGGAGGTAGAATATTATTAGTTTTCATACTAATTACCAGAGGGAGACTTTGTACAAAAGTCGATTGCTTGGGTACCTCTGTCCCATTCGTGTTTCAACCGTGAAGCAGTTGTGTTTGCATAACTGTGTTTCGGTTTGAAGGGTGGGATATGGTGTGAATTTACTGGGTACAGAGGAATAACACCTGAGTCTTCAGGAATGGCAACGCATGGGGGGTATCATGGGCGAAACAGTATACTCTGTTATGTCCATGGTACTGCTCATGTCTATAGGCGACGGTTACCACTTTCCATCAGGTGGGCCGTCAGCTTGTTTGCCATTCTAAGTTGTATAAAAAAAAAGACATCCAAACGTCTTTACAAACTTTTGCATTTATAAGATTACTAGCTGTTTCCCTTAGCCTCGCCCACGTGAATCAATACATATAGTATCCTATATACTACATTTTTTTTAATGAATGACAATGGAATGGTAGACCTGTCTGCGACGGTATACACTGTTGGAGCACTAGTGGGTAGTAGTAGGCTATATAACCTATCCGTGTACCAAAATTTTAACCAAATCCGTTCAGTAATTTTTGCATGAAAGAATAACAAACATCCATCCTCAGTTATGAAATTACGCATTTAGTATAATAGTTAGGTTAGTAGAGTAAAAACATTGGGCACAAATTTATTTGCACTTAGATATAAAGACACTTATCTACTTACGATTTACGATATAGTAACAAAATGTAGGAAACAGTAACAATACAACTATGAGTATATTTAGAGAGTGAGCTGTGCTCACACTAGGATGTGAGCAAAACTTCGCAAAGACATGTCTACGGGTAGCTGACGATCCACCTGAAGGAAAGTGGTACCATGGTCATAAAAGAGGATATTGTTACCCCCACGACCCCCATGTGTTTCCATCCCTGAGGAGTAAGGTATTATGCCTATGTACCCTGTAATTTTACTGCCATAAACACAGCCATGCAAACACAATTGCTTCACAGTAGAAACACGAATGGGACAGAGGTGCCTTTTGTGTAGTCTACCACTGGTGCGTATGCGCCTTTTTTAAACTTTTTTAATATATATTGAAATAAAATGTACCCTGTTACTATTTTATTATATAAATAGTAAAAGTATAGTACTAAAACCAATGAAATAGACCAATTTTAGATAGTATATCAAGATAAAACTCTTCGCCTGCAGCATAACGCTGAACAGGGACTATTCCGGCAAACATTATAATTAGCAGAGGGAGACTTTGTACAAAAGTCGATTGCTTGGGTACCTCTGTCCCATTCGTGTTTCAACCGTAAAGCAGTTGCGTTTGCACGGCTGTGTTTCGTTTGAAGGGTGGTATATATGGCGTGAATTTATTGGGTACAGAGGAATAACACCTGAGTCCTTAGGAATGGCAACGCATGGGGGTATCATAGGCGAAATGGTATACTCTGTTATGTCCATGGTACTGCTCATATTTGTAGGCGACGATTACCACTTTCCATCAAGTGGGCCGTTAACTTGTTTGCCATTCTAAGTTGTATAAAAAAAAAACCTAAAACAAATTCTTATTTGTATTATAATCAAAATTATCTACTCGTGTTTATAGCGCAGTAACCTGTTAGAGGTTTCCACGTCAGTTCTATATCATAGATAATTTTGCCGTTATTTACTTTTTAATAGACACAGTTATTAAGTTTCATTCAAATATTTTTTTTTTAATGAAAACTTACAATGGCAAACAAGGCGACGGCCCACCTGATGGAAAGTGGTAACGGTCACCTATAGACATTAAGATATGGACATGGCAGCGTATACTGTGATACCCTTCTCAGGAAAGGCGAGGCCTCATGCGTTAAGGTCTTATTCCTCTATACTCTGTAATTGAACCGAAACAATCATGCATAACTGCTTCACAGCAGTAACAAAAAGGGACTGAGGTACCCAAGGAAAGTACAAAGCCTCCCTCTGGTAAATAATTTCTTTATATTTATGACTATATATTTGATATTTATTTATGAGAAATTACGATGATTTTACATAAACAATCTGCCAAGTTCAGTTCAACTACCAATGAATATAAAATTAAAGTGTAATCAAAATTATTCGATACTTACTACAACGTTCCAGGTACTTAATTGTTGATCTACTTTATTTTCTTTATTTATTATGAATTAATTTTGTATTCTTTATTTCTAAATAACAAAATGCATCATTATTTTTATATAGTCAATAATAACATTGTACAAAATATTTCTTCCATTATTTTTTGCAGTTTTACATCTTTTCATCGAAATTCGAATGGAAAAAAGTTTTCAATAATCCGCGCTTGTTTGTTATTACCTATTCTAATTCATAATTTTACACCAAATATTAAGCTATATAATTTTAATTAATACGTAGCTCAAGTCAATATAACAAACTTTAAGATTTTCTTTAAATTAGAAAGTAATTAGAGAAGTTTCTGCATTCCTCCGATTTTTAAAAGAAACTTAAAATGAAACGTGTGCGCGCTCTGCCGTTCGTTTTTGCGTCCTTCCTTCCGACTGTCAAAAATGTTTCCATTTCTTTCGTGTAATTGTATTTGTTTGCAAAATTAAAAACAATAATAGTTTTTTATGTATATAAGCCATGATTTTATATAGTTTTTAGTGATTGCATATTGTGTTTTATTTAAGTTTATATTTCATTGAAATATCATGTGAGAAGCAGATCAAATCGTGAAGTGTTGTGTCTTGTTTTTGTCCAAAGCAGATCACGTAGATCTTCCAGATGCTGCCTTCCATGCCCATTCTGTATACGAGAGAGAGTCAGGATGCTTTTGGTAACAAAATTGAGCCAAGTACTAGCTTTTTCAACCAGAATTCAGTTTCAAAACCCGTAATCTACCCTGAGGTGAGTCAGACAGGAGTGCATTTTATTTACATAATCCTGTATTAATTCGAGGTTTTATTATTATAAACTTTAGTTAAATTTTCTTGTAGACATTCTGGTCGATGATATTTATATTGTATACACAAACACGTCTTAATATTGGTGTTATTTTAGATTCATTGCATCTATAATGATTGACGCCATTTTCAACAACACTTGTGATTCCATTATTTTTAATTAATATTTTATTTTTCTTCAGCCACAACCTCAAAGGCCTGAAAAAACTATAAAGGAAACTTCTGATGTTTCACAAAAAGAAACAAAAGGCAAAGGAAACACTAAAAAGAAACAGGAACCACCTAAAATTGATGATAGAGCATTAGAGAATGGTGAGTGCAATAAATAACAATAACTTGTCAATTCAGATAATACTTATTATTATTCTTTGATATGAATTACAAGCATGTATTTTATGAATTAATACATTTTAAATTTTCATTACAACTTACCAAATTATTGTTAATTTCTTTTATAATGAAAGGAACATAGATACATAACAAGAGACATGATTGGAAGTTTTAGTAAAATAATGTTGCAAAACTTAATATATTATTTATACTTTTTCAGCATTAGTTACCTCCTATTACAACAAAGTGAAATCAAAATTTTCATCAAACTCTGCAGTAGCAGCTAATAAATTTTTTCAATTCCAAAATTTATTGCAAACATTTGACCCATCAAAAGAGACTCCGGTACAATTATATAGAAAAGTTGAAATGTTATTTGGAGAAGATCATAAAGATTTAGTTGAGGAGTTCTTGATGTTCTTAAAGCCAGGCCAGGCTGCAGAAGTTGGACGGTTTATGGATCACTTTACACTTGTACAGATGACTAGTTTCATTGAACTATTGCAAGTAAGTTTTTTTCCTGGACAGCTGTTTAGGTGGTGAAGCATTTTAACACAGCCTCACCTCACAGTTGTGACCATGATCTAAATATTCAGATATTTATGTTCATTAATGTCTATTTATATTAATCTGGGTTTTTACCTAAGTATAATATGTATATATTTAAAAAATATATCTATTAGTTGTCTAATTTCTGTAATACAAGTTCTGCTTAGTATACCTATGGAATATGGCAATGATTTTACAAGGTTTGGAGGTATAACACCATAGTCCTGTAAGAGGGGAACTAAAGTCTATTTCAATAGAACTTAATAAAAAGAAAACCAATGTTTTATTTGCACTACTATTCGAATAAATAAATAATTCAAAATAAATCAACTGACTGTCTATGATCGAGTCAGTTAATGATTTATTTATATTTTTATTAAGTTATGTTGAAAAAACAAAAAACAATTGTGGTCCCATATTTAGCATTATACACTATACATTATACACCACACTTGACAAGGTCTACCACCACATGATCTCCTCTAGAAACTGTCATATTAATTTTAGCTGAATTTACCATTAAGGGCCACCTAACCTATTTTCTTCCTATTCTTATAGGTACTGATATCATATATTAAAAAAATATCTACATCTTCCATTCTATTATTATCTGTTTAAAAAATCCATAACCTTCAGAAATGTCATCACTAAGGAGTACCATGGACCATGGTACCATCACAGTATATTATCACTGTAGTATATTCTGTGATATTCATGGTGCCCTTTAATATTGATATTCTATAGGTAATGGTTGCCACTCTCCATCAAGTAGAACATTTGCCATTTTAAGTATCATAAAGATAAAACTCTAGGTGTCATGTCATATAGGAAGGTCATGGATATGGCCTGGTATAGAGATGGCTGGAAGAAGATGCATGAATTAGTTGCACCGACAAGAGGAAACGTTTAAATGAAAAGAAAAAAGAAATATTTATAGGTTTTATTATTTTGGAAACATAACAGTAGGTTTATGTTATTAATACTTATAAATAATAACAATAATTTATATTTCAGACTACAGTTTGGTCCATTTTGTCAGTAACAATTTCCTTACAAACTGTGTTAATAAAATTGAACATACAATTAAAGCAATTTACTGAGATCTGATCCAGCTGTTTAGAATAGCATCTGAATGAAATGCTGAATTATAGGAGAGCTTTATTTCTCACTTATAACTTTCAGAATTTTGTTAGTGCTTGTCCTAGCTCTGTAACAATGATAAAAGACTAGGTTTTTTTTAATACAAGTAGTTATATCTGTATTATTACATCTAACTGTACTGTTTCCAGTTGAAACTAACTACTAACTGTTGCACTGAGAATCTATATAGGGAATCTGTTAATCATCACTTTAAACAGCATTATGCAGTGGTGGTTTATGCCAGCACTGAGCCTGTACAGTTAGTTTGGTCAACAAACTGATGGCTTACCTTATGGAAAGTGGTAACCGGGGTTGTTAGTTAATAATCTTCTCCTAACTAAATTATACCATATCAAGTTAACTTCCATATGGTTCCCTTTGGAAACCATGGTGGTTAATTCCTTATAAACTCAAATGCCCTAACTTTGTCGTCACCTAATATTATCTCATTAGGAGAAGGGATTGTTACTAGTTTTTTTTTTTAAAAATGAAATGGTAACCACACCTGCGCTACCGCTATACGCTGGCGGGACTCCAGTGAGAGATGATAGGTGTGGATGAAGGCAGGTCAGTTAGTTCATTGTAACAAATTCCACTAGAAGCAACCACAATGGTTTCCAGGCGGTACCGCTTGGAGGTCAACCTAATAGGGTGTATTCAGTGGATGATAATGGAATGGTAGCCCCGCCTGCGCTAACGGTATACGCTTGTGGGGCACCAGTGAGGGATGATAGGTGAGGATTACAGAGCAGGTCAGGTAACCTGTCGTGATGAATACACCTGGAATTCATTACTGTTCCCTGGGGAACCATGGAAACGTCGACCTGATAAAATATATTATTATCGATGAGACTGGTAGTTCGCATTACTAACAATCCCTTTCCCTCCAATAGGGTGTATTGCTAGCAATGGCGTAGTTAGAACCCATTACCAACAACCCTTTTCAGAAGAAAAGGGTTACTAGGAAGTAATGGGGTCTAACTGCCCCATAGCGATGAGGGGGGGCTGGAAGGATTGTTAGTAATGCGGACTACCAGGCCCATTATTAACAATGGGCCTGGTAGTCCGCATTTAATTTATCACCTGTGTCCCGCCAGCATACTGATAACGCAAACGGGTCTACCATTCCATTCTCACCCATTAAAAAAAATCCACGCGCTTCCACCTGGAACCATCATGTTTAATTCTTGGTAAATTCATTATGACGAGCTAACTAATCTGCTTTCATCCTCAATCTATTTCATTTATCACTGGTGTCCCGTCAACATATACTGATTACACAGGCGGGGTAACTTTTCCATTTTCACCCATTAAAAAAAACCACGCGTTTCCACCTGGAACCGTCGTGTTTATTTCTTGTGAAGTTCGTCATGACAGGCTAACTAACCTGCTTTCCTCCTCAACTTGTTTCATCAGTGGTGCCTCGTTAGCGTATTCCGATAGCACTGGCAGAGTTACTATTCCATTCATCATCATATCAGCCCTTAACTGTCCACTGCTGAACATATGCTTCCCCTAGGGGGTTTTGCCAGTAGTTGCCACGCTTGGCAGATGGATTAGCAACCGCAGTTAGGCTTTAGAAATGTTTTAAGAGGGACGCTGCTGCCCACCGCTCGCCCTCCCTTAGTCGCCTCTTACGACACTTATGGGAAAGGAAAGGGTGGCCTATTCTATACCGGGACCATACGGGAGAGAGACTTTGTACAAAAGTCGATTGCTTGGGTACCTCTGTCCCGTTCGTGTTTCTACCGTGAAGCAGTTGTGTTTGCATGGCTGTGTTTCGGTTTGAAGGGTGGGATATGGCGTGAATTTACAGGGTACAGAGGAATAACACCTGAGTCCTCAGGAATGGCAACGCATGGGGAGTATCATGGGCGACACAGTATACTCTGTTATATCCATGGTACTGCTCATGTCTATAGGCGACGGTTACCACTTTCCATCAGGTGGGTCGTCAGCTTGTTTGCCATTCTAAGTTGTATAAAAAAAAAACCCCCTTTAAAAAATATAGACATGTGGTTTCCACAGAAATCACCGTGATTGTTTTCGAATTCGACACAGTAGGTTAATTAACCAGCTCTTGGGGGAAAGGGATTGTTAGTAATGGTATCAAATAGCCCCATTACTAGCAATATACCCTGTCAAGTCGACCTCCACGTGATTCCCCCTGGAAACCATCGTGGTTAATTCTAGTTGAACTCGTCAAGATGGACTAACTGACCTGCTTTCATTCTCATCTATTATCTCCCACTGGTGCCCCGCTAGCGTATACCGATAGCGCAGGCGGGGTTACCATTCCATTATCACCTATTAAAAAAAAACTGACCAGCTCTTAATTCACCTCTCATGCCTCACTGATGCCCCGCCATCGTATATCAATAGCGCAAGTGCGGTTACCGGGGGGAAAGGGATTGTTAGTAATGAGGTCTAATGAACCCATTGCTAGCAATACACCCTATCAGGTCGACCTCCACGTGGTTCCCCCTAGAAACTATCATGTTTTTTTTTAATAGATGATAATGGAATGGTAACCCCGTCTGTGCTATCGGTATTCACTGGCGGGGCACCAGTGAGGGATGAATGATGAGGATGAAAAGGCAGATCAGTTAGCCCATCATGACGAATTCAATGATAAATTAGTCACGATGGTTTCCAGGGGGAACCGCGTGGAGGTCGACCTGATACGGTATATTGTTAATAATGGGAACTAACCTCCTCATTATTAACAATCCCTTCCCCCCAACTATCATGGTTAATTCTAGTGGAATTCGTCACGATTGCCTAACTGACCTGCTTTCATCGTCACCTATCATCCCTCGCTGGTGCCCCGTCAGCGTATACCAATAGCGTAGGCGGGCTTACTATTCCATTATCACCTATTAAAAAAAAAACTGACCAGCTCTAATTCACCCCTCACGCCTCACTCACGCCACACGGATTACCATCCCATTTTCATCCTTAAATACTTTTTCTAACAACAACCTTCTTTACCCAGGCCTGTTTCACAAAACTGCCCATTATGAAATTTGATTTACAAATTAAATTTCCCTTTGTGTAAGTCATTTTACAGCGCATACCCTACGTTATCACTGTATCATTGTAGCCGTTAACTGTCCACTGCTAGACATAAACCTTCTCCACAAGGGGAGATTTGCCAGTAGTTGCCACACTTTCGTAAATCATAAGCCAACACATCCTATGATGTGTTGGCGATGTCTGGTGTCTAGTTCCCTCTCGTGGAACCGATTCTATCGATATGTTCAACACAAACGAAAATAGAAATTTGGTTCACTCCTAAATTAACTCCCGTCTGCTCTGGTTTCTCGTAATATGATGTACCTGTCCTAGGGGGACGACGACAAGAGATTGTTAGTAGCCCCATAATATACTCTTCCAGGTTAATCTCCACGCGGTTTCCATCTGGAAACCATCGTGGTTTTTATTTAATGAGTAAAAATTCAATGGTAACTCCTCCTGCACTAACTGTGAAGATGAAAGCAGGTTAGTCCATTGTGACGAATTCTACAAAAAAAAAAACCAAGAGGGTTTCCGGGGAACGAGGATAGGAACTGCGTAAAGGTTTTTTTATACAACTTAAAATAGCAAACAAGCTGACAGTCCACCTGATGGAAAGTGGTAACTGTCGCCTATAGACATGAGCAGTACCATAGACATGACAGAGCATACTGTTTCAACCATGATATCTCCCATGCGTTGCCATTCCTGAGGAATCAGGTGTTATTCCTCTGTATGTTGTAAATTCACGCCATATCCCTTCAATCCGAAACACAGGCACTCAAACAACTGCTTCACTGTTGAAACACAAATGGGACAGAGGTACCCAAGCAAACGACTTTTGTTCTCTGGTAAACTGGTCAACCTGATTGGGTATATTGCTAGCAAAACCCTATTACTACCCTATCGTGTTTAAATCTTATTGAAATCGTCGCGATGGGTTGACTGACTGAAGGGCCTACAGTGTAATATTTTCCGAAATTTCATTTCTTGATAAACACTGCTTTCATTCTCGCCCATCATCCCTCACTGGTGCCCCGCCAATGTAAACCGCTAACGTAGGCGGGATTATCCATTATTATCCATTTAAAAAACCTGGCCTAGATTCTATCTTAAAAATTTTTTCGAACATTTGTCGAAGATTGAACACGTCTATGAATTAGTAAATTTTATTGTTCAACAACGAAAACTTTTTTAAATGCTTATTGACAAAATTAAACCGGACTTTATTTCCATTGTTACAGATCACATTTTCCCGCAAGCCGACGGTCTTACGCAAAATATTACGAGCAATCACGACTGGCATAAACAGCGGCAGAAGTGAGGACATGAAGGCACGTGTACTACCTCACCTCCGCTCGAACCCTCGGCTCACTCAGATGTTCAAGGCTTTGTTCGCCGATGAAAGGCCTCCCGACAGGTATTTATTTTGCTGTCTGCTTTATTTTTTATAATTTAAAAAAGTATTTAAACTCAATAAATTAAAATATAAATATTTTTCTTGACCTTAAACTTTTATTTCAAAATATAAATTTTATATTTTATACAAAAAAGTCCAAGATATTAAAGAAATACTAGCACATTTGATTGACTTTTGTTCTTTTAATAATTGTAACAATAATTTTTCCACAGTATATACGAGAACGGAACAGATACAATAAACGAAAGTTTTCTCACCAGAGACAAGGGTTATGATTTTTGGGAATTTGATGACGAATCCCATAATAAGAGGAAATTGGATGATAAAGAGAGTTTGGATACTATGGTGAATATCATTATTTAAAGCTATATAAATATAAAGTTCCCAATTTATTTTTTTTACATTTTTTCTTTCTATTTTACAGTATCTTCACGGACGAGTGTTTCTTCAACACGGTAGACTATTGCGCACAGCGCGCGTTACATATCCCTATAGCAAGGAGCCCTATCGGGTGCACGCGCGACGGCTGGCCCCCCCACATTGTCACCTCTCACCGCCCGAGTCGGATGAAGAGAGGGCATCACCTAAACGCACCAGCAAATCCACCTCAAAAATTCCGCCTAAAAAAACAAAGAAGCAACTAAAATCGCCAACTAAAAACGTCAAAGATGTAAATGACAATACAAAAGTCAAAGAAACAGTACCTAGTGTTTTAAGTAGTCCTAAAACAGTAAAAGGTAAATCACAAAGTAATGCTAAGAAAAATTGCAAAGATAGAAAAGAAAGTGACAAACAGGATACTGTGCCGAAAAAGGATAAAAAAGAAAATAAGAACCAAACATTCTTTAGAAAAGAAGAAGCAACTAAAATTAAACAGACAAAAGCTGAACCTATTCCGGGTAGTACAGAAAAGAAAACCACTGAAGTAAAAAATAGCAGTTGGACAAGAGACGAGGATAAAACAATGTTAGAAGTCCTCAAAGGCGAAGCTAGCTCAGAGCTAGTTTTCTGCAAAATAAGCGAGTTACTTCCACACCGTTCCGTCACAGAAATAAAGGAACGATTCTGTCATGTAATGAATTTGCTGCAGCAGATGCAGATGGGCGTCGGCGAAGTCACTTAGCAGTATAAGTTAAAATGTAAATAAAATCGTATTTATAATTTTATATAAAATAAAAAAATATTTTTGACCTACCATGTATTTTTTATTTTTGTAATAAATACTTATAGTAATTTTTGACAGTCTAAAAATCAACTAATGTCATTTTGATTGTAGTTTTTGACCACAAATATTTTTCTATTAAAAAATGTTCAAATTAAATGAAAATTATTATTTGAGAAAGTGTTATCTTGAACGCGAACAAGTCCCGACCCAGTCTGTGATGAAAAATAAGATGTCGCCACCGTTAGCAAATGTATACTTTAAATCGATGACACCAAAATTGAAAGTTCTCGCTGGCTTAGAGCCACCTATGAAAGGAGGCGGCAATGATTGGTTCGTAGCACCTGAAGATCTTTTAAAAGAACGGGCCATCTTAAAACCTGTAAAGAAAGAGTATCTCTCAAAACTAGGATACAACGGTATAAGATTCTTCGGTGAGAAACTAGTTAAAAATCACAAAAAACATCTGGAAGATGAAAAAACTATTCTACTTCAAGAGAACGATATCAATTGGAAGAAAACTATTGAAACAAACTGTCGCCAGCTCTGGGAAAATTGCTCTAAAGAAGCTGCTAAACAAAATACTCGGAAAATACAACAAGCATTTCATGAATTTACTATAATGTACACTACATCCATTTCTAAAATAGAGTTATTGTTTCATGACGCGACTATTAAAGAAATCAAAAGAGCTAAGGAAGAGGCCTATAATAAAATGAGTCTTCGTTATAAAACGTTGTTAAAGCATCAGGCGACGATGTTGTACGATAAATATAATGAACAATTATTAAAAGACAAAGCAAATCTTAAAGCCCAATTTATAAAGAACATTGAAGAATCACGGTCACTTACGGCGGAACAAATACATGATATAAATGTTGAAAAACATACAGTTGTAGAAAAGTTAAGAAATTTACTTGAGTGTCAAAACTTAGCTTGTCAAGTATACGTAGCTCTAAAAGAACGAGAAAAATGTAATAAAGAAATACAACAGATGACGCACGAACACGCTAAAAAGGTAAAAGTATTGACGGATGAAATAGCAATGAAAGATTTCGAAATTCGACTAGCAAAAGAGAAGGAACGGAATTGTGATGAGTTCATGAAGATATGGCAAAAGAAAGTATGCGAAGTGGTTAAAAGGTTTCAATTGTTTGTAGTGTATTGTCTAAACACTTTACCGGAACACGCAGATTTTTTCATTGACATGGAGAAATTAATGTTGTTACAGTTAAACGAAGCATTAGAAAACCCTAGTGCTGAAAGTATTTTTGTGTCTGAACAAGATGAATCGCGGCACACTCCAGTACCTCGACCGCATCCATTCTTTCTCTTTTGCGATAAAGGATATAAACCAAGACTCGAGCAAAATCTCTGTCCGAAACATTGTACGTCCAGTGCATCTCAACTGCCGGTAATAGTAGTAAACAAAAGATGCATCTATGCCGCTTGTGATAATTTTGACATGTTTACGGATAAAATAAAGCAATACATTCACGGCCAACGTGGAGATGATGAAGATTTAGCTGATAATTACGTGTATGAGCATGCCGTTCCAGTTAAATTTACCTCTTCCAAACAGCTGCTAGAATTAAAATTGGAAAGCTCTTTATTTCAAATTATACAAAATGAACTATCGAACGTAAATGATGTACCTCTTAATTGTTGTATTTGCAACGTACCTTACTGTTTCTGTAATCCGCTCGAAGCAACACAGATTCCTTCAAATTCTCACATAGAAACCAAAATGACACCTGCCACATCTATTTCTTCAGGTATCAAGATTGAAACTGCAAGTGTCGAATTGGCCCATGAACGAGAACCGAAATGGGAGAGTTTCATGAATTATATGGATTCAAAGAAATGCAAATGTAGTAAAAAAGCTAAAAGACACTTGAAAGAACATCTTCCAGTTTACATGAGGAAGATGTCGACCTTTGATTCGCCTGATTTGCCTAACTATGAAAAATGTTCTCTTGCTACTTTGAAGAAGTTGGTGAAAAGGGCTCAAGGGAAATCTTCACCTCCTCTAAAACCTGAACCAATTGAAATAAGAACCAAAGATGCCAGCACCCAATATACGGAACCAAGTTTCGATTATCTATGCAATTGCTTTTCCGACTTTGAAATAAAGAAGCTTCTCCATGAAATTGTAAAAGGATCGCAAATGTTCGATAGTGACACTAGGAATAAATTCGCAATAGTTGACGGCTCCATAACACCATCACACTTAACGAAAAATGCAAGTTCGTTTGCAACAGAGCGGGCGTATTCTTTGAAGAATTTAATAGATGAGTCGCCTCAACTTGTAGAAATATTTAGAATGAAAGATTGTAATGAAATTAAATAAATTCTGGTATAATTTTAATTTATAAATATAATATTGCCGTGTGCTCCCGGCACCCGTTCCTTTCTCGTAAGACACCCACTTACGAGGCGATTAAGGAAACTTAATAGTAGAGGCATGGGCATCAGCATCCGTCTTAAAACATCACCATAAGCCAAACTGCGGTTGCCAATCCGCCTGCCAGGTTTGGCGATTACTGGTAAAATTCTCCCTATGGTAAACTGCGGTCTTGAACGCTCCCTTTCTTATGGCAGTTTATGGGGTAGGCCTATGTTCAGCAATGGATAGATAACTGTTGAAGTTATGACAAATTCTGAATAAATATTACTTTTACGTTAGATAAAGATCTTATTAAAAGAAATGCCACACATTTATTGCCTAGTTACAAAACCAGGATGGCTTGTATTATGGAATACGAACAACCAACATCTGAGAGCACTATTCAAAACTCCCACCCATGGTACTATTCTTACTATATACTTTAGATGAGGAGAGAAGGGATTGTTAGTAATGGGAATTAGCGATCCCATTCCCTGTCAGGTCGACCTCCACGCGGTTCCCCCTGAAAACCATCGTGATTAATTCTTGATTTCATCACGATAGGCTAATTGACCTGCTTCATCATCACCTATCAGCCCTCATTGGTGCCCCGCCAGTATATACCGATGGCGCAGACGGGGCTACTATTCATTATCATCCATTAAAAACATACATACTTTAGAAAACGTATTTGCTCGACCAAGAATCGAATCTGGAATTACATTCATAAAAACTGTATCTACATCACGCCTACCGTAGTTGCATTAGAGTCAGCTGACAAATCGAATCACCGTTTCAGTACTCTATCCCAATTACGTATTTCCGTGACCATCATTCATTAATGTTATTATTTACTAGTTTAAAGGATAGCGGAATTGGGTATTTGACAGAATTTATATATATATATATATATATATATATATATATATATATATATATATATATATATATATATATATATAATTTATATTTTCTCTCTCACAATAATACTGCAGGAGAATATTACAGGGTGACCTAAATACGTGAAACAGACCAACCGTGACCTACATTTATGTAGGTCAATCATACTAAACCTTTTTCCCCTGGGACACAGTCGCTACTGTTAAGATTTGCGAGCGGCAGTAACCCAGCTCCACTGTATACCATAAATGTATTAGCAAATTATTAAACTACAATAAGTCGTAACATTTGAAAAAGCATTAGCATAAATTTATTATTTAGTATTGGTCCTTAAAATTAAGATATTGCTGGCATCAGCCGGCTATAAATTTTGATTTTAGAAAAAGGCTTAGAGAAATGACTTCTCAGAATAGAGCCTTACTAAATGTTAAAAGTATAAAAAACAAAAAGATTTAAAATGCCTACTTCTTAATGTACTAACTAAATATAAATAATTCCCATAGAATCATTACATTAGCTGTTAATTGTCCACTGTTGAACACAGGCTTTCTCCATAATCGAAGGTTTGCCAGTTGCTGCCACGCTTGACAGGTGGAAGGGGGAGGGGGCAGTTATGCTTTGGTGATGTTTTAAAAGGGATGCTGCTACCCATCCCGCTATTTAAATTCCCTTAGTCGCCTCTTACGACACTCATGAGAAAAGGAGTGGCCTATTCTATGTCGGAACGTAATCCTGGAATGTGAGGCTGTGGCCCATCAACGTTTAGAAATCCTCGGAATGGTGAGGTCGCTCCGTGAGGCCTGTGAAGAACCCAGGAAGCTTCTGCGCTTCTGGGCGGAGCTAGGTTGGCTGCACTAGCCACGACTCATACGCACAATGACCCAAGTGAGAGGCTAAGCGAGGAAAATGGAGTCTTTTTCACATTCACATTCTATGTCGGAACTACTATGGAATTCTTATAGGATGTATGACCGAAATAAAAACACTCATTAGTCTATAAAAATCTTTTATTAAAAAACCACTGCGATATTGTATAATGTCAGCGGCGATGCCACGGCACCGGAGCTAACGACTACGCACAGGATCTGGCAAATACAATTAACAATTATTCTATAATTATATCGTATGATCATCTTACGCGCCCGCCGAGCGAGCTTACCACAAACATTATTTGATTACAACTAAAATATAAGCGAATCGGAACAGAAATGCTATCGAATGATTGAATTACAAAATAAATTACATTTACATTTTATTCATATAAGATATAGATCAGTGGATTTTTTTGACAAATCGCCGCACACAGTCAAACTTGCGCGTTGCGGGAGACAAATATAGTTTTAAATGTGAACGGTGCACGCCTCGTCTCCGACACGCCTGTTGGAATTACTAAACCGATAAACCTTAATTAGTAATAAGTCAGTCCTAGAACTGGGTACCGCCTCGATTATCGATATCTCGCCCGTTGCCACTATCTCTTTCTCACTGGTTTGGACAATACAGGAAACATATTCATGGGACCCGATCAACGGGTATTCCATAATTGTATTGACAGATCACACATAAGCTTTACCTAACGCGTTAAGTGGAAATGAGATTGCAACGTTCACATAAACACGTGGTAAAACCTATGTGAACGCCGTAGTTTTCATGTGACAGCTCATGTATCCTTAGTGGTTTGGTGGAGAATGGAGCGAGCGTGTGGTTGAGGAGACCGCTTAGCTGTAGAGGTCGTCGTCGCCGCCCTCTTCTTGGAAGGTTGGCTGATCGCCGCCGGAGGTGCCCGTGCCGCCTGTGTTGCCTCCGCTCGTCGGGAATCTGATAAACGATAGATTTTATATCATTACCTGAATTATGATACAAGAATTAAAACCAAAGATATTTATTGCTAAAAGTTTCATAAGTACACATTATATTTTAATATAACAACTGCCGGTTTACCTTACGTGGAATGTAATTAGATCGGAAAAGCTTGACTAGTATCGGGATCAATTCATTCAATTGCCGCGAGCGCCTACAGCTTGTGCTCTGCGGACCGAGGCGCTCATGATTAAAGATCATGAATTGATCCCGAAACTAGTCGAGCTTTCTCGATCTAATTACACGTAAATTAAACCGGTAGAGCATTACATTAAAATACTAACACATTTACTTGTATATTTATGACCCAAGTTACTTAAAAGTTATTATAAGTTACTATCTGCAGTAGATACTTTTACACCATTTTATTACATATCTAAATAAATACAATATCCTTAACATAACATTTTGAAACAGAAAAGTTCATGAAGCATGTGATATTTTGTAAGAATAAAGATTTTCGACACTTTTTCTTTCTGTTCATGCTGCAAAAGAATAGAATAGAATAGAATAGAATAGAAATCATTTATTCAAATAAACTTACATTGAAGCACTTTTGAAAAGTCATTACATTTTTTTTAATCTACCGCTCGTTCGGAAAGCTGTCTCATCACAAGAAGAACGAGCAAGAAACTTGCGTGTTGCTCTTTTAAAGATTTGTGATGACAGAGCTAGGTACCTGAAATTCGTCCCGAAGCCGCGGCTCTGCTGCAGCGTCTGCGCGAACATCTCGTACTTGCGGATGTCGTTGTCAGAGACGGAGCGGCGCGCGAACTTCATCGCCTCCTCGAAGTGAGCGCGACTGATCTCCGGCACTGGGTCCTCTTCGTCCATCTATCAAAATTACAATAAAAAAATAATCATTATATCAGCGGTTAACTATCCACTGCTGAACATATGCCTCCCATAAAAGGAATTTTACCAGTTGTTATTAGGCTTTGTGGTTGCCAACCCATGGGGGGTTAAGATTTGGTAATGTTTTAAGAGGGACGCTGCTGCCTATCCCTCCACCATCACTTTAGTCGCCTCTTATGATACGCACGGGAAAGGATGGGTTGACTCATTCTATAGCGTATATTAAAATAACGACTCATGATATTCATTTACGCTAATCTCCGAAACCGCTCAAACTATTTTAATGCCATGACATTTGTAAATGTACATTGTTTGCTCCAACTCTAGAAATAGGAGAGTTTTTACACCAGAATAAAACAAGAACACGATAGGAGTAGGAAGTAATAAAATGTTTAACGAGTCAACTAATACAATAAATAGTATATATTAGTAGCGACCTGCCTTGGCTTTGTATGGAAGAAAACAGAAATCTTCCGTAAAAAAAACTATCTAAATTACAGTCAAATCATTTCTATTTTAAAAATGTACACAAAAGATACAAGAGATGCAAATCGATAGATATCAAAATTTATAAACAACTAAAGAATGCAATAACTGTTGAGTTTCTTATAGGTTCTTCTCAGCAGATAACAACATTCTGAACCCAGCAGAATCATAAAAAAATAAAATTACAATTTAAAAGAGCTAACAAGCTCTTTTAAATTGTAATTTTATTTTTTTTTGATTCAGCTAACAAGTCTATTTAAATAAAGATTATTTCTATTCTATGCATATCCATTGCATTTGGAACTCTCACTAGGATCACTTTAAAACGCTAGCAGTAATCTAAACCACCTTCTGGTTCAGTTTAGGTTAGCTCAACTAAGAACACTCACAGATACTGTCTCAGTAATGGAGCATAAATTCCTAGATAAACTATCTTCTACGATAATTTCACTATCAGCTTGCATTGCCTCTAGATCCTACATAGCATTGTAATACGACGCTTTAACAATCAGCTATAAAAAGCTATAATGGCATGGTATACATACGTCCATGACGGCGGCGGCCGGCTGTTGTTGGCGGGCGCGTTCGCGGTGTATCTCAGCCTCGATGGCCTGCCGGATGGCCAGTTTGCACGCCCGCTGGCAAATCTCTGTCAAATCTGCACCGCTGAACCCTTGTGTCACCTGATACATTCATAAAACAACTTGTAGCAACAGTTAATAACAAATAATTTTGTAAAGATATTTATAAATTAAACTCTTGCCAGTTTTTAGTATGTCTGAGCATGTAATATAGCGGAGAAGGTAAAAAGATAATAGGGCGACAGAAGGGTGGGATATGGCGTGAATTTACAGGGTACAGAGGAATAACATCTGAGTCCTCAGGAATGGCAACGCTTGGGGGTAACATGTGCGAAACAGTATACTGTGTTATGTCCATGGTACTGCTCATATCTATAGGCGACGGTTACCACTTTCCATCAGGTCGGCCGTCAGCTTATTTGCCATTCTAAGTTGTATAAAAAAAACTTGCGTTTGTTACTCTTAAAGAGCAATTAAAGTTGCCTTAAATAAAACTATATTAAAATTAATTTAAAGACATGTATCTATTTATACGACACATATGTACTATTGTGTATTACTAGAATATAGCAATCAACAAACAAGTAACATTGGAAAGAGATGAGCCAGTATCACTCAAAGTAATCTTAATTATATGAGTCTGTTAATTGGTATTTTTTATTATTTGTAGATTTAGAAATTTGCATTTTTTCTGCAAGGTTCATATACATATTTTATTTTAATTTTTTTTGGAAGGCGACAAAACAAGAAGGCACAATTAGTGAATTATGCTGCTATTTGATATGTGTGGTGGAATGCCCCTCGTATTGGGCGCTGCAAATGATGCATATATCTTTTGAAACTCAAGTATGGAAATTGAGAGGGTAGTGGGGAAATACACATGTTTATTATTAGAAGAACCTAAAGTTTATACGATTGTTACCTTAGCGATGTAAGACAGGTCCACGTCCTTGGCGATTGGAGACTTGCGCAGATTGGCGCGGAGGATGGCCTCGCGCGACTTCTCGTCTGGCAGTGGGATGTAGATGAGCTGGTCCAAGCGGCCCGGCCGCAGGATCGCCGGATCTATGATGTCCGGACGGTTCGTCGCACCTGTACACCGTGTCCAGAGAATATGACATGTGGTCTAAAATGGTTTTAAATAATTGTAATAATTATTGTTTTTCAGATGTTAAAAAAAAAAACAAATACACACTTAAAAATACATCTTGTAATAATTTATTACATAATTGAAAATATTTTCGAAATTAATTTTGCATTTCAAATAAGAAAGAATATTCTGGAGTTTTATTTATTTAGATTTTTGAAGCTATTTCACCTACTAAAAACCTACCAGTATTTATCGGAAACTTAATTGCAAAATTATATTAAGTTTTAAAGTTGATACAGTCAACCAATAAGGTAGACCCGAGTCATAAACTTAAGCATTCAAATCCATAGATTACAAAGCGCCCTTTACCGATGATGAAAACATTCTTCTTAGCACCCATGCCGTCCATCTCTGTGAGGATCTGATTGATGACTCGGTCCGCGGCGCCGCCAGCATCAGACACTGAGCCACCGCGAGATTTGGCGATGGAGTCCAGCTCGTCGAAGAATAGTACGCATGGAGACGCCGACCGTGCCTATTATTTTACTTGTATTAGTTTTTTATTCACTAACAACAGTTGTTTACTGGAGGGAAAGTAATTGATCATTACTAACAGGTCGACTTCCACGCGGTTCCCTCTGGAAACCATTGTGGTTAATTTTAGATGAATTCATCATGTTGGGCCAACTAACCTGCTTTATTCTTATCTGTCATTCAATATACGATAGCGCAGGTCAGGGTTACCGTTCCATTTTCATCCATTACATAAAAACAGTTGTCCACTTGTGATTCTTCTGAGCAACAACTATGCTTGCATGATTTGGATTTAAAGGACTAGACATAGCAGTGAAATTAAAAGGCATAACACATATTACTTGACAATAGCAACACCACATGAATACACTATGAACATCACAGTATGTTCTATGATTCATGATACCATTTTGGGATGTTAGTGTTTGCCACTCCAGAATGTATAAAATAAAAATACTAGTAGGTCACAGTGTTTTCTTATCTGGTATGTTGTAATATCTGAAAATTATAGTAATAGAACAATTTAACAAAACGAAATTGCGGCGAATACCTACCTTATCAAAGATGTCTCGCACGTTGGCTTCAGATTCACCAAACCACATAGTGAGCAATTCAGGGCCCTTCACTGAAATAAAGTTCGCCTGGCATTCGTTGGCAATGGCCTTAGCCAGAAGAGTTTTACCTGTAAAGAAATTAAGACGTAATATAATTATTGTTGATAAAGTTTTTTTGAAAGTTCAAAGTAAATAAAGAGGTACTTATATCACTATTATTATTAAAATGTTTTCACTACCAATCTTAACAAAGTTGTAACTTTGAATTTGTATTTTAGCAGTATTTATTATGAATAAGAAATTTTTCTCCATATTTCCTGCAGTATTGCTAATGACTGTGCCTAGGACTCAGAACAAATGTTTTACAAACTTAAAATATTCCATTCGCAATGAGACTTCTCTTTTTTTTTTATACTTTATGACTTGAGAGATTTCTCTTTTGGGATGTTCTAAATTTAGAATAATATAATCTTAAAGAGTTAAAGCAAATTTTAAACAGTCTTCGTAATTGCAAACTTCACCTTCGAGTTCATCAAAAATACCCTAAAAATACCTATTACTAACTGTATATTGTGGCTTTACTCGCGTAAATCTGTATATAAATTATGCTATATACTAAGTTAGGACATAAGTTACTTACATACCAAATATCATTCAAATTCATTCAATAGTTTTTGCATGAAAGAGTAACAAACATACACGTAGCCTTTGTTCTACTTTCGCAGTTGTTATATTAATATAGTATTAGCACTCACCGCAACCAGGCGGTCCGTAGAAGAGCACACCGCGCGACGGCTGCATGCCGAACTTCAGGAACTTGTCCGGATGCTCGACCGGGTACTGCACCAGCTCCTGCAGCTCGCGCTTCACGTTCTGCAGGCCGCCGATGTCGCCCCACGTCACGTTCGGCACCTCCACTACCGTCTCGCGGAGCGCCGACGGCGACGACTTCGTCATTGCATACTGTGAATAGATAAATAATTAAATTTCTATATGTAATAATCATTCTATCCAATAAATTGTCTAAATTCATTAAATAGATATTGGAAATTGTTGGTGAGCTAATAGTAAATTCAAAATAATTAATATTATGTATTTAAATATTTTTTAGCACTAAATTAATCTAATAGAAACCATTGGCATTAAAACTGTTTTCTAGGGGGGTAAAAAGCCAAGTCCCATAAAAAAGGCACATATTATGTATTCTCAGACATGACATATCACAGCTAAAAGGTTCCCATGGGGTGGACACCAGACAATTCTGGGATCGGCATAGTTTGTCCCCTCCTAACTCTAAACACACCTGTGACAGTTATGAAATCAACTATAATAAAAACAATGAAACACTTTTAAAGTATACTGATCATTTGGTTCTTATAGCAGAAATAAATTTTCACATCATCATCATCATATTTCCAACATAAGGCTAAGAAACAGGCAATGCTGATAAGTAGATACACATTCAAGAAAGCTGTTATCCCTAGAAAATTAAACCATATCTTTTGTCAGCAGTTTTAAGAGTTGAAATTGAAGATGGTCATTGACCTTATGACCAATTATCATCTAGGTCTAGGAAAAATCAGTATCTTTCCGAATGTACATATTTGGGAAGATCACCACATACCCGGAAGTTATCCATAGACACGGCCAGCGAGTTGAGCACCTCCGCGTCGATCTGGTCGTCCTCAAGATCGATGAGGTCCATCTTCTCACGGATCTGCTGCAGAGCCGCCTCCGAGCAGAGCGACGCCAGATCGGCGCCGACGTGACCGTGGGACTCTGCCGCGATCTGAAGTACAAAACCATTAGGAAATTAACTTTATTTGACAAACACATAATAATTTTTACAAATCTTTAAAAGTATCCTTTCAGATAAAAAAGAAAATTCCAAATTGGTTTAGAGCTGATAGAACTACAACACAACTAACAAAAAAACAATCAAATTGAAAAGCCTTTCATTTGTCTAACCAAGCGATGTTTAGTTTGGTCAGTTTAGGTGAAAAAAAAAAAAACAACAGCATTGTGTATTATATTCAATACTTATTTAAAAAAAAAAACTAAATATACCTGTTCGAGATCAACATCATCGCCTAGCTTCATGTTCTTGGTGTGTATACGAAGAATCTCGAGCCGGCCAGTCGCGTCTGGTATACCAATATCAATTTCGCGGTCGAAACGGCCGAACCGACGCAGCGCCGGGTCGATGGAGTTCGGGCGATTGGTGGCCGCCATTACGATTACGTGCGATGATTTCTTCATGCCTGCATAATGGTCGTGACGATATAGTAATATTTTTAATTGAAAACTGTAATGGGATCAATACTTAGGCATCATTTCTCTAAACTTATTTCTTAACCTCTCTTAATTTTTTATTGTTTCAAAGAATGATACAGATTATAAAGATTAACATGTCCACAAACAAAATAAATACTTAATTACATAATTTTTTTTTTATACAACTTAGAATGGCAAACATGCTGATGGTCCACCTGATGGAAAGTGATAAGCGTCGCCTATAGACATGAGCAGTACCATGGACATAACAGAGTATACTGTTTCGCCCATAATAACCCCCATGTTGAAAATTTAATAGTGGTCCCATTGACAACTCACCATCCATGAGCGTCAGCAGCTGCGATACTATACGGCGCTCCACTTCACCGTGCGTCTTCTCTCTCTTGGGCGCAATGGCGTCCAGCTCGTCAATGAATATGATGGCCGGGGAGTTCTTGTCCGCCTCCTCGAAAGCCTTGCGCAGGTTGGATTCTGACTCGCCAGCCAGTTTCGACATGATCTCCGGACCGTTGATGAGGAAGAAGAATGCACCTGGAGATTATGGGAAATTTAACCATGGTCTAAAAATTTGAGTATAATATAAAAAAAGAAGTAATGATAAAAACATATTAGATGGGAATTACTAACTACTCTAAATACTGCACTGATAGTTGGGGGAAAGGGATTGTTAGCAATGAAGGTTGACAGCCCCATTGCTAGCAATTTGCCCTGTTAGGTCAACCTCCACGTGGTTCCACCTGGAAACCACCGTGAACAATTCTTGTTGAATTCGTCACGATAGGCTAACTGACCTGCTTCACCCTCATCTATCATCCCTCACTGGTACCCCACCAGTGTATACCGATAGCGCAGGCGGGGTAACCATTTCATTATCATCCATTAAAAAAAATACTGCACTGATATATAGAGAGATCTCATTGTTATCAGTTGGTTAAATGCATTGATCTGGGATATGATTTACCGCCACCGAAATGATTGCGCGCGAATACAATCCAACATAATTAAATATTCACATACAAGTGGAAGATTCGACAAACATTGACCTATTAGACAATAGTGCTAGTTTGACACATTATATACACTCCTTAGCGATCAACTGACACTCACCAGTTTCGTTGGCCACTGCACGAGCGATGAGAGTTTTGCCGGTACCGGGAGGTCCGTAGAGCAGAATACCACGGGGTGGCTTCACACCAATTGCTTTGAATAGCGACGGGTGACGCAGTGGCAGTTCCACCATCTCTTTGATCTGTGCGAGCTGCTTGCGACACCCGCCAATGTCGTCGTAGCCCACAGCGTTTAGTGCTTCCTCTTCTTCCTGTTAAATAGATTGAATCATTAATGACAACTGTCACAAACAAAAGAAGAGTGAAAGAATCGTTAATTATAGGGACTATGAATGCAATTGTTACCAATAAACCCAGTTAAAAAACTTTGCAATACTGCCCGTTACCATTTTGGTGAACTTGTCACAATCAGCTAATTGAACTAACTTAACATATCTGGGGAAGGGATTGCCAGTAATGCGGACTACTAGCCCCATTGATTATAATATATATTATCAAGTCGATCTACACATGGTCCCCTGGGAACTATCATGTTGAATTCCAATGGCTGCGTATTGAATTCCATCACAATAGGCTGACTGTCCTGCCCTTTAATTCTCACTTATTATCCCTCACTGGTGCCCCGCCAGCGTATACCGTTAGCGCAGGCGAGGTTACCATTTCATTATCATTCAATAAAAAAAAAAATTAAAAAAAACCTATACTTGTTATCACTTACTAGTATTGCACCAGTGCATACCGATACGCGGATGGAGTTGCCACTATATTTCCATTTCATAAAAAAGATAAATTACCTAATCTAATCAACCACCATGCAGTCCCCTGAAAATTCATCATAATTAATTTTTGGTAAATTCATTACAATGTACTTCTTCTGCTTCACCTTTTCCCATTACTCAGGGTTAGCTTCATTGTGATGTACTGCAGTAAAATATATCCCATTTCTTACTAACCTCACGTTTGATCGGCTCTCCTTCGCAATGTATGACGGTATCAGGCGCCACAATGCAGTATGGTGATGGATCTGTCTCCACGACTTTGAATTCTACGGCGCGCATACCTCCGCGCACCATAAACGTATCATCGCGGTGAATGGGCCTGTACGCTTCCATGAAGTACGGCTTCAGATATACTTCGAAGAGATTACTGTATTGAAAAACAATTTGCGTCAGCTTTAGTTTGTTTGGAAAAGATGTCGCTTTTTGGGCAAAATATGTCCATATATTTCTTTGTTTATAACACTTTATTGTACAGTAAAAACTTTAATTATAGGATACAGAGTTCTTAGGAAAGAATGAGTACAATAGTAGACTTATCACATAAATTCCAGAGATTTCTTCCAGTCAACCTTTGATAGAAATTGATGTCTGATAGAAATTGTGAATTGGTGGAAACAAAAAAAAAAAAAAATTAAAAATAATAGATGTTACAGTTGCAATATTATCCTAAACACTGACCTTGTTATTCATAGAAACGCCAAACCTATTTTAGCTGTTAAACTGTCTCTTATACACTAAATTCCCAATTTGAAAGAAATTGACAAAACAACGTAATAACTAGATTTATAGACGTTTTTATTTTTTACAAATAAGAGGATATTATGTTTATTGTCTTTTTTTTAGGCATGAATATTAACCCTTAAATGCCTGAAGTTTCAAATTTGATACCGGAGTTTGCCTTGTTTCATTGTTAAATAAATTTAAATATTTTAATTACCGTAATGCTCTAAAGTATCAAAAATTATATCAAATGTTTTTTTCATAATAAATATATCGTTTTGATTTTTCTTACTATTTTTTCCCATTAGTAAACAGTAAAGGATTCACTTATATATATTTTTTTTATTTGATTTAAAAAATCAGGCTTTTAAGGGTTAAGGGTGAAGGATTCATATTCAACTTACCCAGACAACCCTTCAACGGAGTCATCAATAGGCAGTATGTGGACCCGCTTGCCATACTTGACAGAGGGGCAAGGCGCTATTGACACCACGTCGGAGAGACGGACGCGGAGGTTGTTCCTGACTACGCGATTCATGCGGATCTTCTCATCTGGGCAATTATCATCGGAGAGCACTATGCACACTGTCTCCTTGCGCCGCTTGCCCTTCAGCAGGACTGTGTCGCCGCGGAATAATTGTAGCTGCTCCATTTTTGCCTGTATCAGAGAAAGTTATATAAAGATATTAGAAGGAATAGATCATGTGAGACTGTAGGAATATAATTGTTTTCAAAGGGATCTATGTAAAGCAATAACTCAATTGAAATTGACCATGATATAAAAGACAAGTAGTTTAACACATACATTCTTTTAATCACATAAAAATAATATGATTTCTATCTATAACATTACTCATTCCTTACAGATTATATAAAAACTATTACCTCCATGAAATAAGTATATTTAATGTTTTTAAAATATCAAATTTAGTCTAATTTAAACTTTATTATACATGTAGTGTATTTATGAAAGTGAATACCATAAGTGAAAATTGTTAGCATTTAACAATTCATAAAGAATAAAAAACCATTTGCACTCTTCTAAAAATTATTATTTTGTGTCTTTTATACTAGATGTTTCTTTATTCTTATCAATAAAATTTTGTTCTTACAATAACAGATACAAAATAATAGAATATGAAATTGTAGGGAGTTATGGTTTTTCCACAACAAGATCCTGGATGTGCATGGAAATTTAAAGTTGTCTAAAGTTTAAAATCCAATTTTATTCTCATATTATCATCATACAATCATGCTGTGTGTGCAATTGTGTAATGCATAATGTACACACTACAATTCCATACTTACTACTATGTTTGTATAATCAATGAGGCATTTATTATTACTTATAGTACCATGGGCTACAAGATTATTATAAACAAAGCACATAAATGCCTTTAAAAGTTTATAAATAAAAAGTTATGTATACAAGTTGGGGAATACCCTAATTGCAAAGGCGCCCATATAAAGAATTCCATGGTAGAGGTAGATAATATATACCAATATTTATATATTGTGGTAACAATATCTGTATATTAGCCTGATATTAAATATCCGTCATCCAAAATATAATATAAAAATGAAGAACTCAAACAAAATTAATATAAATAATGGTGATGTTGAGATGGTTGATGACTTTTTTTCACTATCGATATCCAAAGAAACCCAAAATACAGATATTGGAATGGTACCAATATGCCTATTCTGTAATATTGTTCCTGGCAAACTACTTGAACGAAATCATAGAAAATAAAGGATGCATATGATTAAATTATATTCAAATCTTTTTACACAATATCAGTAACTGTGATATGTTGTATATATACACTGTGATATGTGTGTGTGTATGTGTGAGATAGATATATCAAGTGCGCAAATAAAAAAAAAAACTAAGGGTTGAATTACTTGCAGTGTTGTTACGAAAGCTATTTATTGATTGTAATAGATAACCTCATAAAACACTTGACTAATTTTAAAAAAACCTTCAACTATAAAAGGCTACATTACCAGTGAATAACATGGATTGTATTTTATTTAAAAACAATTGAGATTTCCTACCCATATATCTGTGCAATACCAGGGTGAGTTGTTAGTATACAATGTCTATGGACAAAAATTAACACAAAAATTTCATGTACTTGAAACATCCATGTTTTTAGTATGTAGAATAAATTCAATGAATTGAAACTAAATAACCAGAATATAATATTTTTTCAGAGCTATAGTAAATTATGATTTTAAAAATTTAATTAAATATTATAATATCCTTATTAATAGCAACAATGTGTATAGTACACAAGTAGTCACTCAGTGTTTTATGGCAAATTGCCCAGACCTTCAAAGCCACCATGATCATTTGAAAACATGACAATAGTCTTGAAATAAACAAAATTCAGAAATTGTTTATTCACGTAAGACATTTACAATGGCTAATGACACATCAATTTTTTCCTCCAATGCTCAAGAAGCATTTTCAGCCAATAAGATGAGAAAGAAATTGTTTCTTATTAGTATAACATTAAATATATTTGAAATCTCATACATGACCAACACTAAAGTTATAACCATGTAATTATTTAGTTATTATAATAAAAAGGCAATTTTTTTAAATTTTATTTTAAAGATAAAACAAAAACTTTGATGTTATAGAAGATCTTAATACAAAGTCATATAGTTACATTTTAATATAAATATAAGCACTTTATTCTTATTGCGTGGCAACTACTGGCAAAACTGCCCTTATGCAGGAGACTATGTTTAGCAGTTGACACTTAATGGCTTATACACTATAGGCACTTTATTATTATAATTTTTTTTTACATTTTTAATATTGTAAGGACTGAACTGTATAGAATGAGTAGTTAATAAATAAGGCATTGTATACATCTGTGCTCTGAATGTTATGTATTTATTATCTTTTTGTACACACTACACATTTTAAACATAAAACCAATTTTGGCTTCCAATATGATACAGCTCTGATTATAACTTTATCATTACTTTATCAATCAACTATTGAAGAGGGGTTAGAATGACTATACATTGTATGGGTATTTTGTCCAATTTGATTATTGCAAAAGTGTAATGGGAAAAACAATAAGTTAATAATTTATTGGAAAGCAAAATTACACTATTTTATAACCAAATAATAAATGTAATAATTTACAAATTTATATATTATGCTAAATGTAATATAAACAACAATGTAACAAAAATAACAATAATTTAAATATGGAATCGATAAATTAACAATAAAACATAAAGTTGTTGAATAATTATTTTTGCAGATTTAGCATGCTAATTGTTTATGCTGATGTTACTATGGCATTTCATGGTACAATGAACTTACTTGTGATAACGCGACGACCGAGTTGTCATCGCTGACCGCCTCCTCAACGATCAGACGATTGGGCCTGTCCTTGCGACGGAGGATCGCGGTCGAGAGATCATCAGGGCTATACATAAAGCAAAAAGCAATTTAGCAACTTAAGCAAACGATGACAAAGAAAATTATCATCGAAGTAAATTCTTTAATGCTTGAGCATTTCGAATAGTTAAATCATTCCTAAAGAATATATACTAATAACATTACAAAATGAACAACGAAAAGTATAATTTGTTCCTATCTCAGACATGATGACAAGCCAATTTTTCGAAGATTCGTTTACTCCTATTGCAATAGAATTGAAAAAGTCTGGAAAGCTAATGTTTTAGGACAATATATTATTTAATTTAAAATTTACCTCTTATTATCTGCCATTATTTTGTTATAAAATACAGATATAATTTGTAAATTCACTAATTTTTATAAAATGCCGAAAGAGAATGATCAATCACTTAACTTCTCCACTTCATGTGCGTGACGTTGCCGTATTTCATTTGTTCATTGATAATTACAGTGTTGCTATATTAAAATTATAGTTTATGGGGGAAAAAAAGGGTTTGTTTTCTACTGCATTCAGTCCAACCGCTATCTTTGCTTGTATTTATTGTTAGATAAAAGAAAAAAATATATTTTGTTTTATTAATGTTAACATGTCCTACGTTTAAATTATTGTAGTAAAAATATTTAGTTTCCAATGCTTTGAAAAGACTAAATTATTTTATGGACCTAATTAACAATTAATAAGCTTGCGCAAAAGAAATCTTAAAAAAACCGGATGTAGTCATGTCTATGTGGTGAATTGAATCATACGTTCTTGCTCACTCATACTACTTAGGTTAGGCATTAAGAATGAGACCCAAATGAGAGTTGTTAACACGTAGTATAATGTACATACACGTAATCTATCTAAGCGTATTACCTTTACATAGTATAAAACAAAATCGCTTCCCGCCTTTTGTACACTTCTTCTAAACTATGTTTTAAACTATGCTAAGGATTTTAATGCGATTTTTATCGATAGACAGAGTGATTCAATAGTAAGGTAATATTGTTTTGAGTTAATTTGATAAAATATGACGATAATTATTGAAGATAACGGAAAAATCCAAAGATATCGAAACGAAACGATATTCAAAGGAAGAAACGAAGTCGACTTAGAGCTTTCATGGAAAACGCTGCCTAATGCGTTTTGTATGGTGGGATTGTTTCTCTTTTTTAACTATATTATGATAGCTTATTATACCCATCTAATCCATACTCGACGCAACAAGCTAATAAAAAAAATAAGTACTCTCTACTATCCGTGCGAAGTCGGGGCGGATCTCTAGTATTAGATACTAGGAGTAGGTTCCCAAGTGCAAAGAAAACCTTTCAAGAAGGTAAGTACTAGCAAATATATATATATATATATATAACAGATTAGGTACATTCAATCCTTTCAAATATCCCTCATATATTTTTTTCTTAAACCTATCCTATTTACAATTTTATTTTAATGCATATAACTTTCAGATTTTCTTAGTTACAGCCGAGAAGAAATTGATTATTTACATTTTTTCAAATTTCTCCAAAAGCGGGATTACCATTTCTTTTTCACCTAACAAAAAATCGAGATATCCAAAATGGCGCCGAAATAAAAAAAATGCATAAAAACGTAAGACACGCAATGAGATTAATATAGGAAGTTGCCTATATGACGTTATTAAAGTTAATGCTAATGAGTCTAATAAGTAATAACTAAAATTAGTTATTACTTATTTTAATAAATTTGTGTGTAATTTAAAAATAATTTAAACAGTCAAAGTTCAAACCCGAACCTTATATGCAATGCTGAAGCCTGTATCAATAGCAAGAGTAAGTTATGACTTAGGTACTACTATTGAAATATGATTTATATATTGTATTTATATTTCTATAACATTTCGTAAAAAAAATACCAACAATCCAATTTGAAATAAATGTTCACCATTTATTATTATTGCGATATTCTTTTATAGCCAATTTCATTTTTTTGTTTAAATCCTTTTGCAGGGATCAAAAGGATTTAAACAAAAAAATGAAATTTTGCACTGAGTTTTGAAACACGTTCAATTATAATATCAATTATTTTACTAGTTTCTTCATCAATGTCTAGTTTGTCTTCATTCCCATAATCTCTTACGTCAAATATGTAATCATTAAAAAGCATCTTCTCTCTCAGTGTAAACAAACCATTCATAGCATCTAGAAATTCACGTCTATACGGCAATTGGTTATCCAATTCCGCTCTGTACATTATAATTTCTGCTTTTATATCTGAACGGTACATTCTAGATAAGTACCTCATATGTCTGGCCAATGTCTTTGTAGCCCTATATTCCTTCTTGGCCAAATATCTATTCAAAATTCGACAGTATCTAGTGAGTTCCTTTTCTGGAAAACTAGTCGATAATAAACTGAATAGGTTTCCCAAGAAAGTTTCAAAAACATTAGAACGCTTTATATTGGCTTTTTTGTATTGCCAAGGGATGGGATTTGAATTTGTTGAGATTCAATAAGTCCCTGTAATCTTATAGTAATAGATATTTGTATTGAAATAGAAAATACTGTTAAAAAAATAATTTTTATGTAATACATGTTTCTTATGAAATGAATTTACATAGAAAATAAATGTTTACAAGAATCCAATTTCACGGTATTCGACAATCCGGATAGAAAATTTAAAGACGTATACACTACGTAACTTTTTAAATGTTTTCTTCCATATATTCAATCACAGCTAATTCTAATTTTAAAACTATGTCATTTCGAACTTGATCGCTTTACCTGCCAAGTCTATAGAAGATGAGTTTCTTAAATATCTTTCTCATTTTATCTCCAATATGATCGATTTTGTCCCTACCGTACCTTTTTAAGTCATAAACATAATCGTCCATTTTGTTTAGTTCAATAATAGTAAAAATTGAATTCATGGCCACAATGAATGCGCTTCTCATTTGTTTTGGAGTAGACACAATGTTTACAAAGTTCTTCACTTTATTAATTAGTACTTTTCCAATAAAATATGAAAGCTTCTTTAAACTGTAAGAGAATGTATTAATAATATTTCTAACATAATACCCAGACCCTAAACCTTTGAGTCTTTTGCTTAAATCGGCAAAATTTTGGGATTCTGCTCATTGTGAAATTAGTTTGCACGGCGTTACAGATATTTATAAGGAAATCGTAAAAAGATCCTATAGATTTTTTAATACGGAGCATTGTACTTGTGATTGTAGATGTTTTGGTTGTTTTAATAGTGGTACTTTCAATAGATTCATTGCATCCACTGGATTCCTCATTGAAACTTGTGTCCATACTAAAATGACCGTAACGTCTCACGTTGCGTGGAACTATTTCTAATCCACTTCCGTGAACTTCGGCACTCCTGGTATTTTCGTCTGTTATTTCAAAATAACTACTCGCCTTTGTATCACTTGTGAAACAAACACATATTAATACAAGATCTCTAGTAAATAGAAGATTCATTTGAATATAATCAGATAATTTCATTTCGCTGTGGTTTTATTTAAACTGATCAATTTACATAACGATCAATAATAGCTAACAACTGAAATGGACATACCTACTAAAAAGTGATTACTTGCTCAGTGGAGTGGAGATTATGCCTTTATATATTTGCAAGTATTTTATATTTTAATGCAAGTGTTGTAAGGCACAAATTAAAAACAAACTATATTAGACATAGTTTAAAAGTACAATACCTTATAAGTAAATTTAGTTCCACAAAAAAAAAAAAAAAAAACACTTTAATTGTGGCATAACCAGTTATTTTGTTTTAAAAACAAATCCCCTGAAGGGATTTAGATTAAATTTCCATGGGACCAATCTGAAAGTATAGTCTTTTAGATAAAAAAGAATTTTCCAAATCGGTTTACAAATGACATAGTCCTGAGGGAACAGAAATAAAAAAAAGCACAAGCGAATTAAGAATCTCTTCTTTTTTTGAAATCCATTGAAAATATTAGAGAAAAGATCTTCAACAAAAAAATATATCGTGTCTCCGATAAAGGGAATAGAAGACAAATTGTATATTCTATATCAATTTACATGAATACATACAAATTACAGATTTTTGTATACGACTAGATAATAAGTACCTAAACAATATATATTTAAATGTAGACGATGTAACGTAGTAACATGAACAACCGAAATAAGTTCCTAGAAAATAAATATGTAAAATTGTTTATTGAGAATGGGACCGATTCTGAGATGTCATTTGCGTAATCCGTTGCGTAGTTTAAACTTATCTCTTAACCTAATGTTTTAATTTGATAATTTCGCAATATTATCGTTTTATCATTATCATCATTTCAACTATTATCCGTCCACTGCTGGACTTATGTCCATAAAACAATAAGGCTTATGCCTTATTGTTTTATGGAGCATTAGAATAGCTGAATTATTATTTACCGGCTATTACCTGAAGTAAAAGATAATTTTAATCTTGATTTCTTGCTTAATACGTGTTCTTTCGGCAAAAATTCAAGCAGGAATGAATGACATGTCTATTCGTTCCTGAGGGCCTACCATGAAATGTTTTCCGAAATTTCGGAGCCGAACGAAACACAAATTTAATGTTAAAATTACATAATACTTACCGTTTAAAAACATTAAAAATAGTAAAACATTATTCCTTTGGACTTTAAACGTCTCCTTTGGAGTTTGGACGTCTAAATACTACCAGTATTTATGACGAACGAAATGTTAAGCTCCATTTACTGGGCCAATTTAGGTATGAACTAAAACACGAAATTGTGGCCGAAACTTCGGAATTTCATTTCATAGTAGGCTTTTGTTCTCACAAAAAATTATAATTACAACAATAATAAAACCGATACTCGAGTATTGCAAGTGAATCGATGATCGGATCACTTGCAATACGTAAATTAATAATTAAAACAATTGACGTTTCAATAATCTTTTAGGCATTTACGTGACAATATATTATTAATATTGTACTATAAAATATTGGTATTTATTAAAATAAAATACGAACATTTATTAATTTAATTCTAATTACATTAACAACAATTCATTAATTGTTTATTAATACCTACTGATTTAGCAAATAACAATATGTAGTATGTATAAAATACAATCATATAATCTAACAATTATTAATTAAAATTGTATCTATTATACAATTTTGACTTCAAACTAACGGAAAATTAGTTCGTATTTATTTTTTACAATAAATATTTCACTGTGATATCAAATTGAAATTTTAGAGAAAGGTTTAGTAGTAAGTAGGTACTTGATACTATTTTATTTCCTTCGATCGTGACAAAATAATTATATACTAATACGGGAGTTGACTGTCATTAAAATCGGTTCAAAATGAATTAAGAAACTTTTTTTTAGAGTTGGTTCATAACTATCAACTTATCTTACTAATATACTAAATTGTAAAACGTGTTTATTTAAAAAATAAATAAAATGAAAGGTTTCGTAATAAGGTCAATAGATGTTAAATATAATAATTTATAGAAATTTTGTCTATCTGTTTGTTTGTTTATATGTTTGTTAGTCACCATCCAATAACTACTGCTCCAAATTAGATACGGTTTTCACCGTTGTGTTCCTGAAGATCTAATTTTATATCTATTCCATTTCATTGTTTTTTCTACTTCTGTAATCCACAAGTAGCAGGAAAAACCTAACAAATAATAGATGCAGTAATTTTAACACAATCCATAGTGATAATGTGTACCCAAAAGAATCTTTCATACAAACTTTTTCATAATTCTTTTTATTATTATTTTTAATAAGGAATTTCGCGACTGACTCTTGGCCACAACAGAATATCAGTGTTTTGCTCTTTTAAGGGCAAAGCAACAAACTGAGTTGTAACTATTTTGTGTTACTATGGCACACGCATGAAGGAAAGGTAAGAAAGGAAATTGTTAGTTTATATATTTTGTTTTTTTTTTTGTTTTGTGCTTTTTTATTTTCATTCTTTTATCTCTTTTACTGTGTATTATGTGTATGTTTTTTTTTTTTTATTGTAATTCGTGTGCTGTAAGCAATGTAAATAAATTATCTATCTATCTATCTATTTTTACTTTTACATTTATTGTAAAAAGGAATAATCAAACCACAACAAGGTGATAAGATTCATTTAATTCTAGTATTATTTTGCAAAAACTGCTAAAATATAAGTACAATATAATTGTTGTAAAATTAGATATAGATTGTCGACGTTATCATGGCACGCCCCTCCAACGTTTACTTCAATGTGTGTGACCATATACAGACGTGGTGCTCTGTTTGTGTTTGTGAGGAAACGTCTCTAGTAGAGGTCCGGCCAGAAGAGTATTATATTCCTTGGTCGAAATCTTGTAAATATTTTTACAGACACATTTTTAATTCATTCGATTTTGCAGGAGCGTGCCATGTTATCGTAGACAATCTATGTACCTAAACATAACATCACGGATAAAAAGATACTTCTGTACCGATCTTCCTGTTTAGATTTCTGATGCCAAACCATGATCTGGTTTGTTTCATAACCTGAAATGAAAACGTTATTAATTAGCGTCAATAGTTGCCACGCTTGTCAGGCGGTTTTTTTTTAATGGGTGATAATAGAATGGTAATCTCGCCTGCGCTATCTGTATACGCTGTCGAGGCACCCAACGTGACGAATTTCACTAGAATTAACCACGATGGTTTCTAGGGGGAACCGCGTGGAGGTCTACCTGATAGGATGTATTGCTAGTAATGGAACTGGTAGTCTGCCTGGGGTAACGGTATACGCTGAACACCAGTAAGGAATAATAGGTGAGAATGAAAAAGCAAGTCAGTTAGTCCAACGTGATGAATACATTTAGAATTCAGCACGATGGGCTCGATGGGCACGATAAGATGATGCAATAAAGAGTTTGATATGTAAAAAAATAATAATATTACCATAACAAGGATATTATTAATTTTTTTTTTTATAGTAATATCTATACATATAATAAAACTGTAAAGGTCGAATGTCTGTACATAGAAAAAATGCTAAAAACTGAGTCCAGGAGATGTTAGAAGTGACAAAGAACACATCCAGACTTTTTTCAAATTTTTTATTTTTCTGTTTGTCCGTACAAACGTTTGTCCGTACTGTTGTCTGTTAGCCCGTGTTAATCTCCGAAACTGTTGGACCGAAATGAAATTCTGCATGGTGATACCTTACATCCCCGGTCAACATTTTAGATACTTTTAATCACGGAAAATGAAAAAGTTCCCGTGTAATAGTCAAAAAACTATAGTTACCTATACAGCTTAGTACACAACCTACTTAAGTGAAATAATCATTTTGGCCCAGTATTCCTAAACATAATAAATAGGTAGGTACATACATCGATACATACTAAACAGGAATAACAAATTCCACGCGGACAAAGTCGCGGGCATTGGGGGGAAAGGGATTGTTAGCAATGGGGTTTGACAGCCCCATTGCTAGCAATATGCCTTATCAGATCAACCTCCACGTGGTTCCCCCTGGAAACCATTGTGAACAATTCTTGTTGAATTCGTCACGATGAGCTAATTGATCTGCTTCATCCTCAGCTATCATCCTTCACTGGTGCCCCGTCGGTGTATACCGATAGCGCGGGTGGGGTTACCATTCCATTATCATCCATTAAAAAAAAAAGTCGCGGGCATTAGCTAATCAAATACAGTGAACGCTCTATATAAGCAACATTCTTTATATTTAAATCAGTTTAGTTAATAAAAGAAATAAGTAAAAATATTTTCCAGATGGTAAGTATTTTTATACTCCTCTTTCCTATAAGCAACTTTTCCCAATAAGATTTTTTTTTTATTTAAATTGGTTTAAATGAGTTGTTTATATAGAGCGTTCATCGTATAAATATGCCCACCTGCCACATGATAACAGTAATCAAAGCGCCCAGTAAGGAATCTCCTGTGGTAATAACAATGCTGCCGAATAGCATAGCATCGAATGTAACCAGCGTCCATTCTTCACACCACCTTCAACAGATCACCAATTTGTATTATTATTATGAGTTTATTATTTTAATAAAAATAAATATATTATTTTTAAAAAATCTCTTATTTTTATCCTATTGTTTAGCGATGCAATACTCTATGCATTAACCACAATGGTTTCCTAGGAAAACCACGTGGAAGTCAACCTGAAAAGACGTTAATGGGTGAAAATTTAACAGTAACCCCGCCTGCGCTACCGGTAAACACTGGCGGGATACCAGTGAGAGGTGATAGGTGAGGATGAAAAGGCAGGTCAATTAGCCTATCATGAAGAATTCAACCATAAATTAGTCACGACAGTTTCCCGGGGGAACCACGTGGAGGTCGACCTGATAGGGTACATTGATAGCAACGGGGACCTCCTTTCCCTCCACCTGAAAGGAGGTAGGATAGGTTAGGTTTATTAAAATTGTAAATTAGGTTGATTAGCTGTAAATTTAGGAAACGAATTCAATTTCTCGGGTCTGGATGTTTTGGGTAGTGCCAATTTATACCCAAGAGTATTTAATGTGCTTGAGTAGCACTTACTATTATTATTATTTCAGTATTGCCAAGCACTTTACCAGGTAACAGCAAAACAAGATGGAGCAGCATCGTTAGGGTCGTACAGTAGTACACTGGTGCTGCCAGTTTCTCTGACCGTCAGCTCGACGTCCAACAATCGCTCAAGCACTGACCGTTCGCTCGCCACCCAGTTTAGACCATCTAGAGCCTAAAAAGTGTTAATAGTACTTAATTAAACGGAATCAATAAATGTTTATTTACAAGATATAAAATAAGTATATAGATGTTAACAATAGGTATAATTTCACATCATCGTATTAGCATGTGAGTAATCATCATCATCATCATTTTAATCATTATCTGTCCACTGCTAGACATAGGCCTCCCCCATAGATTGTCATAAAGAACGGTCCTGAGCCACCTGTATCCACTGACTCCCTGCAATGCATTTGAGGTCGTCACCCTATTTAGCGGGGGTTCGGCCTACACTACATTTGCCCGTACACTTTAGCTTGTTTATCCTTCGGGTTAAGTCGGTTGCTTTGGTTCTTTTGCGGATATCCTCATTTCGGATTCTATCACGATCTATCAAAGAGACTCCGAGTGTAGTCCTCTCCATAGCCCGCTGAATAATTTGAAACTTTTGCATACGAGCAATCGTATAGGACCATAATAATAAAATGTAAGTATTAGTTGATATAAGTAACAACATATATGTGAATGTGAATGTGAAAAAGTCTATTTTCCGCGCTTAGCCTCTCATTTGGGCCGTTGTGCGTATGAGTCGTAGCTAGTACAGCCAACCTAGCTCCGCCCAGAAGCGCAGAAGCTTCCTGGGTTCTTCACAGGCCTCACGGAGCGACCTCACCGTTCCGAGGATTTCTAAACGTTGATGGGCCACAGCCTCACCGAGCAGCCGAGTAACAACATGTATCTAATAGACATATATAGAGGGAGAGCTATGTTCAGCAGTGGACAGTTAAGGCTGATGATGATGATGATGATGTATAGTCCTCTTATTTTTATTATAACAGCAATAGTGTAATGTTTCTGACTACACCACCTTGAAATAATCCGTCGTGAACATAAAATGAACTGAATTTGATAATATCTGCCTGACCTAAAAAAAGTATCAATAGTTGCTAATGGCTAATAATCTTTGTTTAAAAGTTAATCGAAGTTTGTAACTTCATTAAACTTTGTGCATACTTTGAATAGCTTAAGACTTACTCTTTCAAAGAACGCAGCCAAAAACCGCGATAAAAGGGCATGTCTTGGATCACTTTCTCCTAAGAAACCTGGAAAAATAGACCTAATAATATATAAACGTACCTAAATTTAAGTAACACTTAAAAGTTTTTAATTAATTTGTTACAGGCAAAGATGAGTCAAGTAATGTAAATATCTACGGGGGAGGGATTGTTAGCAATGCAAACTACTAGTCCCATTGCTAGAAATACGCCCTGTCAGGTCGACCCCCTGGATCATCGCGAGCACGTAGGTAGGTAATTTAAAATATTCAGTGATCTTACCAGTATCTTGACTCGATAATTGTTTATAGACAGCTCTGTAACGAAAACACATATGTTAAATTCTATAGACATAATAAATCAATAGAATAGAAAATACAAGTATTCAAATATGTTGTTTTTTGTTTGCGTTTCACTATTTATACAAAATAAATAATAATTTAAGTACATGTAGATTTAATATACGAAGCCCCCCTCCCTGGTCTATCCTATTCCATCATTACTTTACTATCCGTTGTACTGCCTCTATATAATTCTTACAAAGGTTTTTTTTTATAATACAAGGGGCAAACGAGCATGCGGCTCACCTGATGATAAATGACCTTCGCCGTCCATGATCACCCGTACCACCAGAGGTATCGCAAAAGTACTGCCGGCCTTTTAAAAAAAAGGTCTCTACGAATGGTATAATATGGCTGAAATGCTGTTGCATGGAATGGGTACTGTGTGCTCGCCAAGATAGTAATTTTAGCCAGGGACCACAGACATCAGCCATTTTTGTAAAAACTCCTCATACTATATTCCAAAAAACCTACCTCAACTGTGTGGCAACCACCACCCTGCACATCGCTAGAGGTCCCACTATCGATCTGAGTTCCTTTGAATCGTCACTCCTAAAGAAAATTTCATTATTAATATTGTATGCAAATATGATTGACTAACCTAATTATACTTCTCCGGCAGCATAAATCAAGATCCAAACTGAACAGTTCGGTCTATATATATATATAATATATATATATATATATATATATATATATATATATATATATATATATATATATATATATATATATATATATACGAGTATATATATATATTATTTAAAACTTATGTTAATTTTTAACGATATCTATGTATATATATGTATGTATATAACTTACTATGTTTACCGTTAAATAATAATAAATAAAGTGCATACTAGCCTTCTTTAAAGAGTCTTGCTCCCCTAGTAAATAATTTTAAATATGCCAATACAATACCTAGTACCTAATGTACTAAGAACCCATTTCTGAAATTTTATGGAACGAGATGGAAGTTGCAATAATTTTTTTTTTATATATTTTATTTTAGCACTCACCTTCCATGCACATAGTGAGCATAATATTCATCTTGAAAGACCAACAAAGATAATCCCATACTTGTGCATAGCTTTGGAAGAACAGATGATGGTGGACCTAAAATTTTATCCAATATGAACCGAAATAACAGCACAATAGTGTAAGCACTCCACCAAGCTAGTGTTACTACAGTCCATTTATAACCTCGACTTGGAGGGAGGGAATCCTGCCACGCTGATGATAACTGGAAAAAGAAATATAATTTTCAAACAGTATTGTTTATATATATGTTTTAGATTTATTTTAGTTTTATATCTACTCAATCTAACAGATATCGAAAGAAAAATAAATTTATATTTATCAATTTATTCCACGCTTTAGTGAAACAAACAAAAATAAAATGGACGTATCTAATTTAAATTCGAAATACCCGTGTTTTTTAATACACTAATCCCCTCATTCATAAAAACGTCAAACCTTTCATAAATAAGCTATTGAAGTGTTAAATTATTTTCTTTTGCGCTAAATTCCGTGAAGCAGTTGTGTTTGCATGACTGTGTTTCGGTTTGAAGGGATATGGCGTGAATTTACTGGGTACAGAGGAATAACACCTGAGTCCTCAGGAATGGCAACACATGGGGAATATCATGGGCGAAACAGTATAGAGGCGACGGTTACCACTTTACATCAGGTGGGCCGTCAGCTCGTTTGCCATTCTAAGTTGTATAAAAAAATCCAAATTTTTTTTATACCACAAAGGTGGCCAACGAGCATACAGCCCGTCTGATGGTAAACGATCACTGTAGACTATGGACGCCTACACAACAACAATTGTATACAATTTGAAAGAAAGTGACAAAACAATTCAGTTGATGAAATATACTTGCAAGAGGTTTTAGTTTTTATGAATAAGGGAGTAATATTCAAAAGATGACTGTCCTAGACTATTTACCCCGGGAAGTAATAATAAGTGTGTTTCAGTCTAAACAGGAAATTGCTGTAATTTCAAATATTTGAGTTTTATTCAGCGGCAACCCAAGACATCACTCTATCTATAATTTCTCTATATATTTTGTACAGAGAGATATAAAGAGATTATATAATCTCTTTATATTTTGTAAAACCCAGAGCGTTTCATGTTTATACTTAATCCATTATTAGGAATCACTTTTCCATTAAGAGAGCCGTTTGCTTGCATACCAGGTATTCCCAAGAGTATGAGAATACCTAGTAAGCAAGCAAACGTTATCCAAAGGGCGTGAACGTGTTACAAAGCAATTTTCAAATTACCGTTCATAAACGAAAATTATTTTTTAAATTAATAATAAATTTATATTGCTTACTTTTTGTAATTATTTATAATTTTTAGCTAACGATCCGGTCAGGCTTCTCTCGGGTAGATAGAATTTTTCAAAATAATATACAGTCTATGTTACTCCCTAATAATGAAGCGTTGTATAGATGAAAGAATTTTTAAAATCAGTTGAAAAGTTTTTGACTTTATCCTATACAACAATCGAACAATCAAATCATTTCTGTTTATAATACATATTATTTATTATACATTACGCTGGCGTAAATAATATGAATACTTTAAATATGGGGGAAAGGGATTGTTAGTAATGGAGACTGAGAATCTCATTGCTAGCAGTATACCCAACCAGGTCGACCTCCTTGCGGTTCTCCCTGGAAACTATCATGGTTAATTCCTGATGAATTCATCATGATGGGCTAACTGGCCTGTTTTCATTCTCATCTATCACCCTTCACAGGTGCTCCGCCAGCGTATCCCGTTAGCGCAGGCGGGGTTACCATACCATTTTCACCCATCAAAAAAAAAAAAAACTTTAAATATACATTTAATAAAACATGTACTTACATAGAAAATAAATAAAGCTACAGTAACAGTGTAACCAGGCGGCGCTCGTCTTTTTGTTTGCATAGCACTCCATTCGCGCGCAAGCGCTGTAGTTTTATAATTGTTACATTCACCAGTAATAGAACTATCTGTACAAAATGTAAAATAATTTAAGAATGTATTCCACAAAAAAAAACCGACTAAATACAATAGTGGCAAAATCATTTATATGGATTTCAAAAATAAGTACTAAACCGATTATGATAAAACTTTTATGGTGGTCCCATAGAAATCTGTAAGTATATCCTGTCAGATAAAAAATAAATTTTACAAATCGATTTACAACTGATGAAGTTATAAGATAACAAACATAAAAAAAATACAACAAAATTGAGTACCTTCCACTTTTTGAAGACGGTTCGAAATAAAAACAAAATAACTAAGCTTCCAGGTGACACTGAGGACGTTCACCTTGGCGGTATTTCGTGGAGCATAGATTTATTATTATTATAAATGATCATACTAATATAATAAAACTAGTTGACTCGGCAAACGTTGTTTTATGCATATACATTATTTCGAGAACTATACATGAAAATTTGTCCTATTACAATTATTATATGTGGGTCAACCTTATCATTGAGAGGTATGAAAAATAGATGTTGGCCGATTCTCAGACCTACTCGATATGCACACAAAATTTCATAAAAATCGGTAAAGCCATTTCGGAGGAGTTTAGTAACAAACACCGCGACACGAGAATTTTATATATTAGATTGTAACTAGACGATGTCTATACGTGCGAAATATTTAAGAAGAATTAAGATTATATTAAAAAAAAAAAACCAATTCAGCAAAACCAGTTATGATAATTTAAAAACTGAACTATTGAACCGATTTTGATAAAATTTCTATGAGAACAAGCAGTAAGTTGTCTTTTTCTCAATGTCCTCTACCCAAAGGTTGTCTGGAAGAGATTGCTTAGCGATAAGGCCGCCTTTTGTATCACTTCTCATTAATATTTACTGTGTTTGTTATTTCTCTTTTTACTTGATGCAATAAAGTGTAAATAAATAAATAAATAAGTACAACTTTTCAGGCAGAAAAATGAATTTTCCAAATCGATATATACCTAAAAGAGTGATGAGGTAACAAACGTAAAAAAATACGACCGAATTGAAAACCTCCTTCCTTTTGCAGTCGGATAAAAATTGATATGAGCGGTCTTAAAAAATCAATAAATGACAAAACAATAATTTTTAGAAATTTTGTCTGTCTATATCTCTCTGTCTATCTATATGTTTGTTCCGAAATCACGCAAAAACTACTTCACCAAAATGAATGCGGTATTCACAATTCTTGAAGGCCTAACTTAAAATCTAATATTTATATATCTTAATACACCATCTAGAAGTAGTAATTTTGCTACTTCTAAAATCCACGCATATAAAATAGCAGGCAAATAGTTAGTATTATATAAAATATTATTATATTCAAATATATTTATTTTATATATTTTATTGTACCCTGATAACACATAAAAATACGATAGAGGTAAGTAACAAAGGCTAGCTTAACTCTAAAAGAGTTTTCTTCCAGCAAACTCAAAGTGGAAAGGAGCATCAATGTCAGCGGGTAGAGCGGTGTACAATATTGTGACAATTTTCAAACAAAGAGAACTAGAATTATTCGTACATTTAAATCTAAAAAGTAAAAAGGAATAGATTTTTTTTTGTTTAAATAATATTTCCATGACAAAATTTAAATATACAGCAATTAATAATTTATAAAAAAAAACCTCCATATATATACCTCCTCCATATGACGTGTTATATTCTGTCCAATCCAAGAAAAATATATCACACACGCATTGCTTCCAATTTAACCAGGCTAATTTCAGCGCCTAAAAATAAAAGTACTTATGTCTAGAGAGTGTAGTCTCTTATTTCTTTGTATGTATATCATTTCTTTCAAGCGACATATCTAACACTCTATGTTTTGAATGGTTCCAATTTGAAGGATGAGATTTGGCAGTAAAATTACAGGGTACTTACTATACAGTGATCAGTAATTCCTTGTGACATGAAAATTTTAAGTATACACAATTGATTACTATAATTGAGTGTTTCCTTTAGTTTGTCGGCGTCCTTGAGCTACAATGATTACTATGTACAGACGAAGCACCATGATGCTTGATTATCATCATTACTGTCTAAGAAGAGCTCAAATTCTGGTCGAATTTTTCCTTCAATTTCAAAGTATCTAATATAATAAAATTTTTCAATAATACCAACATTACCTTTAGCGAAACAGAAGAGTATACAAAGGCCTTCAGTATATTCTCTTCGTTTTTCGACAATGGTAAAGTCATTCCCAATGTGCCAGCTTCTGCTGCCAAGGCGTGCAGTGCAGACAATATTGCCGCCTGATAATATTCAAATTCAAATGCTTGTTATTCAATATGGGTTACTTAGGTTACATGTTTATTTTTATTATTTACTTAATTTTCTTGCACTGTATAACTATGTTAAAGTGAATGCTGTGAATACCTATAATAAGCATGTGCATTAATATTGTATTATATTTAATGTTTGTTATACCTATATGTTATAATGCAATATGCTGTTGGTGTTCCTTAAATAAATAAATATGTTTACAAACACTGTATATATCATCATTTTTTTTTTAAGAATGCAGTGTTCGGAATGTTGTTATCTGTTGAGAAGGGCCCGCAAGAAATTCAACAGTCACACTTTTAAATCTCCGTCAACATTATGTGTATTTATTTAAATGTACTATATCTAAAATTACATGGTCGTTTAAAGCCCGTATACAACAACTTTAATCGCCCCATATTAATTTACATTATGGGACCAAGATGTAAATAAACGCTATTTACTACAAAGGGTTTTATCAAATATGCTTCAGATTTCATTTTTTCATAAGCATAGTCCTTATTTTTGTGTTCATTCCCTTTATTTCGATTTACTTTTTTCCTTGCAGATGTTTCCTTCTAACAATATTTGGCAAGTAATCCCTAGTATCGGGGAAAAACATCTGTAAGGAAAACATAAAAGTGTGTAGGGTAAATCTATCGACCGTAAGCTTAACGGACAATGCTAAATCAGTTTAATCAATCTGCCCTATTGGATCGATGATGAAATGGTCACCTTGGTGCAAATGCAACATTCTATAGCTTTCAATTTCATCAATATAGAATCGTCAAGGACGTCTTAGGAGACGTCCCAATTCTATTTTTTCTTTATCCTTATATTTTTGCTATATTGTCTGTAAGAAATTTTTTTAAGCAACAAGGTTGCCTATTTTAAAGCATATTCTTTTAAAATTTTCTCTTTTATTTTTAGTATGCATTAAAAGATAATATCGCCGCTCTAAGACGTACTATCCTAATTTATAGACTGTAAGATTATGAGTTCAATTCTGGCCGATAACAAAATCTTTACGTGTTAATTTAAATTGTCAACTAACTCTCTAGTGATAGAAAATATTGACAAAAAATAATCCAAGTATTTATATATTTAAGTATATTTGGGTATCATGGGCGAAACAGTATACTCTGTTATGTCCATAGTACTGCTCATGTCTATAGGCGACGGTTACCACTTTCCATCAGGTGGGCCGTCAGCTTGTTTGCCATTCTAAGTTGCATAAAAAAAATCCAAGTGACGGTAGCAGTCTCATCCCCTGCAGTGTTGGATTTTAATATGCTTGGAGAAATATAAGCACTTTCAGCATAACGGTGATAATGATAAACGTTTCTGGCTAACCCATTAGAGATAACAGTAATGAACATATTTACCAGAGGGACATTTTATACAAAAGTCCTTTTGCTTGGGTACCACTATCCCATTCTACCATGAAGCAGTTGTGTTTGCATGGCTGTGTTTCAGTTTGAAGGGCGGGATATGGTAGTAAATTTACAGGGTACAATGGATTAACACCTGAGTCCTCAGGAATGGCAACGCGTGGAAGGATATTATGAGCGAAACAGTATACTCTGTTATATCCATGGTACTGCTCAGGTCTACAGGCGACGGCTATCACTTTTTATCAGGTGGGCCGTCAGCTTGTTTGCCATTCCAGAAAAAACATTTCTCATTTATTTTACTAAATAAAGAGTTCATTATAATTATTAAAGACTTAATACTCACAAAATAAAGAGCGTCAGCAACAGATCCAGCCAGCAGGGGCACCAGAGAGAAAAGTATGCCACCTCTCCGCAACTCCCCCCGCCATTGTATCAATGCGTACAATGCTAACAACGAACCGAGAGTTCCACCCCATATCTGAAATAGTAATCACGTTTGTGACGAATTTCCTTGTGGTATTTGTTTGCACAACGTATGTATTGTTTTATTTTGTAAGTACCAGAATATTTTTTGGCACGACGAATAAAATAAACAAATGTTAGATAAACAAAAAAATACTATATTTGTTGAAATATTTCGTGTTGAAGTTTTTATTGACAATTTAAAACTGGCTGTTTACACTATTGTATGTTTTAGGAATATATTTGTCTTTAAAAATTGGTTTTGTCACGCGGAAAAAAATATTTATTTGTTTGAAATTATTGTTTATATTAAATACGAGTTTATTTTTAATATTGACGAATTGAATTGTTATTTACTTTATTTCATTATTTATTATTTTCAACGGAATTTTAGTACGAAACATTTATTACTTAACTTTTAATGAAAAAGTTGATTATTGAACTTTTATAAGCGAGTCCAGTTCACCCGGAAATTTAATCGACAAAATTTCCCATCAGCAATTTGAGATTGAAATTGATTTCTAAAATTGAAATAAAAGCTATGAAGGCCACAGGCTTTCTGAATTAATATGACTACTTAATATTCCACTTTCTTGAACCGTTAAAGCTATAAGTTGAATAGAAACCATAGAAATGGATATTTTGAGATAGTGTGATCTTGAAACAAGCTACTGTTCTTTAACTATTTTTATTGAAATTCTCTAGGAAAATACAAGTGTAAAGATGAAGATCATTTATATGTAACTACATATCTACATCTGTCAACTATACATCTACATCTATACAACTACATCTATCAACTGTCTACTGCTGGACATAAGCCTTCCCTATAAGGGGAGTTTTGCCAGTAGTCGCCACGCTTGGCAGCAACCCGCCTGCCAAGCGTGGCGACTACTGGTGCAATCGCAGTTAGGCTTTTAGAGATGTTTTAAGAGGGAGGCTGCTGCCCATCCATCAATCTCCCTTAATTGCCTATTACGACATCCACGGGAAAGGAAGGGGCCTATTCTATGCCGAGGCACACACACTTCATATCTACATGAAGATATGGAAATGAAGTCACATATTGGTAAGTCGTATATACGAGTTGCATTGTGGTCCCGTTATAGAATGAACCACACCTTTCTTTCCCGTGGGTGTAGTATGAGGCGACTAAGGGAACTTAAAGATAGAGGGACGGGCAGCAGCGTCCCTTTTAAAACATCACCAAAAACGTAACTGTGGTTGCCAATCTGTCTGCCAAGCGTGGCAAATAAAATAAAATATACGAGTAAATAGTTACAGTCACTAAAGAGCTCAGATCCTGAAATCCTTACTAATATTATAAATGTAAAAGTGAATTTGTTTGTATGTTACTATCACTATAAAATTACATGTACTATATGGGATGGAGAAGAATATAAGCTACTTTTTAACCCGGTCAGTAAACATATCTCGGTCACGTGGGCGAAGTCGTGGGTAAAAGCTAGTAACTAAATAAGCTTCCTACAAAATGACAGTTTACCTATATATTTTATTGATTTCTGTTCTACCCTTACGTAGAACCATGCAATTGTTGCGATTTTATATTACATTTTATTTACGAATAGGTACTATTAGATATAGACAGTGTAATCTGAGCATAATATTATTTGTAGAATGGTAATCTTGTTTTTTATCTGTTGGCAACATTGCCGCATGTGTCAAAAAAGGTGTGAGTCCTAGGTAGCCATGTGTGTTTCGTTGTTGACTCTTATAATATTAAATAAACTCTTCTAATCTGATTGCTGGGCGTTTCAATGCAAAAATATTATTCATATTAGGTACTCACCTCCAGTCCTCTAATAACTCCAGCATTAGGCATATCATGGCTGACTGTCAATGAAGTTGTAACCAAACTAGTCAGAGAGGGTTTCGTAGTATATTGTAATTCGATGATAATTTGACACTGCAACGAACTTGATTTATACTTCTGCCGTTGAATACTGTAACATAGAAACGATTTATTGTCATTAAAAAAAACACTTGTAAGTACTCTTCAACAATTTTTTTATTACCTAACACCAGATCAATGGGGGGAAGGAATCTTTAGTAATAGTGCCTGACAGCCTCATTGCTAGTAATATATTCTATCATCTCGATCTCTACGCAGTTCCCCCTTCAAACCATCGTAGTCAGTTCCCTTTGAATTCATCGCGATGGGAGAATTGACCAAATATGATCCTCACCCATCATCCCTTCACTAATACTTCTTCAACGTATACCAATAGCACAGAGTAATCATTTCATTATGAACATTAAAAGACCGGGGGGAAAGGGATTGTTAGTAATGGGGTCAAATAGCCCCATTACTAACAATATCAGGTCAGGTCAGGCATGTCAGGTCGACCTTCACGTGGTTCCCCCTGGAAACCATCGTGGCTAAATCTAGTTGAATTCGTCAGAATGGGCTAACTGACCTGCTTTCATCCTCATTAGTCATCTATCACCAGTGCCCCGCCAGCGTATACCGATAGCGCAGATGGGGTCACCATACCATTATCACCTATTAAAAAAATATATTAAAAGTCCTGACCAATAACATTATTCTACACACACCCACTTAGATATTGAGAATCACATTGAGTAAATGTGGGTTCGACACTTAACGGTTGGGGCAATTTCAGAAACGCACTTTCTTAAACTCACTTCAGGTGTAGGCGTTTTAGATTGCGCCCTCAGATTAACGTCGTTGTTGTTATTTTGTATTGAATCTAAACAGAGTCGAACGAACAATTTATATTTAAAAAATACACCCAGTGTAGGTTACTTGAAAGGAATGCTCTTAAGAACAATGAAGCTTTTTTTTAAATAGTTCTTTTGTTTTCTACTCTTGAAACGTTTCAATTAATTTTTATTTTTATTTCTCTATGAAATGAACAATAGAGCTTTTTATTATATTGTAAGAACTAAGGATTCGATTTACATTCACTACAAGGGTAACATTATGGTAAAATTTCTTTGATTATTGTGAAGTAACTAAGACGTATTGTAATTTCTTATTTATATATAAACACATTTGTGTTACTGACATCGTGTCACAGTTATTTTTCTGTTATGATTATAATAAAAAAAATTGTATGCTACATGGTTTAAAAGAAAAGAACTTCAAATTTGAAAGTTTGAAACTGAAAACGTTTTCTAAATGGAATGTTTCCAAAGCAGATGCGTAACAAAAACTCCGGCACAGCCAGAAAATACGGCATAACAAATGAATTTATCAAACTCTCGGTAAATTCCCAATTCAAGTAGAAACAATATGAAACTTTCACAAATTATAAAGCAACAAATATAATATGTTGTTATGTTAGAATTTTGTTAAAATAAAACTTATATCTACGTAATGTACTTGAAGATTTTATTGTCTTTTTAAACTTTCTTTTAAGAAACTTAAAATGGCATATAAGTTAACAGCCCACCTGATGCAAATCAGTAACCTTAAAACATCTTAAAACAATCTTATTTAAAATATACATATATTAACGATAAATTAAAAGCAACGAAAATTATTAATTCCACTGTATTTTTACAAGTAATGATGCGAAATATCTTTGATCGATATTAATTTGTGAACCCATTTTAAGGATTTCTTATAAAGATGAAAGTTAATAAAATGTACTATAATAAAATATATATATATATATATATATATATATATATATATATATATATATATATATATATATATATAGCTGTTAACTGTTCATTGCTGACATAGGTCTCCCCCATGAAGGGGGTTTTGCCACGCTTAGCGAATTAGCAACCGCTAGGTTTTCGTGACATTTTAAGAGGAATGCCCATCTCTCGGTCATTAAGCTCCCTTAGTTGCTTCTTACAACATCCATAGGAAAGGAAGGGATTCTTTTTAATAGATGATAATGGAAAGGTTACTCCGCCTGCGCTATGGGTATACGCTGTCGGAGCACCAGTGAGGGGTGATAAGTGCGGATAAAAGTAGATCAGTTAGTCTATCGTGATGAATTCCACTAGAATTAACCGCGATGGTTTCCAGAGGTAACCGCGTGGAGGTCAACCTAACAGGGTGTATTTTTATTTAATGATAATAAAAATTTAAATAAATAAACAATCCCTAATGATATACAATTTCATTAATATCAGTTGAGCGGTTTCGGAGATTAGGGTAAACTCACATCGTGATACGGGATTTTTATACATTAAGTTATCCAATTTTTACATCTAATTTTAGAATATGTAAAACATATTACATCTATTTAGATTAAATTTTTATCGCAGCTTCACTCGCGTGATTCTAATAATGTATCCTTGTCGTCGCAAATTTGAGATATACTTTTTTATGAGATAAACGATATCATCATAAAAAAACCTATATTTATAATTTCTTTATAACTTTTTTAATATACTATATTAAATATATTGCTGTGTGATCCCAGCATAGCATAGACTACCCCTTGCTTTTCGGCGGGAACGGAATTGTTAGTAGTGGGGTCTAACTGACTCATTGCTAGCAATACACCCTATCGGGGGGAAAGGGATTAGTAACCCTATTAATAGCAAAATTTATAACTTTTTAATTATTATAGATGTGTGTATATATGCGTGTGTATGTATATGTATGTATGTATATATTTTGCATATGTAAAAATCGACCAATTGTGTCATTACGCAAATGTGAAAACAATTCATGGCTTAACATAGATATAAATTTCATTATGTATTGAGTGTAATTCAGCTGTACGTTTTCCAAAAAATAAATAAATAAATATACCCCATCAGGTCGACCTCCTCGCGGTTCCCACTGAAAACTATTGTGATTGATTCTTGATTGATAGGGCTATCACCACTCACTGGTGCCTTGCCAGCGTATACCGATCATGTACGTTCATTTAATTCTCACCCATTAATAAAAATTCTATAATATTATAACGTACTAGCTTTTTACTCCCTACATCGTACGCGTTGATTTAAGAAGTAAGTAAAGCAATGAAATATATCATTTCCAGATAGCATATCAAGATAAGATATACATCAGATTTTTAGTTAGATCTCCAGAGATAAAAATAAAAATCACATCCGATTTGGTGTTTTAGTTTCTGCGTGACATCGGTACAAACATAATGACAAACAGACAGACATAATGTCTAAAAGTTATTGTTTTAGCTTCTAATGATTCTATGAAGACGTCTCATATAAAATATTCCTCATGTACAAACATCATCTGATTACAATTTTATTATATTATTAACATTTTATTATATTCTAAAATCTTTATTGTACACACTTTACGTCGGACATATTAAAAAGATTTAATGCACAATGGCGGACTTATCCCATAGAGGGATCTCTTACAGTCAAACTTTGAGAAGCTGAAAGAAAACTATAAAATGTTCAAAGATAAAAAATAAAATAAAAAAAAAACTTACTCTATTCTTATATCCATCGATCGTAAATACACCGTATTGGTTTCATTTCTATCGATTGATAAAACGTTATCCACTATAAAATATCGCCTGAACTTATTTGTAGACCAACTGTCCTTCTGGAATAACGAAATTTTTATTAGTATGAAAAATAAATATAGTAAGCATATATAGCGTAAGCATATGCACGCACGCACGCACGCACGTTCGCACGCACACACGCACGAACGCACGCAGGCACGCACGCACGCACGCACAGACACACACACACACACACACATACACATATACAATTATACATATATATAGTGTACATACAGTCCGCCTTTTTACACCATTTAGGTGTATTACATTTCTATAAAAAATAACTATCTTTATTAGTCGACATTATGAACAACATTCTATTAATAGCACTAAAAAAAATTTGCTGAGCTTATATTATAGTATTAAATGAGGGTTGAGCGCTGTTGTCTGAGATACAGGTTAAATAACCTATGTAGTTCAGACATAGATGTTTAAGCTGATCCAAATATACAAATGAATTCGTACATACTTTTACTGTAATTTCCAGTGCTGAGTTTGTTACAATCATGGTTATACAATAAAGTTATTATTATAAACAGTGTTGTGTTTAAAAGAGTAGCAATAATAAGAGATTAAAAAGTAGCTTTTAATAACTTGTAATAAGGAGTGAAGTTGCAATTTCTTTAGTAGGTACTAACAAACAATCAATATTTAATGTAAGTATAAAATTTTGTATTTATCTATATTGTATTCACACTAAAACCCTTATGGGCTACACACATTACTTATTTCATAATTAATATTTAAATTAATTATAGTGGGGGAGCCAACGGACCGTCTGTAGATTGATTAATTGAAGAATTCTTGCTAAATTTCCACCTGATACGACGCAGCCCACGTCGTCAACATAACGTGTGAAGAATATTATAAATTTTTTATATATTCTTAAATATGTATGTTAGACTATAAGATATTTTCTGTGAGCCTATATTTATAATCTTGTTGTAGAGGGTCACAATGAAAAAGCATTCTTAAGAGCAACAATGTATATATAATAGGTATTAATACAAGACAAGGGGGCGGAAAGGGATTGTTAGTAATGGAGACTGAGAATCCTATTGCTAGCAATATACCCAATCAGGTCGGTCCTCGCGGTTCTTCCTGGAAACTATCATGGTTAATTCCTGATGAATTTATCATGATGGGCTAACTGGCCTGTTTTCATTCTCATCTATCACCCTTCACTGGTGCTCCGCCAGCGTATCCCGTTAGCGCAGGCGGGGTTACCATACCATTTTCACCCATCAAAAAAAAATACAAGACAAGGCAACCAATTTACAAAATTGAAACAAAATACAATATAAAAATAATATTCCCATATAGATGTGGATATACTTAAATTTACATAATGACTTGTAGTCTTTGTACTTTGTAGTAGTTTCAATACTTGTTGTCGGAAATAAATAATTAAAAAAAAAATCATAGTAGTGTCACCTCCTATTAATTACATTATGATCAATTAATCAACATCAAATAATATTTGATAGTAACGTAAATATAAAATATAAATGGATGTAAAAATATATTACATTCTCCGGTTTTCTGTTTACGCCATTGCATAAATTTTTAATAAATATTAAATCCTCACTCATTATGTCTAGAAGCCTATGTGATGGATACACTTCATTTTTAAAATAGGATTTTACAGAGCCTTACAAATACTAATTAAAAACCTCACCTGAATATAAGAGCCACTTGTTTTCCGTATCATAACCGGTATCGGTCTAAATTCGCCATCAACAATATTAAATATTTCGAATGTGCTGTTATTATCAACGGATGCAAGTGTTGAGATATCTATATTGCAATCGTATCTGTAAATGATAAATATAATTAAAAAAAATGCGACAGTTCTAAGTCTTCCCGGCTGAGACCAGCTGATTCAAGCTCTTCAAATCATTTTAAAACAGCATGCCCAGTGTGTGGCAAGAGATGATCTTACCACACACTGGGCACTTTGCTTGAAAATATGACTGTTTAGAATTGTAATCTCTACACAATTCTAGATTCCATACAATGCTATTGACTTTCCGTAAATTTGAATTTTACGTATGGTAAAGTCACCATGGAGAAGGGGAAGACCGAGGAATAACTACATGGGACAGATAAAAGAAACACTAGGTGTCATGTCGTATAGGGAGATCAAGTATATGGCCTGGGATAGAGCTGGCTGGAAGAAGATGCATGAATTTGTTGCACCGACAAGAAGAAACTCTTAAATGAAAAAAAAAAGTCACCATACAATTGCATATATTTTGCTTCCTTATTATACCATGACTATTAATCTAGTATAGTATTATATTACCTGTGCTATGACGGTCAAATTGTATGATACGTATCATACTAAATAACTTTCCAATCGATTAATCCTGAGCTTACAGTTATATTAAAAAATCTACAATTATTACTTACGAAAAATCATTGCCGATTTTTATTTTGATCGGTGGAAGACATAGCAAAGGCTTTTGTGTGTGGTGTTCTAGAAATTTCATCTTTCCATCCGAGGTGTAAATTGCGACAGCTAACAGCAAATCGACCTGTTAAAAACCAGTATTATTAATAACTAAAACGAATACTAATAGACTAAAATAAAGGTCTAAAAAAATGCATGTGTAAATAATAATAATAGAATTCTTTAAAAAAAAAGAGAAAATATAAATACGTTTTTAATTGTTACTTTTTAATTTTAATAATTTGGAATATTAATCACATTGACGGCCCACTTAAGGGATAGTAATAATGCCTTGGTTAGGTTAGGCTTGATTAAATTGGTTAAGTTAGATTCGTCCCTATGTCATCAGCACTATGAACTTTACAAAACGTACTGTGTACCCAAGTTTTCAAAATATTTGAGTGATTTTCAGCAAGTGCGACCACTTTCTAACTTCGGTGGACCTTTCAACTTTGAGGCCCCACAAAAGCCAATATCCTCGAAATATAGAAGGAAGTATTTCTTAAAATACTTTCTAGAGACATTAAATTTTTAAAAACCCGCAATAAAAAAAGTTCAACGAAATTGGACACGAAAATCACCTATTTGAAATATCTGTCACACTAAAACAAGTAAATAGATTCAAATTAAATTTGGTATACGGATAGAGCATAGGATAAGTTAATATTATCTATGTATTTCTGTGCAAATTTAAGAAAGCAGAGCCGTTAGTAGTAATTAAGTAATTAAAGATTAAAAATTATTAAACATTCAATCCCATTGAAGTTTGAAGTAGGTATGCAAATTGTTATAAGCAATTTATTGCTTATAACAATTAACAATTAACGAAAGTGTAAATTAATGAAAGGCGTTTTCCTATATTCAATAATCAATTTTTCCATGAACTCCTATTATGCTTCGATGTTCAAAGCTTCGTCAGCCTCCACAGAATAGTTGCGTAATCATATTATTGCTTTTGTAACAATTTAAGATTTTACTGCGCATAAAAAAGAAAGAGCCAGTTCAATATATTAACACTGGAGAAGTTTTATTAATATATTGTCGAATAATGATGTATATATCGGTGGGACATGGCAGTTACTATAGGATACTATAACCTGCCCAGAAGTATGAAGAATAATTGTACCAAGTTTCGTTAAAATCCGTCGAGTAGTTTTTGTTTTTATAACGAACATACAGACAGACTGTCAAAAATTTTAGTGATTGCATTTTTGGCATCAGTATCGACCACTAATCACCCCCTGATAGTTATTTTGGAAATATATTTCATGTACAGAATTGACCTCTCTACAGATTTATTATAAGTATGGATTCTAGGTTAATATAAAAAATAACAGAATTGAGAACCTTTTTCCTTTAGGAAATCAATTAAAAAATAACATTAACTCAATGCTTGAATAATTTAGGAAACAAATTTAAACAAGAAATAGTTTATTGTTAATTTATATTTACCTTCCCTTTAGAGAGATCTATGACGTCGCCTGGTTTCTTATCAAATTTCGTATCTATTGTAAGATGTGGCAACCCTGTGAATATTGTTACACAGTATTATAACAAACCATCTAAATATGCTTTATAAACTTCGTAATATATATATCAAATGCAATGAAGTAAATATTTAATATAATTTATTACACCAGGCCACCTTTTCCTAGGGTAAGGAATTTAATTGTAGAGTAATGGACAGCAGCGCCACTCTTAAAACATTACCAAAGCGGTTGTCAACCCGCTTGCCAAGCATGGCAACTACTGTCAAAACCCTCCAAGAGGGATTCCTATGTTCCATAGTGGTCAATTTACGGGTGATGTGACCATTATGATATCCTACACATTATCATTTAATTTGTGATATTACGTCAGAAATAGGTCCATAATGTTTACAACTCAGCCATACACGTGGTATCGGTACAACTCCCTCCTATACTTGTCAATAATAATTCTTAGAAAGACGTTCGAATAAGCACTAAAATAAATATGGTATGGACATGCTCTTATCCTATTAGTTCGGATCAACGCAATATAATTTCCTTTTTCATTTATTTCATATCTGCGTTCTTCACTTCCCTTTTGTACGAACGGGAAGTGAGGTTTACACTATTTTTATAGAGATTACAGTCTTTGTACTCGTGTAAAATGATTTATTTTTATACAGCTTGGAATGGCAAACAAGCTAACAGCCCACCTGATGGAAAGTGGTAACCGTCGCCTATAGACATGAGCAGTACCATGGACATAACAGAGTGTACTGTTTCGCCCATGATACCCCCCATGCGTTGCCATTCCTGAGGACTCGGGTGTTATTCCTCTGTATCCTGTAAATTCACGCCATATTCCACCCTTAAAACCGAAACACAGCCATGCAAACATAGCTGCTTCACGGTAGAAACACGAATGGGACAGAGGTACCCAAGCAATCGTTTTTTGTACAAAGTCTCCCTCTTACTTACTACTAACTACATCTAGATTATTCAAAAACTATCATCATCATTTCAACCATTATCCGTCCACTATTAGACATAAGCCTGCGCCATAAACTGCCATAAAAAACGGTCCTGAGCCACCTGCATCCACTGACTCCCTACAATGCATTTTAGGTCGTCACTACAAAAACTATAATAAGAAATAATTAAATAACTAACAATAAATATATTAATTAGTTTTAAAATAAATTATTGTTATTAAAAAAACAAAATATTTACCTTTTGGACGCACTAATTTTGGCTGTAACCAAAGCCTGCACGGTCCTGCCAAATCTGTCGCATAAAAACTCTTTACGCATTCCCTCGTTAATGTTCGACATGCTAAAACATCATTTTGCTGAAAAAAAAACATTGTTACATACAAGTTTATAATACTTAATGCATATTTTAACTGTAAAATAACGTGAATGATATAGTCGCTCATGATTAAGGGTCCCGGATAGTTGTAAAAATAGTCAAGCTTTCTAAACTTAAATATACACCTAAGTCAATTCAGTTAGTCTTTGTTAAAATATTGTATGTATTAATAACACTTTTAACAATAAAATTACTTAAAAAGAGTGCATTTTTAAAATATATGCTTACTATATACCTTCTTAAGTACAAATGTTATGTGTAAGTAATTAATATTAAGTGATAAAGTCTTAGTTTTTTTATTTATTGTAAAAATTTTGAAATTTTCAATATCAAAACGTTACGCTCGATTGTAGTTTTTTATTAGTAAAATAAAAACTCTCCGTTTCGCATTTTCGTTAAAATTTGTTTTGTTTGAATATAGAATTCATGAAATCGGTTCTGTTTGCCGTTTCGCCAACGTTTCCCAGCTTTGTTATTGTTTAATTAGAATTCCTGGTATGGTATCCACGGTAGGTAGGTAATTCATAAATATTTTTTTGATATAGGTAACAATTCATGTTTTCTTGTAACAAAAAAATATTTGTGCGTTCCATTTAATATGTGAGAGTAGCTTTTACCCGTGGCTTTGTCTGCGTGATCAGGATCTGTTCACGTACCAGGAAGAAAAGTCTTTCTTCATTCCATATAGTACGTGTTTTTTTATGGGTGAAAATGGAATGATAACCCCGCCTGCGCTAACGGGATACGCTGGCGGAGCATTAGTTAAGGGTGATAGATGAGAATGAAAACAGGCCAGTTAGCCCATCATGATGAATTCATTAGGAATTAACCATGATAGTTTCCAGGTAGAACCGCGAGGTCGACCTGGTTGGGTATATGCTAGCAATGGGATTCATAGTCTCCATTACTAACAATCCCTTTCCCCCCATATAGTACGTGTTATACTTACGGTACATAAATATTCATGTTTAACAAATTCCAACAAATCAGACGGATGCATTTTGGTCTCTTCATGCTTCGGTCGTTCAGACAAATATCGTTTTGGTATACATATCCCCTTCAGCACGATCTGATTCTTCGTGCATGCACAGGATTCGCAACGTACACAAATATTGCCCTGCGCCTTGTACCCCCGCGCACATTTCACGCATAACACCTCTTTCATTGGAGAACCATCAAAGTTTTGCGTTACTGAAAGCGAAAGTTGACTTACAATCTAGCGATTTAAAACATCGCTTTTTATTCGGTAACAGATTCGATCTTTGTACAAAACAAACATTTGTACGCATGACTGTTTGTATTTGATGCTTTCTATGTATAATCAGGTGACATAGCATTGCTACCGATGAGTCGAGCATAAATATTTACAAAAAATGAAGTCTCATACAAATTCAATTCATCCTTATTCAAATAAATTTAGTATAGACTAAATATTTTATAACATAAATCTACAATACAAGCTCTACTTAGTTTCTGAATTAATGACGCTGTATGTAAAGTGTTCATTTATGAATTAATTAATGAAAACTCTTTATTGTTCTGTTCAAATTGTACAAAAGTTGTACAAAAGTCGATTGCTTGGGTACCTCTGTCCCATTCGTGTTTCAACCGTGAAGCAGTTGTGTTTGCATGGCTGTGTTTCGGTTTGAAGGGTGGGATATGGTGTGAATTTACTGGGTACAGAGGAATAACACCTGAGTCCTCAGGAATGGCAACGCATGGGGGTATCATGGGCGAAACAGTATACTCTGTTATGTCCATGGTACTGCTCATATCTATAGGCGACGGTTACCACTTTCCATCAGGTGGACCGTCAGCTTGTTTGCCATTCTAAGTTGTATAAAAAAAAAATTATACAGATTATAAATATTAACAATCTGTAGACAAACAAAATGAATAATTAATTACATAAACTTAATTACATAAAAAGAAGGTAAAAAAAAAAAAACTGCAAAATATCGCTAAATAGCGATCTCTTTCAACCGCTACCTTTTCCTTGCTCGTGGGTGTCGTAAGAGGCCGCTAAGAGAACTTAATGGTCGAAGGATCGGCAGTAGTGTCCCTCTTAAAACATCACCAAAGACTAAGTACGGTTGCTAATCTGCTTGCTAAACGTGGCAACTACTGGCAAAACTCTCCTTATGGGGAAGGCCTATATTCAGCAGTGAACTGTTAACAGCTTATATACATACATACATATCAGTCACGCCTGTCTCCCATTAGGGTAGGCAGAAACAATGGAACGCCAAATGCTTCGATTCAAACAAACCTCTTTCGCTTCTTCCACATTCATCAATCTTTTCATACACGCTCGCCGGTTACGGGTACTTTTAATTTGGCCCTTCTTCAGCACGTCGCCTATTTGGTCAACATACGTCCGTCTAGAGCGGCCCCTACCGACATCTCCATTCATTCTTACTCGATAAATCCCTTTCGTAATTCTTCTTTTATCCATCCTCTCCAAATGACCAAACCACGGCTTATATAATAAAATAATAATATAAATACATCGCAAAAAAAGAGTAAATTCTATCGATTGGAAAAGAATTATCGGAATTGCCAAGAATATAAATTGCTTACAAAAATTACCGGCAAATTTGCTAATTTAAACAGTAATTAATTACTCGTACAGGCAATGGAATTCGATTTAACAATTCTGGGAATTGTCGATTAAATGCTATTTTTTTTATGAGACTACGTGGTACTCACTAAAAACACATAAACAAACAGTATCGATATCGCATCAATTAAAAAAAAATTAAAACTATTATCCTTGTATTTGTATGTATATTTTACAGTCTCGACATCGCATCGATTAAAAAAATTATTCAAAACTATTATCCTTGTATTTGTATGTATATTTTCCCGAAAGTCGTTTCTTTGGCGAGCTAACTATAACTTTAATACAGTTTCTAAAACCATCATCGATTTTTTTTTAATAATTTTAGGTACATCAGCGAGAAACCAACAGGGCGGACACTTTTTGATTCATAAACTGTTTGTATATATATTATACTAGTAATTCGGCCCGGCTTCGTACAGTTAGATAGAATTTTTAAAAATAATATAAAGCCTATGATAATCATATAGCTTTCTACTAGTGAAAGAATTACAATTATAGAAAGCTACATTATCAGCGATTACAAACAAACAAACACTCAAAACTTTCCTCTTTATAATTTTAATATAGATTTACATGAAGGCTACATTTTACACAAGCATTAACATTTAGTTTTTACTTTGTTTTTCATCAATTCTATCTTTTTTTGTTCAATCCTTTTATTATAGTCTGTGTTGCTAATCTATTTAGTTACTACTCGTATTTGTGAAAACCTGTTAGTGGCTTAGTTTTTAATCTTAGAGTATTTCTATTTACACTAGTGTAGCCTTTATTTCTGTATGAAATTCTTAGGAAATCGAAAAATGTAGATAACTCCTTAGTTCAGAAATTAATTCTCCTGAACATAGGCCTTAAGCGAACTATGTCACGCAGTGGTCAAGGAATAGTTGAAATGATGAAAATAAATAATAACTTATTCATGTCAGTGTGTATGAAAAGACAGAGAAAGAAAACAAACACAAACAGCCAGACCAGAGATAATGTATAATAAAGTCAAACCTCGAAGCTATATGAAAAAGAAATCATTATTTTATCTATGCCGAAGCTCATTTATATTGGCAAAGCATATATAATATATATATAATAAGGTCTTTTCGAGCACTGCAATGGAATTTAGAGAAAATGGGAACGAAACAAATAGCAGGAAAGTGTGAAACTTTTCTCTCATCGAGGTCAGTAGCTAAATTCTTATTTGAGCCTTTTCTTAATCCAATTTTACCAGTGTAACGTATTTTTTTACTATTTAACGCATTACGAGGCTACAATATAGCCTTGCTTTCACTAAAGTAAATTGAATTATTAAGTTTTTTACCCATTTAAAAAGATGAGAAAAGAAAAAAGACTTTAGAATTTTATGAAACAGATTCAATTTTACCATTTTAAGAAATGAGATGTTTACTTTAATCAGGTATTTATTTGTAAATAATATTTGTTTTTTATTTAAATTTTAATTTTAAAACATTATACCAGAGGGAGACAGTTTTCCTTCTGTTCAAATGGGTGCCTCTATCCCAGTTGTGTTTCAGTTACAAAGCAATTATGAAATAATGATAGTCAAATTACAGGGTACGTAGTTCTACAGGTAAACTGTAGATAAAATCTTAGTCCTCAGGAATAGCAACACATAAAAGGTACCTTAAGCACCAAGGCATATTCTGTGGTATCCATGGTGTTGTTATGTTTATTGGTGACACAGCCGTCAACCCGTTTGTATTTCAAGTTACATAGAGAAAAAAAAAATTCTTTTTCTCTATGGATTCGTGATTTCCGGGATTTAGGAACCAAATTCAGCCGAAAAGAATATGCAAGAAATAATCACTTATGGGAGGGAGCACCTAAATAGCTTGAACCCTTCGTCTCGGTGCAACGACGAGCTATGAGAATCGTTGATGGTCCCAAGCTTACAAGAGGTATCGAACCCTTAAGTCTTAGGAGAGATTTGCCTCACTCTGCGTGTTTTACCGCTTGTACAATGGATTGTGCTCAGAGAAATTGTTTAATATAATGCCCACGCCCACTTTCTACCATCGTACGGCTCGCCATCGACAGGAAGATCGTCCTCATATCCTACAGCCTAAATGGGCGCGTACAACGCGATTTCAGAGATGTTTTCTCCCACGAACACTCAGGTTATGGAATGAGCTCCCTGCCGAGGTTTTCCCAAGAGACAACAGCATGGGGTTCTTCAAAAGGAGGGTAAAGAGGTTTCTTCAGGGTCAGCAACGTACGCGTAAGACTCCTGGTATTGCAGGCGTTCATAGGCTACGATAACCGCTTACCATCAGGTGGACCGTATGCTTGTTAGCCTAGTTTGTTGGGCTGTGATTCTTTTTGAAGGAACAATAGTATAATCATCAGCTAGAATATTTGTTCCCAAATTTTGAATTACGTATTATATAATTAGTTGGACATTGTTTCAAAATAATCCAATTTCAAATGTAATTTATGAGACGACAATAAATTGAAATGTAATTAATGACGACGTTGTGACGTCATTGAATTGAGTAAGGAATCCTCGAGATTAGTAAACAAACAAGGAAGTATTAAATGCCTATACATTTTTAAATATTATAGTGTTTACTTTTATTTATTTTAGGAGTTTCAGATTTTTTTTTTATTTATTAGTTAACTAGTTTTTTAGCGCCACTTGGTCCGTGTGACTGGAATATCTCACTGGTTGGCATAAATAGTAACCTATGTCCTTCTCCATCCCATATAGTAAGTGTATACTAAATTTCAAAGTGATTGGTTAAGCCGTTAAGGCGTTATAATGTAACAAACAAACAGACTTTCACATTTATAATATTAGTAATGATTAGCGATCCCACCCAGCTATGCACGGGTAAAAAGATAAAAAGAAAAAATAGTACCTTATATATTAGCTTTAATAGGCAATTTTTTATGCTTTTTATTTTTCGTAGTGATCTCTAATTTTGTGAAATAATGTTATGATACTCACTAATCATTAGTCTTCTAAAGATAAAAAAATTGTTTAAATCAGTTGAGTAGTTTTTGAGTTTATCTATGACAAACAAACAAACACACAAAAAATGAAATCTTTAGTTTTTATATATATAATATAGACTACTCGTCATAACCTGTCGAATTACAAACAAAATTAACTATTCCTGTATACTGTATTCCTGTTACAAAATATCTAATTATTTATAACAAATAATCCTTAAATAAATGAATATACTCACGACTATAATCCCTAAAAGCGTAGTTAGAAGTATAGTACAAAATAAGTAAATTTTGCTTAACAAAAAATGCCGACTGTAATTGAGGCAAAATCAGTTACTTTGATTTAAAAACTACTGAACAGATTCTGATGAAATTTCTATTTTTTTTTTTTTACAACACAGGCGGCAAACGAGCATGCGGCTCACCTGATGGTAAGTGACTACCGCCGCCCATGATCACCCACAATACCAGCGGCATTGCAGGTGTGCTGCCGGCCGACTATGAAACGGAACTGAAAGCATATCCTTTCAGATAAAAGGAAAATAATTTTACAAATTGATTTATAAACGACGAAGTTAGGTATAAGATAACAAACAAAAAATATAACTGAATTGAAAAGCTCGTCCTTGAAGTGAAGTTGATTGGAAAAAATTTAGTTACTACAAGGGAAATAAATTGAGACAAAGATTAGAATCTCAAGTTTGCAATACCAACGTGAAGTAATTAAAAGTTGATCACTCGGTTCTATAAAAATAATTGGTTTTTCAACCGATCTAAAAAAGGAGATTTTCAATTTAGTTGTATTTTTTTTATGTTTGTTTCCTCATAATCATTTCATTTTACACATAGGTTCGAAAACTGTTTTTGTTCTTGTTTTTCGAAAACTTTTTTGTTCTTGTTTTTCTTTGTTTACTGATATTTTTGTTTTTTACCTATTGTTATGCGCATGTTTGTGTATTGTGTTACTTATTCATGATCTTGATGGACCGGGCTAGGTGATGAGGTGCTAATTGAAAATCAGCGTTTCTGCTTTTGCAGGAACCTTAAGCTGAATTAGCATCCTTTTTCTTTACCAATAACACTGACTGATTTCTACTACATATAAAGAATATATAAATGTAAACTTTTTTCTATATTTTATTTATTTTTTTTAATTTGTTATTACTTATAATCTAAGTATATGTAAGTGTTATGGTTTTATTGAAATAATTTTTTATTCATTCATTCATTCATTCATTCATTCATAGCTCAGTCAATTATGAACCTGTTGGCATTTTTTTTTATCAGAAATGACATACTTAAAGTCTCATAGAAATTTTATCAAAATAAATTTAGTTTTAATAAATAAATTTAATAAATAAGTTTTTTTTATAAAACTATCTTCTATGTATATGTACTTATTACTAGTAGTTCTACTACTGTCTATAATATAAAAATGAATCCCTGAATGTGTTGCTAAGCGCAAATCTCGAGAACAGCTAAACCGATTTCGCTAATTCTTTTTTTAGAATATTCCTTGAAGTACGAGGATGGTTCTTACAGAGAGAAAAATTTCAAAAATTGCCTGAAAAAGTCTAAAAAAAAACACTTTTCTATACTCCCATACAAACGATTCGTAATAATACTTAAAAGTCAATTTGAACTTTATTACCATGTAATAAAGTTCAAGTGTTAGTGGAGAGGTTCCGGGAAGGCAAAACAAGTGAGTGACGTTAGTGTCTCGTATAAATCTAGCTTTAAAAAACTTAAAAATTGAAGAATCGATTGTTAGTCGGTACGAAGTTCGCGGGGTCAGCTAGTTAATCAAATAATTAACTCTGCAACGTTAAAATTTACGAAAGCAAATTCATGGCCTTTAATGAAAATAAAGTAGAGACTCGAAGTTGCTCCACGTTATATTATCAAATATTTCTGTAAGCATAATTAAATATAAATTTAGAAAATTAATATTTTATTTAATTTAACTCAAATTGTATTATGTACTATTTATAATTAGGCAGGCTGTATCTTCTTTACCATTCAAAATTATATAAATAAATACTTTGTATAATCTTCACTACGGTATTATGTGTACAAGTACAATTGTCCACAGGTTTTTTTTTTATACGACTTAGAATGGCAAACAAGCTGACGGCCCACCTGATGGAAAGTGATAACCGTCGCCTATAGACATGAGCAGTACCATGGACATGTCGTAAGAGGCAAATAAGGGAAGATGAGGGATAGGCAGCAGCGTCCTTCATAAAACATTTCTAAAAGCCTGACTACGATTGCCAACTCGCCTGTCAAGTGTGGCAACTATTGGCAAAATCCTTCTTATGGGGTAGGCCTATGTTCAGCAGTGAACAATTAACGACTGATATAATAAATGTATATGTACGTATATTTTTTTTTTTGATAGGTGAAAATGGTATGGTTACCCCGCCTGAGCCAATGGGTTACGCTGGCGGAGCATCAGTGAAGGGTGATCGATGAGAACGAAAACAGGTCAGTTAGCCCATCATGACGAATTCATCAGGAATTAAGACAAGGAAGAGAACTATAACAGTGTTAAGCTGGCCTGATGTACATCTTTATTAAAAATAAAAAAGATAAAGATAAGTGTGTAATCTTTGTGTATAATAAAGTAAAAATAAATAAATGTGCTCACTATTAAAATTCCTAATAGGATAGTCAGAAACATTTATCGTCTATTATGGTTGTAGAGAGGGTAACACTCGACAAGCGGGGGGAAAGGGATTGTTAGCAATGGGGTTTGACAGCCCTATTGTTATCAATATGCCTTATTAGGTCGACCTCCACGTGGTTCCCCCTGGAAACTATCGTGAACAATTCTCGTTGAATTCGTCACGATGGGCTAACTGACCTACTTCATCCTCACCTATCATCCTTCACTGGTTCGCCGCCGGTATATACCGATAGCGCAGGTGGGATTACCATTCCATTATCATCCATTAAAAAAAAATACACTCGACAAGCCCACATGCGCTCAGCATATTAAAATTCATCAACCATTCATATAAAATATAAAAATAGATGTAAATTGGACTTTCATTACCCCATTAAGCCTCTCATTTAGGAGGAAAGGGATTGTATATTTATTTATTTATTTATAGGATTACCAACATAAAATGTATGTCTTTAGTATATTTAATTGTATGTATTTATTTATGTAATATTAGAGTATTTACATAATTTTCTGTTTTATGCGCATGTCTTCACGAAGCACTTCATTTTAACTTGTTGCTTTCGTAAAACTGGCTTAGTATTTTAATTTAATTTATATTTGTAAACCACCGTGTCTTGGTAATCTCATATGGACTCCCGCGATACAGGTTCTCCTAGTGCGGGGTCCAATGTACTCGCTGTTGTAATTTTTTTTTTTTGTATTTAATAAATAAATAAAATATTTAATAAATAAAAAAAAATAAAAAATCATTTCAATACAATACACTGGTAGATTAGATCTAACTGTTCTTACATTTATAGGCGATCACAGCATGCCTTGTGTTTGATAAACATTAAAATAGAATTAAATTATTAAATGCCATTAAATAAGTAAAGGTATTAACAATATGAATAATAACATAATATAAATAATGGAAATTGTTATTAAATTATTTTAAATTATAAATAAATATTAGTTAGTAATGAAATTTAACAGGCCCATTCCTAGGAATATACCTTAACAGATCGACCTCCACATGGTTCCCTTTGAAAACCATCGTGATTATTATTTAATGAATTTATCACGATAGCTAACTGACCTGTTTCATTCTCATGTATCATCCGTCACTAGTATTTCTCGCCATGTGCGAAAAAGCTACCGCCATCCCTAGTATTAATTTGATTTGATAACGGAGTTTTCTATCGCTGAAGTCTTAGTAGGAAAATTTAAATTAACACAAGTATTTTTAAAAATTTTCTAACAGTTAAAATTTTTCTTTATCCTTTTTGCTTTTATTATGATATCCTATGATGATAATAGCGACAAATTATAAAATCTGTTAAAATCATATAATAATTATATGACACGACGAACTTATGAACAATATTAAGCTTTCTCAGATTATATAGAATATATTTGAGAAATCTTTGAATAGAATCTATTTATTTAAATTTAATGCACAGTGAAACTATGTACATAGTATGGCGGACTTAACACCGGACGGTGTTCTCTACCAGTCAACCATTGGGCAAACCGAGAAATGAGTAGATGGTGTATTATTGAATTGAAAGAATATAAAAATTAATACTTAATATATTACTTTTACCTGCTACTTCCTCCACGTAACCAGGATATGTTACCGGGGTAGATTGTTTTTTTTTTTTCATAATTGTAAACGTGCTATAAGCTCCAAAAATAAGGTGAAATACTCGTACCAGTGGTCTTACCAGAAATATAATCATTAGGGCACTTTCTGCACACATATCTACCAGATAAGTTCTGGCATTTACGTGGTACACAAGCAGTACCGTCGGCAGATACAACTTCGGTAGGGTTGCACGCTTTACACCGAGCGATACCTGTCGATACGCTGTGCTCCTCGCACACACATGAAAACCCTGAAATATCGAATTAGGAAATCAAACCCTCGTAATTATACGAAAATGTAAAAATTTTTGCTTGTTATACGATAATTAAAATTAACGAAGATATCACGTAACAAGCTTATAACGAGATGTATTAATTAAAAAAAAAAAGAAAAAACATGTCTACCCAGCAAATAATTATTTTTTTAAATTAGAAAATCGGTCTATATAAACACCATATTGTTTTTTTTTTTTTTGAAAAAATATAGTCAGTGTCACTTAAATATGTATTTACTATAATGTAAGGATTCTAACGGTATCTCATCCATCCAAATCAGTTTGAATATATCACAGCGCCATCTATTCCCAAACTAAAAAGAGCTGATACTTACTGTTAGACAATAGTAATAGAGATTCTTAATATATTTTTTTTAATATATACTGGTATATAATTCAGATCAAAGCAAATAGATGTACTTATAAAAAAAATATTCTACTGAGCCGGGTTCGAATCCTTAATATGGATTTTAACCTATAATGCCCAGCAATATATTAAATTTATTATATTTTCATTTTATTTATATTATTTTTGTATCTAATTAAAAATATATTCATCATCATATCTGTTCTTAACCATCCACTGCTGAACATATACCAGAGGGAGACTTTGTACAATAGTCGTTTGCTTGGGTATCTCTGTCCCATTTGTGTTTCAACCGTAAAGCAGTTGTGTTACGATTTGAAGGGTGGGATATGGCGTTAATTTACAGGGTACAGAGGAATAACACCTGAGTCCTCAGGAATGGCAACGCATGGGGGTATCATGGGCGAAACAGTATACTCTGTTATGTCCATGGTACTGCTCATGTCTATAGGCAACGGTAACCACTTTCCATCAGGTGGGCCGTCAGCTTGTTTGCCATTCTAAGTTGTATAAAAAAAAGCCTCCTTGAGGGGTTTTGCCAGTAGTTGCCATGTTTTATAAGCGGAATGGCAACCGCAGTTAGGCTTCAGAGATGTTTAAAGAGGGACGGTACTGCCCATCCCTCGCCCTCCCTTAGTCGCCTCTTACGGCAGCCATGGGAAAGGAAGGGGTGGCCTATTCTATGCCAGGACCACACGGCCAAAAATATAATATTATTTCATAAATAATTTGCTAAAAAGTATATTATTTCCCAAATAAATCTACATTATTGTCATAGAAGAATAATCAAAAGGGATTAATAGTTTTGCAAAGAAAAAATTACATAAAAATATATTTAACTTACCATCAGTAGATGTGACCATCGAAACGTTTGCGGGGCAAGCCTGGCACGAGTAAAGACCCGGCTCGTAATACTCAGTTCTATTGCATTTGGGTAAAACAATTCCATTCACCCCAAATGTTACTAACACTGCAACTATCACAAAGAATAATAGCTCGACATTCATTCTCAAATCGTAATAGTAAAGTTTAGTTATGGGTTAATTTAAAAATTATAGCAAATGTATTGAATAAAATCCCTAAAGATTTCTCAGATTACATAGAATTTTCGTCTAATATTACTGTTAATTTTAGTTCACGAAACTTAATATCACCTACAACATGTGTTTATTAGCTCTAATTGTATCATTAAGGTTTTATATAACATATGATAACAACGTATGGTTTGAAACTGTCAAATTATTGTATTATGTATTTAGTTTCCTTGTTGAACAATTTAGCAGTGTTTTGTTTACGTAATATATTACAATACCGTTGCTAGGCAACGTATGCTTAGAATACTTACCCTAATTCGGAGAAATAGGGTACTGTCTATCGAATTATGAATTAAATGCTTTATAAGAGACGAGTACTAGTTTCGGTATTACCCAGAGGGAGACTTTGTACAAAAATCGATTGCTTGGGTACCTCTGCCCCATTCGTGTTTCAACCGTAAAGCAGTTGTGTTTGCATGGCTGTGTTTCGGTTTGAAGGGTGGGATATGGCGTGAATTTATTGGGTACAGAGGAATAACTCCTAAGTCCTCAGGAATGGCAACGCATGGGGGGTTACGTGGGCGAAACAGTATACTCTGTTATGTCCATGGTACTGCTCATGTCTATAGGCGACGGTTACTAATTTCCATCAGGTGGGCCGTCAGCTTATTTGCCATTCTAAGTTGTATAAAAAAAATACATAAAAATTACAATGCCAAATTAAATGTGGTTTTCAAAGTTGTATTTCTGCAGGTTTAGCTGGTAGAAGGGATCAATTTAATTTAATTTTTCTTCACGCTAGTCGAAACAGCATTCAAAATCTATGTAAACAAAGACGCAGGCGAAAGCTTCCTAAATTAATTTGTATGTACAATATGTTGTATGGAAAATACTCATTAATACTTGTATATGCTTATACACTTGTATATACTATACACTATCAAATATATAAGATTTATCCAATTACGCAGTAAATGTGTATACATATAGTAATTTATGTAAAGAATACATACGTACAAGTATGTATATATGTATACAAAGTGTATGATGCAAATGCATCTCATGATTTAATTATTGAAACTTCGTACGTTTTTTTTTATTCTAATATCATTAAACAAATTATGCTTTTATTAGCTTTTACCTGCGACTTCGTCCGGGTAACCGGGATATGTTTACTGACCGGAATAAAACGTAGCCTATATCCATGTCCATCCCATATAACACGTGTATATAAAACTTTATAGTGATGGGATAAACCGTAAGACGCTATAAAAAAAACAAACAAACAAACTTAAATTATTTATTATTAATATATAAAATAAGTACTAGGAGAACAGAAACATGTAAGTATTCACATTAATTAATGTATGGTTTCATTAAACATTGTTTTCAATAAAATTAATTACTGAAATAACAGTATATAAGTATAACAGTACCAAGCGTACTAAAACAACATAATCATTACTAGCAACCCCCGCTCCGGCTTCGTACGGGTGGACATTCTTTATTTTGATATAACTTTTTTATTTATGAACCGATTGAAATAAAATAAACACTGTATATTAAGTAGAACAAACCGCAATACATTAGTGAAAACCGTATTCAAATCGGTTAAGCCGTTTCTGAGATTAGCGTGCGCAAACGTACAGACGTTACAGACGAAAATTCTAAAAATAATTCTTTTGGGTTCTAATGCGTTCATAAAGCCCCCCCCCCCCCTATAATAGGTTTTCTTATACATCTTTTATATACAGACAGCGACCAGTTACGACTTTATTATATGTATTGATTTATCAATCTTCAATATAATCTTCACTGATAACATGATTGCTATGTACGGCTCGCCTGGAATGAGTACCATCATCTTATCAATTTCAATCTTCTTTTAATATAATAACTAAATAAAAGAAAATAAAATAAAACTACTTTTATCATAATTTGTAAACGTATTATTTATAATATTACATTAGGTACAACACCTCCCCTTACACTTCTAATTGACACAAAACTAAAAAAAGCATCTCTGTCTAAATTCAAGAAGTAATGTTTATATAAAAATAGATATTGATATAAAAGACAACAGTATAAATATAGGTACAATATGTATAAAAGTAGGAACAATTGTTTTAAAATGTTTATTTTGTACAAAAACTATTTCTTCGATATACATGCATGAGTGTAATGTACATAAACGTGATTATTAATTATATTTGACAATCTAAACCTACCTATGTCTAAAAGATACGATCTGTAAAATTAGCAAAGTTTAGAAATAGCTAGGTTTATAGAATAACATTTCAAACTTTGCTAATTTCATCGAAACTCACAACATATACGTAAGTACTTTTCAATTAATATATCTGTACTAGATATATAGGTTTGTTTATGCACTTGGATTAAGGTCTTATCCAATAAAACATTTAATAAAACAAATGTTTCCAAATTCGACGTAACTTAGTAATTAACCTAATAAAGATACCTACAAAAATTATGAGAAAAAATAGGACAAATGAACTGTCTAAGAGGTTTTTCTTTCTAAGAGTCAAGTTATAAATTGTGTGGTTATAAACCATGCAAAAAAAACATTTATTTATCTTCGTTTTAATTTTTTTTTTAAGTTCTTTTGAAGTTTTTTTTTTGTTGTTGATCATCGTCATTGTAAGTTGACAGGAGTTAGGAGACTAAATCAGTCGAATTTTACTGTTTACTCATTATTTGTTATTTTTATTCATTTTCATCCATTTATGTATTTGTAACTCTGCCAATTAAGTTTTTCTGTTCTGACAAAAAAATTGTATTCGAATGAGTAAAAACAATTTTTCGAAGGCAAAGACTTATCTAAGAGTATATATGCACCTTTATAAAGGTCCAAGCCCGCTGATTTCTCGGAATTAAAGCATAAATACGCTAATGAAGCTTGCCTTAGGAACATAAAAAATAATAATATTACTAGAGAAGGTAATCGAAATTATTGACGTTCTTTTAGAGAAATGTTTTAACATTAAATTTTTAACATATTTTCGTAAGAAAAATGTAAAAAAAAATCTATACTAAATATGGTGCGTACAATTGTCACGTTAATAGGGCAAGTTCTAATTGTCATTTTTGAGTTACGTTTTCTTCGAATATCTATTGTTTTCTATTTCATTATATATACTTATTTAGAGTGAAACAGAAATAGTTATATTAAAAATTTTAATGAATTAGGAAGCTAAAAATAACAAAAAAATAAATAATTTTGAGCCTCTAACACTAACTTTATATGAATAAGTTGCACCGACAAGAGGAAACTTTTAAATTAAAACACTAACATCTGGACGCGTCGTTTTAGTATTGGATGCTCGAAATTTCTATTATTTTTCGACCCATATTTCTTTGATAAAAATGTTCCGTTTCGCTAATAAAACACTCTCTTAATAGGATGAAAAACGTATGAGTAATAACGATTTTTATTTCATACAATTTAAAAAAAAAGAAACAATAATTGTCACAAACATTTTTCTACTATATTTTAACAGTACATACTCTGTATGTAATAATCCCATTACTGTGACTTATACAATGTAAAATGCAAATGTAATTGTGTTTAGGTCATTAAGTGAATAAACTTCACATTACCAAACACAAGTACGACATCATATAATTTATGCTCAATTTGCCGAGTAATCTCAGTAACAAATTGAGCACAACTTCGATAACGCGATCCGTATTCAAATTTATATTCGCAAACATGACGAATTAGAAGCAATTTCTGTAGATAGATCACAGACATAGATATAGATAGACGACGCAAGTACTCCAATTAATACTCGTTTAAACAAACCATTGAAAAGTTGTTCTATCGAAATCCTATTCATATTTGTACTGGTTCTATTACTTGTCACTTGTTACTTGACTTACAAAATTCGTGTTTCGTTGAATTGTGCTAAGTGTTAATACATAAAAATTTACTTAATATGAAATATGTTGTATATTAAAGATTTAATTAAAAAAAATATATATATATATCATGACACTACAATAAAATTGTAGGATTACAGTCACTACAATACAGTGGCGATTTTGATTACTAGATTTCAATCAGTACTACTAAACTACTTGCCGTCATGTTAACTGACCTATTTATTGACATTACGAGTATATCTCCCTTAATATATTTTTTTTTTAATCTAAAAAACATTCAACATTTTTATACTGCTCCGAGTCGTGATCATTCTGAATAGAGCAAAAATTTATAAAAAGTATAGTAAATGCAGTTGCTACATCTATTTAAATTGATATCTGGCTAGATTTAAAATGTCGAAAGTAATTCAAATATAAATAATACTCCCACGTATTTCAAATTATATAACATGAACAACTAAGAACAAGAATTAAATCCAACGTCAAAATCTTTGCTAAATATTTATTCGCTTACAATGATTTCTGTTTTATTACATTATTATTGAATGGATATTTTTATTATTAATCATAGTATGAAACGGTATAGTACAATATTACCATCACGATAAATAAGTGATATAAAAGAAGATTAAACCATATGCATCAAAATAATTTATTGAACTTGGTGTTATTTTATGGAAGTCCATATCACTATCACTGGTTAGTCGATTAGAATTATTTTGTTTAAATTCATTACATTTAGTATGCGTTCGACTGCTAACATAATGGGATGGGAAAATATGTATATATGTATGTGTATGTGTGTATGTATATGCATGTGTGTATGTATTTATATATATGTGACAAAATATATATGTAAAAATGTGTATAAATCTAAATTGTTTATGTATCTAATGTTTATATATTAGTTAATAAGTTTTGTAAGTAGAAGAGGGCCCAAGACTTCACGACACAGGGAATCCTAGTGTGAAGTTTTGGGAACAAATGTAAAATTGAAACATATTTTTTTACCTAATAAATATTATTATTATTATTATTAAACAAAATAATAATCTAATCTAATCTTCTAATCACTTGTATGTAGACGTTTTTAAGTTTAGGAGCACATATATAATATTGTATTGAAAATTTAATTGTATTTTGCTTTCCTGATTAAAAAACTATTAAAATAAAAAAAATGGTTTTCTGGTTACGTCGTAACGGTAAAATCGTACGATATCTTGGCTTGCTACGGGTAATTATAAAGGCAGTAATACACGTTACTGATAAACACTAATCATGTGAGATAGTCTATGGCAGTGATTCTCAACCACTGTACCACGGCACTTTTGTGTGCCGCCAAATTTTGCAAATATTTAAAATTTTTGTCATAAACTATTTATGCAGTGTGTTGTAGTAAGTAAATAATTTTTATCTTTTTCTTTGTGTGCCGCCAAATTTTGAAATTGTTAAATATGTGCCGCAACAAAAAAAAGGTTGAGAATCACTGGTCTATGGTCTACTTAAACAACAACATATGTATTTGGCAACTTATAATTTAAATAAATTATCGAAACTTTCATTTAGAATCCTCTAAATTTAAGATAGAAAATAAGACGTCATTGATCATCAAAAATAATGCAGAAGATTCAATTTAGGTTTTTATTAAAGTACTCGTATTTGTGTTGCAGATATTATGTTAGCTTTTAACTTTATTGTCCCAAATTGAAACAATATTTTACAACAAAATGACATTGTATTCATTTAAATACTAAATACTGTTGAAATTTATCTATAACGCTATACAATTTCCTTAAAAATAAAATTGTAAATAAATTCTGAGGATACAAAACAAAGTATACAACTCAAGCAGCTAAAGTAGGTGGTTCGACCACTAAATATGGGACCTGTAAAGACATTGGTGGCTGTGGTAGTGCCGGGAACAGAATAGGGTACTGGGGCGGCGGTTGTGGCCCTTGGCTGACTAGCCTAGCCTCAGGTTCGGAGCACTGCAGTAGCCAGTGCGTCAGCATTCGTCCCCTTCCTTTCAGTTCAACCTCACCGCGGCGTTCTACTACAAATGTACCCCACTGCTGCAGCAGTAGGCGTGTGCTCTCACTTAAGTGAATTCGGAGTGCTAAAAACATTGAAATAAATGCATACTATTTTTAATAATAATTACCGTTACTATCTACATAATGTCAGATCATTGTTCATGACTGTACATACTTGTAGATTTTCAACATAGACTGTTATAAATTTCGGTCTAAAGCTACATCTATCTAGTTTAGATATTTCAAATCATCTCTCCATGAAACATTTATGCAACTACTAGAAAGAGGCTACACATACAAAGTCGTTTCCAAAAAATGCACGAGGACCTTTGTCTCTTCTATTGTTGTCAAGTAGCTTACTTATATATATATATATATATATATATATATATATATATATATATATATATATATATATATATATATAATAATTTTGTGGTACAATTAAAACTTACGTTGTCCACTTGACTCCATTCGACTGGCGGTGTTAACAGTATCACCAAAGAGGCAGTAATGAGGCATTTTGACTCCCACTACACCTGCGCACACCGGCCCGGAGTGAACCCCTACCCGAACCTAGGAAGCAATTAATTAACACAAATAGGTATTTTAATATATATAATACTGGATCAAATATTTTTCACCTCTATAGAATAGACAAAGATTTAGCAATACTACCTGATGTACCTATACAGAATGACAGAGAAACACTACCATATATGATAATCATCACAGTGAAAATTGTGTAAGAAAGTGATAATATGTGTAAGAAAATGATAATTTATTTTTATGTTGTTATTACTTATAATCTATGTATATGTAAGTGTTATGATTTATTAAAATCAATTTTCATTCATTCATTCTTTTATTCATAATATCGTCATAGTCGTAGAATACTGACGGATCTTTATATGTAATCATTGTCAGATCCGTCAGTATTCTACGACTATGACGATATCAACACTCAAGTCGCCAAAGTATTAAAACAACTAATGACATTGCATATTAAAAGTGTTGATTAACACCAAAATCTGCACGGTGAAGTAAATGTGAATTTACACCAGCCAATCAACTCATCAGAACATGTAAAGTTATTCTGCAATATTACTAAATCGGGGGAAAGGGATTGTTAGTAATGGAGATTGAGAATCCCATCGCTAGCAATATACCCAACCAGGTCGATTTCCTCGCGGTTCTCCCTGGCAACTAACATGGTTAATTCCTGATGAATTCATCATGATGGGCTAACTGGTCTGTTTTCATTCTCATCTATCACTCTTCACTGGTGCTCTGCCAGCGTATCCCGTTAGCGCAGGAGGGATTACCATTCAATTTTCACGCATAAAAAGAAAATTACTAAATCTGATAATTACTAACAGTATTCTTTTACCCACATTTTTAATTATTACATCTAATGTTTGCAGAACGTAATATTTGTTACAATAATTGTTGTATACACCATTGATGTAGATTAAACTTAAATATGAATATTTCTTTATGAGTGTTTGTAGAAAAAAAATATTTTCATTTTTTCCATATATTATTTAGTATCGTACCTCCAAACGATGAGTTGGCCGATGCCTGACGACGAACCCTCGCACTGCTTCCACTATGGCCAGCGCCATGAGGCATATCTCCCGTGCGTGGAGGTCACCATTCCGCTCAGGCAGACCAGACACCACCATATACGCATCGCCTATTGTCTCTACCTGTTGTATGGAATATTGCTCTTTAACGCAACTGAATAAGAATTGGCATGAGTCATACGGAAATGTATATACATATATGTTGAGCGTGGTACGTTAATTTTACGAAATGTATATAAAATACACTGGAGTAAAGGTCGAAGAGAAAGACGTGAGGTCAATGAAAGGTTTAAGGTCATACTAATGATAAAAGAAAGTTTTTTTGGACACTTAATAACAATCAGTGAAGCGCAGTTAGCATCCCAAGAGGAATAAACAATTCAAAAACAAAAGTGATCTTCGATTGATTTTAGTAAATAAGATAAATAAATATTATTATATTTTGTTTAAAACTATAATCTCTTATGGGGTACTGAGTACACACTTTCATAACAAAGGTAACCATTGACAAACGCCTATGATGATCTCTTAGTTTGTATATATGTATTATAGTCAAATATCCCAGTTCCTACGCTTTTAAATTTGTCTAGTGAAACTTTATTTTTAAATGAGGTAAATACAGAGGCTAAGCTCGGAAAATAGAGTCTTTTTCACATTCACATTCACATTGGGGTAAATACATCCCGTACCTACTGGGCATTAAACACGGGTACTTAAGACTCCCTGTTCAGTGGAACTATCACCACCATCTTGCATTATGGGTAAGAGGCTAAGGTTGCAAATGCCCTTATCCTTGAAATCCCACTTCCCGCATATCCTGTATCAGCGCAACAGGGTACCAGTACTCAGGAAGGGAACCAGTTACAGAACTCGTGAGGTACTCACGAGTTCTGTAACTGGTTCCCTTCCTGAGGACCTACCGTTATATATTTCCTGAAATTTCAGGACTGAACGAAACACAAATTCAATGTTAAAATTAATAACACATATAGTTTGAAAATACTAAAAATGTTAAAGTATCGTTCCTTTGGACTTTTGACGAACAAAATGTTAAGCTCCATTTACTGGGCCAATTTCGATATGAATGAAAACACGATATTGAGTTCGAAAATTTGAAATTCATTTCATGGTATCCTCTGAAACTCGTGGCCCAAGTTCCTAATCTTAACTAATCACCTAACCTGGAATAAACCAATCATTCCACAAAAAGACTACATATCGATCTTTCCCTCCAACATACACATAAAATAAAATGCATTCGTATTAATAATTTACTTACCTTATAAACATCATAAAATCCTATAATCCTATCGAATGTGCTGTACAAATCGTTGAGTAGATCCACGACTTGCATCGGGGTAGAGGCGGCGCACAGCTCCGTGAAACCGACTATGTCGCTAAAATACACCGTCACGCATTCGAAGCTCTCAGGCTGCACCATCTCACCAGCCATAAGTTGCTGAGCCACAGGCCTGTATCAATGTATTTGGGTGAAACAGTATACTCTGTTATGTTCATGGTAGTGCTTATGTCTATAGGCGACGGTTACCACTTTCCATCACGTGGGCTGTTACTTTGTTTGCCAAGTTGTATAAAAAATTAATTGATATTTCTTTTAGACAAAAGCTAGTTCAAATAGATGTAAATAGGGCGTCGAGTGTTAAATAACGTCTCAAAAATGCTCAGAAACCTGTTACCATATATCTCAAACAGTCGTTTTGGGAGAAACAACTTTAATGACTTTACTGTAATAATTAAATAAATCCCTTCACAAAATTAGTAGTAGATTTGTTTCAAAAGAAACATACAAATATAATTAGTAGCGTTTCCTGACCATTTTTCTCGGCTGCATATGCTTTTGGACAGTAAGGTTATAAAAAATCCTATATGAATAAAAGATTTTGATTTCTTATAATAGATAGTATGCCTATTTTATTCCTTTTTTTATTGTTAAAGAGACAAACGGCTGACTATATTCCGATAGGAAGTAGTTTATCAAATTAAATAAAATTTATTGCATAAAAAGAAATAAAGAAAGAGAATATAGAAAGTTCAAAGATCGTTTCGATTGCTCATTCGACAGAAGCCATCTAAAGGAATCACGTTTTTAGAAAACAATAAGAAATATGTACGAAGGAAGTCGCAATTAGTGTATATATATATATATATATATATATATATATACATACTTAAGTGACTACATATATGCAACAATGAATTGGTAATAATAATAATAATAATGAAAGTTTGAAATTTATAATCTCATCTACAATTAGAATTCATCATTAAATACTCTGGAATCAGATTAGATTATTCTTCCATGCCAGTTACGCATCATTCTACTGATAGGAAACAGGTTAGTTCTACGCTGCGCGCCCTCTACGCCATTACGAGGGCCAAAAAGTTCGCGGAATGCGGGAGAAGGGGGTTGAAATTAAATATAAAACTATTTTACCTTTTTAATATATTCTCTCTTAACCTTAATACATTTTTCGTATCTTTCAAATAATTTGTTTATACCATCGAAAAAAAAAGTTTATCTTTGCTGTCAAAATAGGCCGAAATTGCAGACTTGACTTCTTCATCGTCGCCAAATTTTTTTCCACGCAGCTCCTTTTTCATTTTTGGGAATAAATAATAGTCGCTGGGGGCCAAGTCTGGACCGTAGGGTGGGTCTAATTTTTTAAACCAGCATCGGTTGATGGCAGCCGTGTGAACGGGAGCGTTGTCATGCAAAAGGAGCAAACCTTTTGACAGCTTTCCTCTCCTTTTTTCTTTAATAGCTTCTTTCAATCTGTCTAGTAAAGAAGCGCAGTACTTTCCCGTTATTGCCACACCACGATCTTTATAATCGATCATCAAAATACCTTCTGTATCCCAAAAGATAGTCGCCATGATCCTTCCGGCCGATTGTGACACTTTAAACTTTTTCGGAGAAGCTGTACCTTTTTTATGCCACTACATCGTGTCTTGCTTCGACTTAGACACAGGTCATCTTCAATAGACTCTCTTCCTTGTTTGAAACCATGCCACAAAAACCATGCCACTTGTAAACCATGGTTTTACCAGGGACAGAGTACGCGTAAACTGCTAACAGCTCTTGAAAAATCCTCTGAGCGGATTTTCTTTGCTTGATGAGGAACTTAATAACGGCGCGGTGTTTAATTTTCGCCATACTCGCTGACTTCTTCCCAATTCACTTGTTTGTTAGTCTAACTCAAAAGTTAATGACCCGATTTGGTTTAAACTTGGTATATATACTCTTAATGAGGACCTCATTTCAAGTGACTACCTGAACGAGTAAACCAACCCCCACCAACCCCTCCATTCCGCGAACTTTTTGACCTCCTCTCGTAGGTAATACGTTTCGTACAGCCATGGATTTAATAATCCATAGCTCCGTGCAATATTAACATGAATAATTTTAATTTGCAACTATTACTCCTAACCATGTTTAATAATACTAACAAATAAAGTTACCGTAAATTTAAAAAACGTAAAGAAATATTTTAAATGTATGGGAGCCACTATGATATAATTGAAAATTTGCCACTTGTCTAATATGTTAGAATCGTAAGAATATTATAAATGCAAAATTTTATTAGGCTCTTTGTCACTCATCATACATACATGACTGAATCTGTTTGATTCAAATTTGGCATACCTATGGACCATATTTTAGGAACTTTTTATTCTAATTCACAAAACAAAATCGCGAGTATTTTTTTTTTTTTTATCTATAAACCAGTCCATAATGCAATTTCAGCAGAGAAGAACGGGCAAAAAAGTCAGCTGTCGCTTTTTTTAAATAATACGAGTATACTCGCATATTACGCAAAACGCATTTCAGGTCTCAGCTTTAAGGCATTTAAATCACAAAATTTAATCAAAATTAAGTATAAAATTAAGTGTAAAGTTTAAATTAAATACAAATTAAATCGTTTGTCTTGATTCAAATGCTACAATAAAATTGTACAAAATTTATAGTTCAAATGAACTATAAATATAAATTCTTGATTGAAGAAAATTGGAGCCAAGAGGCATTATAACAATAATATTGAATTACTTTAATCACGTATATCCTTATTATATGTATACAAATATTAATATATATTAAAAGCTACAATATAAAGTTATTAAACGATCTCTCACATAATAAAGTTTCATCGATAAACAAACAACAATACAATTGTACACAAAGCTTAGTTATGGGCTGTAAAATGTGTTTTATTGCTGCATATACGAGACAGAGCAATTTAATTAATGTATCACTATATTATATTATTATAATAATATAAATAAACACTCAAAATACGGATAATATAACTGAATTACAGCTAGGTAGGTATATCTTTACACACTTAAAAAAAGCTGAAATTGCTAAAACTACGGTGGGGCGGGGGGGATTGTTAATAATGGAGACTAAGGGCCCCATTGCTAACAATATATCCAACCAGGTCGACCTCCGCGTAGTCTTTCCTGGAAACCATCATGCTGATTTCTAAGTATATTCATCACGATGGGCTAACTGACCTGTCTTTCATCCTCACCTGTCAACACTCACTGGTGCCCGCCAGTGTATGCCGATAGCGCAGACGAAGTTACTATTCTATCATCAACCATTAAAAAAATAATACGGGAGTATGTCAACATATTTATTATTTTTTAACAGAAACATCTATAATGTTTCCTTCTATTATTGTACGCATATTGCCCGCTAGTAATTAATGCTCCTTTCCACTCAGTGTTTGTTGGAAGAGAACTCTTACAGAGTTAAGCTCGCCTGTTGTACATCTTTATTTTATATATTTTATATGTTGTAATTTTTTGTGTACAATAAAGAATAAATAAATAAATGTTTCCTTTCTTTCTTAAAATAGCAGAATAAGTTTTTTTTTTATATGTATCATCATCATATCATATTAACTGTCCACTGCTAAATATAAGTCTCCCTCTATTGGGAAGTTTTACCAATAGTCACCACGCTTGGTGATATTTTAAGAGTGACGCTGGTGCTCATCCTTTGACCATTAAGTACTTAATTTTATCACAATTCCTTCACTGTTTCTAGCATTAAGTTATGGAATTCATTGCCTGTTGTCATTAGAAGTACAAAATCCATTGATGCTTTCAAACGATAATTGAAAGATTATCTTTTCTCTATCTGATTGTTTTTTTCATTAAAAAATTGGCATTCTTTATTTACGTATTTATATAATTATTTATTTTATGATATTTTGTTTTCCTTGTGCCTATAATTATTAATATGTATCCTAGTATTGGGTACATATTTAACATATATGCATGGGATTATATAATTTTGTTTGATTAATATATATGTATATGTATGTATGTATGTAATTTTTATATATTTTTAATTTGCAAAAGATGTTTTTTTAATTATACAGTACTATCGTACCTAATTGTACAACAATTAGTCCATTACCTTAAGATTGTCTTGAAAAGATTGCTCTCAGCAATAAGACCGCCTTACTGTACTTATACAATTGTATCGTTGTGTTTGTAAATTACCTTGCTTATTTCCTATATTGTATAATGCCAATAAAGTATACTCATTCATTCATTCATACTTAGTTGCCTCTTACGACATTCACGGAAAAGGAAGGGGTGGTTCGTTCTATGCCGGGACCATACAGCGTTTCATGTTTATTAACAGCTTATTTCATTAGCAACTATGGATCTGCAGTAAATATATTTATTTGCGAAATAATAATATATATTAATTACCTTGGCAACACTTGATATAATAACTCCTCAGATCTCCTTTTCTCCAACGACAGTTGTTCCGTTTTCTCTTCTACGAGTGATTCGAGATTGTTCGCGTACTGCTCCATGCGACGGAGAAGGTCATCCATCAAGTTATCACAGTAGCCCCTGGGGAATACGAAATTGGTTCCGATTCTGAGGAGACATTTCTCTAAACTTATCCCTTAACCTAATATTTTAATTTAATATTTTCTAGAAATCACAGAAAATTATTAAACAATTAAGATATGTGGTATCAGGTTAGCAATGGAGTTCGACAGCCCCATTGCTAGCAATATGTCCTATTAGGTCGACCTCCACATGGTTCCCCCTGGAAACCCTCGTGAACCATTCTTGTTGAATTCGTCACGATGGGCTAACTGACCTGCTTCACCTTCACCTATCATCCTTTACTGGTGCCCCGCCGGTGTATACCGATAGCACGGGTGGGGTTACCATTTCATTATCACCCATTAAGCAGTCATTAACTTTCCACTGCTGAACATAGCCTCCCCATAAGGAGGATTTTGCCAGTAGTTGCTACGCCTGGCAAGCTGGCTGGGAATCGCAGTTGGGCTTTTAGTGATGTTTTAAGAGGGACGCTGCTGCCCATCCCTCCTCAGTCGCCTCTTACGACACCTACGGGAAAGGAAGGGGTGGCTATTCTATGCCAGGACCTACAAGGCGGCTTTTGACTTAAATCTATTAAAAACTTTGTTCATATTTGGTCCTTACAATAAAGATTTCACTGTGATATCAAAATAAAATTTTAGAACAATGACATCTCAGAATCGGCCCCATTATCTAATTAAAATGTTTGATATAAATGTATATAGTGACAACGCAAACGGAATTACGATTCCATTTCATTCCATTAAAAAAGCTACATGACGGATTAATTAATGAGATATCGTTTGGAATACAGTTAGCCGTAATTGTGATATGTACCAAGGCGTAACTTGCTGAAAAAATTCATAAAACCAAAAAATACGTTTCAAGGAAAATAGGTATCTAATCTTATTTCTTATCCCAATAAAATGTTCTCTGATACTTTAGTGAAATTTTCATACAAACCGCACAATCATACAACCGATTTAATACAAAAAAGATCTTACAATCCTTCAAACTATATTCCTTGAATGAAATTATTAAATTTAATTCTAATTTTTATTTCCAGTACGATTAAACCTATTTAGAGACATAAGCTATTCGACAATACAAAACAAATAAATCTCGCTACCACTATCAAAAACTTTCACATTCCAAGTTATCATGCTAAGTTGTTCTGCAAAACCGTTTTCTATGCAAATTTTGTCTTAGAAACAACAGGGGTCTCGAAACAAAGTCAAAAACAGATCTGTCTCAACTTAAAAATCTATTTGTGGGTTACTGATCTTACGAGCTCAACACTCACTGCTTTCATTCAGTATGCCCACATAAATAAAAGTTGAATTAGTAATGGAAATTTCGTGTATATAATGATTGTAATACCAGCCACTAACTGCCCACTGTTGAACATAGGTCTTCCTCAATAATAACCAACCAATAGAAGAAACTGCATATAATCACATAGTATATAAGTAGTATTAGCAAATAAAAATAAAAATAGTAATTAACTCCCAATCCCATAGATATAGTTTTTCCATAAAAAGTGTAGTGTTAGATTATATACTTTAGTTGATACTATTTTTAATAAAATTCTAGATATAAGCAAAATAAAAAAGTAGAAAATAAATAAAGTAAAAAGCCTGTAATTTGATATCCGGGGGCAGTGTGTAAATTTGGTTACCCTATCCCAATTAATTATAAGTAATTATAAGTTAGTCGACGGCCCACTTATTGCGGTGGGGAGGTAGGCGCCAAATAAAAAAAAAAAACATAGGTCTTCCCATAAGGGAAGTTTTTCCAGTAGTTGCCACACTTGACAGGTAGGTTGATAACCGCAGTTAGGCTTTGGTGATTTTTTAAGATGGACGCTGCTGCTCTCGACCTTTTTTTAATTAAGTTCTTTTAGTCGCCTCTAACGGCACCCACGGGAAAGGAAGTGGTAGCTTATTCTATACTGGGACTACACGACATATGTACCCTATATACGTATTGTATATTAAAAACATGCAATTTTAATATCCTCAGAACTGTTGAGATTGTAGAGATTAATGGTTTGTTCTCTAGATACAGTGTTATATATGTATATGCCATTCTGAACACGAGAGCGAACTCTTTGTCAAAGTAATCTTCATAACTCACTTTCATGGACATATATATTCAGTTGAAATTTAAACCAATTTATTTGCAAAGATATTTCACATGTCTTACACCTTTGTACACGACTAGCTGTGCCCGCAGTTTTGTATATCGTTGCTCTTATATTACCTTACACTCCGTAAAAAAATATTTTAGTTTTGCGTAACATTTTTTCACATTTTTATAATTGTGGTTAAATTTTTTGTTAATTCGTAACAATGGGTCAATTGATCTTATTTTATCAACATATTATCATCTTCACTGGTATCTTATCATCATAATATCAGCCGTTATCTGTCTACTGAAGAATATAGGCCTCCCCCATAAGGGGGCTTTCGCCAGTAGTTACCACGCTTGGGAGGCGAATTGGCAACTGCAGTTACTTTTAGTGACGTTTAAAAAGGGATGCTGCTGACCATTAGGTTCCCCTAGTTGCTTTTTATGACACTCATGGAAAGCCTAACAATAGATACCAACCAGTCTGCCAAACGTAGCAACTACTGGCAAAATTCCCCTTATGGAAAAGGCCCATTTTCTGCAGAGGACAATTAACGGCTAGTATAAATAATACACCTGCTAAGTCTGTATGGAAGACCCAAAATTATTTGTCGTTTTTGAATTTTTAATTCATCAAATTTCTGTCCTAATAAGTATATTTAATAGCGTAAGTAGATTCCAAGTTTTACGTACGGCTAACAAACTTTACGCTTTTATATTTATTTATTATTAGATGCACAACACAGCTTTACAACAAAGCATTAAACAGTGTCAATGCATACAATATGTATCATGACAAGTTACAAGGCCAAATATAAGTGCATACAGGATGACAGGCATCATTAACAAGAAGCCTTATCTTTAAACATTAATACAATATTATTGAATAATTACTTATTTCACATATATACATATAAGCTAAACATATAAACATTATTCTATGAATATATGGTATTGTAGCGACAAAGAATGTTAAAAAAAAATATAACAAGATTGGTAATCACTTATTATATATATATATATATATATATATATATATATATATATATATATATATATATTTCAAGATCAATCACAACCATTTAAGGCTAAAATATTAACTAAAGGTATTGGTTTCAGTCAGCCCTAAATTTTTATATGTATTTTTTTTGTATCTGTAAACTTCTCTTTGAGTCCATGTATTATTTCAATGTTGTGCATGTCTATAATTGATGCAAATACTATATTTTGTTTTTTAATGTATTTTGTCAATGTATGTACTTGTGTTTTCGATATGCCTAAAAAAATTAATGAAGCACAAACAACTGGATTACTCGATTATCATCTGTATACATTACTTAATATAGTTGGCGTTGATAGCGTCGAAGGTAGGCCGTTCGTCGGGGCACTCGGCCCAGCAGCGCGCCGCCAGCTCTAGCAGCTCGGCGGCCGCTCCGGCGCCGCCGCCCGCCGCGCCCACTGCGCCGCCGTCGCTCACACCCACCACCGGCCGGAACGGCGGCGACTCGCGGGCGCACACCCTCGATACTATTTCTGATGAAACATAAACGTGGATTATTATAGAGTCAGCTATAGTAAATTGAACTACCTTACAAACTTAAATTATACAGAGTGTAAGGGACAGGTTGGCAGAAATTGAAACAGTAAATTTAGTACATTTATTTATTTATAAAGTATTGACCACATTACAAAAAATGTACAAAAGGCGGACTATCATTCTGAGCTCAAATCCAGTGAAAATTCTTTTTGGAAACTTACATTGTTTTTTTTTCATTTAAAATCCTAGATTACATATTTATGATATTGTGTCATAATCTTAAGATATAACAATATTTTATAGTGAAATACTATAAAAAATCAAAAACCAGCATTGCAATATACGTATTTAAATTTTACTGCGGCGCTCGGAAATAATTGTGTAAATTTAACGTCTCAAGTGTAAGGAAACTACCTACAAAAAAGCGCTAGTGACCGCGCGATACCTACATATCACGCGTTGTGTGGATCGTAAAATTTCAAATACATTCAGTTAAAAGTTTAATATTTAAAGGGTATTGTTTTTGTGCTAAATATTTCATAAAAACGTTATTTAATACTTTGTGGATTATTAATTTAGTTGATAATCACTGGAAGTAAAATGGATGCTAATTTGAGAGATCAAGATCTTCGTATAAAACAGTTAATAAAAGAAAATCTACGTAAGTACTCTTTTTATACCTAGGTAGGTAAGGTATAATAAACACAAAAGGTACTTAGATCGCGTGTGTTCGAAGCATTTATTCTAATAAATTTAATTTAAAATTGTAGAAAGAAAAAAATGTCTGCCAAGCCGTAGCCGAAGCCGATCTCCAAATATATTTGGCGATAGTGAGACCCAGTGTCCAGATGATTTACCCAGCGTCGTCGCAACAAAGAAAAAAACGAGGATAAAGTAAAAGAAAATTTACTGAAAGAAGAAACAAACTGTTCTAAATGCTTAATTTATGGAGAAGAGGATAAAAGAAATGAGTATTTCGGACTGTTAGTGGCTCAAGAATTTAAATATATACGGCCATGTGTGCGAACGAGGTGTTATGAAGAAATTTTAAAGTATCTACGGGAAGCAAAAGGCCAACATGTTGATCAACTGCAACATGAAAACACTGAAAATTAATTACTTTCATTTTATTATATATAGATTTTTAAAATTTCCTGAAATATTATTAGTTAACGTTTTATTTAATATTGTAGAATTGATCAATACAATTTATAAAAATAATTTATTGGTATTACTTACATATTTTCAAAAAAATACGTAAAAACCTATTTTTTTGGGTGATTATGGGAGTTTATGGGTGTTTATTGGGTTTTTACCAAAGCACCGGGTTTAAACCCGGTGCTTTGCCCATCTGTAGTTAAAACCAAGAATCGTTAATTATATGGCTATGGTGTCCTTCCAATGGGAAAATAGTCTGCCATTTGATCCAGCCCATTCATCTGAATCAGTTGTTTGAAATTTTTGAAATTGAAATGAAAAATACAAATGCTTTCTCAAAAACAGATAATTTTTTTTTTTTTATAATTACGTGCGTGTAGAAGGTTACATACGTGTGTACTGTTAATACTAAACATGATTTTTATAAAAAAAAATCGCCATTAACATTTCATGAATACTAATAATACCAAAGAAGTTGTCAATGCGTCGCCGACCTTTTAAGATTAAAGTCTCGACTTCTAATCTATTTAATATTCATAGATACTCACCCTTATTGGACATAGTGCTGGTGTAGTGATGGAAGGGTCCAGCTCTAAGGACTATCTCCTCAAGGATGATCCCAAAACTATACACATCGCCTTTAAGAGAGGCGGCTGCACCAGGGTATATGCTGGCCGCTACCAGCTCCGGTGCCGTCCATAACAATTCTGTTAACCGCAAGATTTATATTTTAGCCATCTATTACCATAGTAAATAAAAAGATATCTAAGTACATTTTATTATAATAAATAAATAACAAAAAAGGATGGCAATCGATTTATTTTAGTGACTTGTTTTATACATAAGTATATACTATATATTTTAAATTTTATGATATGATGATGTCTAGTAGTTTGTATTCACACGAATTTATTATTTATATAACTTTTTGAAAAAAGCAACAGCTGAGTTTCTTGCCCGTTCTTTTTGCCTGAAATTTCGAATAGGCTGTAATGAAAAAATTACTATTCAAAAACGCTCAAATCTAAGTTTACTTTAATAAAAATATTTCTTTCTTCCTTTCTCAAGCCAGGTTCGCACTTGTGTCATGGTTACTCATGATTTAGTGGCTCGCATGGCCTTAAAATTATGTAATTCAATCCGGTTATTTTTACAATAAAATATAATGTGTACTTATAAAACTTTTAACAATAAGTCTGGTACTTAAGCTAGAATATCCTGTACGATAAGAATCCAAGCATTTGAAGATCCAAGTCAGAAGTCCAGACTGAAAACATCTCTGAAAAATTAGACTGTAATGACTCAGCTGGTCTAAGGGTGGCGATCTTATAGCTATTTTGTTTAAAGGTAGTAAGCATGCAATTTAAGGACAAGTTCTAAATTAAATATTGGCATGCCATACAATTGAATACAGAGATTCTCTTTTTAACATTAAATACTTGTAATGTAATAACCTGTATTCAAGCAAATAAATTTATTCATCATTTATTCATACAGTCCGTCTGATGGTAAACGATTACCATATGGACATATAGACTATGGATCCCTGCAAGACCTTAATTGTCACTATTATTCAATTAAATATTTTGCTTAGAGATAATGATGATGATAATGATGAGATGATGTTTCTAGGTGGCTCACCTAGAAACATCACTTCACCCTTCAATTATACAACACATTCACATTTATGGTATTATACTTCATAATGATATTTACGCGTAATATACCCTATCAGGGCGACCTTTAGGTGGTCCCCCTTGGATACCATCGTGCTAAATTCCAGATATGGAAAGCGCGGGAAACGTTTAAAAAAGCGGGAGTGTTTTTTGATCTTCTTTAAATTAATTTTATTTTTATTTATATAAGGATTAGTCTTTTTTATATATTGTGTATTAGATTGTATATTTAATTGTATATTTTGTAGTAATAGTGTTTGTTGCTGTAAATATTGGTAAGTAAATTACCTATATTAACATTATGGATCCACCTATAGACCCTGGGGGGACAACCCCCAGGTGTCTGCAAATATAACTATTCCATTCAATAATAGTTTTGATATATTAGGTGAATCTAGTATGGACACAGATGGTTCTAGCGTTGCAAGTTCTAAACGTAAGCGAGTACGTGGTGAACGTCGCATTTGCAAACATTGCAATAAAAAACGAAGGAGGCACACCAAGGGTCTTGAATCTAAAATTAAAGATAGTGATTGTCAATGTATTGAAGATGAGAATCAAACTCAAGTATCAATACCAGTTGTAAACAATACCGAGTCTGTTAAACCTGCTTCTCCACCCAGTACTTTAAGCAGAACTTTGTACAATGCCGAGGATATAGCACCTTATGTCGTTCATGTACAAAAAAATGAAACACATCCTAATGATAACACTACATTACATCCTATTGCATTTGGTCGCTTTTTACACACTAATAAGATAAATAATATAGTGAATGGTAGCCTCAAAAGAATAGGAAGAAACCGTTTATCGCTTTCTTTCTCAAATTTTGAAAATGCAAATGCATTTTTAAATAATAGTAACTTAGTGACACATAATTTTAAGGCATTTATACCTTCTTTCCATGTAACCCGTATGGGAATTGTGAGGGGTATTCCTAAAGATTGGACAGAAGAGGAAGTAATCCAAAATATATCAGTACCGATAGGTTGTGGGAAAATTCTAAAAACCAGAAGAATAAAGAAAAAGACAATTAATGAAGGACAACCAAGTTTTATTAATACTGAAACCATTGTTATTACTTTTGATGGACAAATATTGCCAAAAAGAGTATTTATGTTTTACACATCATTAACTGTAGATTTGTACATTTACCCTACTATCCAATGCTATAACTGCTGTAGGTTCGGACATGTCAAGATGCAGTGTCGTTCAAATCCTCGGTGTTATAAATGCAGGCAAAATCATACAGGTGATAAATGTGAAGTAGATGAGGAAAATGTTTCTTGTATCTTGTGTAATGGTTCTCATTCAGCAATTAGTAAAAAATGTCCTGAATATGCACGTCAGAAAGCCATTAAAGAAACAATGGCCCATAGTTGTGTTTCTTATGCTGAAGCATCAAAATTTCATCCTCCAACTTCTAAACTATATTCAGATGTATTAACATCATCATCTCCTTCCAATAAATCTCATTTTCAATCTTCTTTCCTTAAAGAGAAATCATCATTACCACATATACAATCATCATATAAAAAAACAGTTACACTTAAACCACGCTCTCCTCAAAAAATACAACAAGGATATGATCGTTCTGCCCATGAAGCCATAGTTAAGGAATATAATATTCCTGCTCCCTCTAATGGTTGTGCATTATCATCAAATAATATTGACAATAATCAATCCATCATTGATATTATTCTCATGCTTATTAAAGTGTTATCGCAATCAAAAATGATACAAACAACTTTACCACCGTCCAACGATGCCATGTACAATGTATTTTCTCAATTATTAACTTCTCACAATGGATTACAAAGTCCAAATAATTCAGTGGAACTGTCGTAGCATAACAAATAAGAAATCAGACTTATTTTATTTGATTAATAAATATAATCCTTTTATAATAGCTCTACAAGAGACTTGGTTAAAGCCAGGATATCCTTTTAGGATTTCAGGCTTTACAAGTCTCCGTGATGATAGAGCTGACGGATATGGCGGTGTTGCCATATTGGTCAAAAACTCCCTTCTTTTTTCTTCTTTTTCGCTTCCTGTATATAGCGGCATTAATGCAGCTGCTATAATTATAAATGGTATCTGTTTTGTTACTTTATATATTCCTGATCCTACATGCCAAATATATTCACAACTAGAACAATTATTTTCAATTTTACCTAAACCTTTTCTCGTAATGGGCGATTTTAATGCTCAGCACCAATCGTGGGGCAGTTCTACTTCTAATTTTTATGGTGGAAAACTCCTGACGATAATTGACACTTACAAATTATGTATTATTAACTCAGATGTACCGACACGTAGAACTGCACCGAATGAAGGGTTTAGTGCTCCTGATATTTCAATATCTGATTTAGCTTCTTCACTGTCGTGGTATCCTCATTCCTCTACCTTCGGAAGCGATCACTTTCCCCTCATTCTTTCTTTTCCAATTTCCATTCCCTCAAGTCGAAAGAGTGGTCCTCGACTTAAATATAATTTATCAAATGTAGACTGGAATATTTACAAACAATATTTAGATAATAAAATATCGGAGTTACCTATTGTTTATCATGGAAATGAACATCAATGTTGTAATGACTTGATAATTAATATGAAGGAGGTTGCTGATTTATTATTTCCTGTTAAAAATAGTGCTTCAGGGAAAATTCCCTCCCCACCTTGGTGGGACAAAGATTGTACGGAAGCAATTAAAAATCGTAAAGAGGCTGAAAAAAATTATAATAATTACATGACATCAGAAAATTTTGAAATTTACACCGCAGTTTCACGTTCTACTCGAAAACTACTGAAAAAAAAGAAATTGGAAGGTTGGAGAAGATTTTGTTCTTCTATCTGTCCAGAAGTTAATTCATCAGTCGTTTGGAATAATATTAAAAGATTCAGATCTGCCTTCAGTGATCATACATCACGTTCTGCACTCGATTTAACTTTAGCGAATAAATTTTTAGATCGCCTTGCTCCTAGTTATGTGCCGGAATGCCTTTACAATATTTCTCTATCCGTCTCTGACGAATTATCCGAACTTGAGTCTCCTTTTACTCTTGTAGAACTTAAAGGTGTTCTAGCTTGTATTAAAGACTCTGCACCGGGAGAAGACGGTATACCGTATTCCTTTTTTAAAAATGCTAGCGATGCGACATTAATTTACTTTTTAAATATAATTAATTCCATAATTATTTCGGGAAATATACCTACTTCATGGAAGTCTCAGATTATTATACCATTTCTAAAGCCTCATAAACCACCTTCTGAACCATCTTCATACCGTCCTGTTGCACTTTCCTCTGTCTTACTAAAGCTAGCTGAACATTTAGTGAAGAACCGTCTAGAATGGTTTTTAGAAAGTAATAACTTACTATCCCCGAACCAGTTTGGTTTTAGGAAAGGTAAGAGCACCTTAGATAATGTGAGCGTTCTTATTTCAGATATTCATATAGCTTTCTCACAAAATTTGTCAATCCTCTCAGTCTTTTTAGATATAAATTCTGCCTATGATAATGTAATAATTTCTATTTTAAAAACTAAATTACAAGCTTTAAATGTACCGGTAATGCTTTCTAATTTCATTATTAATATTTTATCAGAAAGAACAATACATATGGATCTAGATGAAGATACCAAATTATCTAGAACAGTATGGAAAGGCCTTCCACAAGGATCTGTTCTCAGTCCAATTTTATTCAACATATACACATACGATCTAGAATCATTCCTTGATAAATCCGTAAAAATTTTACAATATGCTGATGATCTCTTATTATATTTTATTGCGAAGTCCATAGAATCTGCTTCTGCCAAATTATCTGATTCATTAGATATGTTAAAAACGTGGTTAGATGCAAATGGTCTTAATCTTTCTGTAACCAAGAGTAGTGTAGTTTTGTTTTCAAGAATGAGATCACCGCAACAAATTAAGGTGCTTTATGATAACTCATACATTCCTATAAAGACTGAAATTAAATTTTTAGGTATCGTGCTAGATAATAAATTAACAGGTCTGTCCCACTGTAATT